ATATTGTAGCGAAGAAGGAGGTGAAGAAGACATGCCCCCGCCTCTTCCTTATCATAAGGTAGCGATCGTAAGAGCTAGAAGCTTGCTGGGAAAGAATAAAGCAGGCGTTTTCCGAGATATCAATTCTGCACCTAAAATGCTTCTTTCTTGTTTCATGGCGCCATGGAATTGTGACATACATACATATATATCTTCTTCTTTGGTGATCACTCGTAGCCAAGTAAGGTTGTCTTCCATAAACACGGTTTTAACAATGAGTTCATAAGTAACTGTGGAGGCCAATTCGGGATCCACACGTCCTTCCACAGTGGGGACATTTGTTTCCGGGTGGGAGTTGATCACGGTGTGGATTTGCCAAGTGTGCCTTCCTCTTAGCACATTTCTCCCTTGAGTCCTTAATTTGAGTGTCTTTAAAGCCCATGCCACCTTTGGTAAATGCTGTTCTCCAATTGGAGCCCTTGCAGGCCAGTGTTTCCCAGTTGTCAGTGTTTACCTCACCGGCAGCATATCTAAAGATGACAGGCTTCCTTTACACCTCATGCTTCCCATTACCACTTCAGGTAATATGATTGACAGTGCAATCCTTTCCATCCCTACTCAGATCATATCCTTCTGATCACTGAGGCTTTCTGCCTGGTGAATGGATCTGGACTTGCAACCTGAAGTCCCAAGTTCTCTTTATGAGAATAAATGGGATCTGTGAACATGGACCCCAGATGTACACTAGCAGCTCAGCTCTATGGATTCCAGGCAATGTCCTGTTGGTCTTTCTTTTCAGTATTTATCACTTCCTCCTCCTGGCAGAGTTGTTTTCATTGAACCTGGTTTTTCAACTCTTTGGAAAACTTTCTCTAAACTTTAGCCATACTTGGCTCCATGCGCAATATGACTATAGGTCCCCCCCCCTCAACCAGCTCAGTTAAATAGCCATACAGATTGCCTCTTTTCCTGAATCCTGAGCTATCTTCTGCATTTCTTGGGAGAAAGAGACTGTTAAGTAAATTCCCCTTCTCCAGTCTCACAGTTGCTATGTGATCTCTGTCTGCTTCCAATCCACTTGACAAACAGTCTCCTTGAGAGTTTGGACTGCATTTGCATGAGCAAACAGACTTAACAAAAGTACTAATGAGCTGTGAATGTATTGTGTCAGGGACTTCTCATGATTTGCCAATGCCCCTTCCTCTGAAAGGAACCTCTGGTGTGTGCCTACAAGCACGCACACACGCAGGGCAAATTGTTTGCATACAATTTTCCAGAGTAAATAAAGGCCACAGAGAACTCCCCCTGGCCAATCCCCTTTTATATCATTGGAGAGATTCCATGTAAGCCTTCTGGGGATGAATGGTGGATTCTGCAAACACTGCTGTGCTTCCTGGATATCACCCTACATGGGCGGATGTCAGCAGGGACAAAATGCCCAAAATGCAGTTGTGTGTTTTCCAATTGTTTTGTATAATCCATCTGTGGATGAAACCGGCCTGTCATTTATCAAGGCCTTTTTGTGTGCGCCTGTTTCCAAACAGCTGCATGCATGGCTGTGATTTCCTTGTTTATTATTTCCTCCAGCTGATGAAGTGGGATCAAATATCAACGGCCAAACTGTAGTTTCTCTCCAGCGCTGCATATGCCCATGTTTGCAAGACTGCTTCACAGAATTGCTGGCCAACTCGTTTTGTTTGTTAATTAGTGGCAACCCCAGCATTCTGGCTAAATTTCCTCCAAGGGTGAATAGCAGACTGCTGAGTGAAAAATCTCCCTTCTGCTTGGTTCGGATGAAATTTGGCACAGATGTATTTCATTTTTTATGAAAGGATGTTTCAGGCTGTAAGATCCAACAGCAGTCCCAGTTCTACATCAAAAAAAAAACCACTACTAGATTCTGCAGTCAGGAAATGTTACACAAGCTAGGCCCCATTCCCCAAATTGGCTCTGGGCATGACCTGGTGTTGCTGCTCATGTGCAATCAGTTTCCATAGTGCTGAACAGCTGTGGAGAACAGAGGAAAAGAGTCACTCTGGATTTGGAACGGGTATGTACACCAATGAAATCCCCATTGCGGTCCCACTCGCAGTGACTCCTTCCCAGGGAGCAAGGCCTAATCTAAGAAGATGAACAACCTGGACAAGACAGGTGTGGGGAATTAAAATGGGCTACAACTTTATTGGGGCGGGCTGGGGTGGGGGACTCCCTGGTCCTGAATGGGGTAACTGTGACCCTGAAGGACCAGGTGCGCAGCCTGGGAGTCATTCTGGACTCACAGCTGTCCATGGAGGCACAGGTCAATTCTGTGTCCAGGGCAGCTGTCTGCCAGCTCCACCTGGTACGCAGGCTGAGACCCTTCCTGCCCTCAGACTGTCTCGCCAGAGTGGTGCATGCTCTGGTTCTCTCCTACTTGGACTACTGCAATGCGCTCTACATGGGGCTACCTTTGAAGGTGACCTGGAAACTACAACTAATCCAGAATGCGGCAGCTAGACTGGGGACTGGGGGCGGCTGCCGAGACCATATAACACCGGTCCTGAAAGACCTACATTGGCTCCCAGGACGTTTCTGAGCACAATTCAAAGTGTTGGTGCTGACATTTAAAGCCCTAAACGGCCTCAGTCCAGTATACCTGAAGGAGCATCTCAATCCCCATCATTCAGCCCAAACATTGAGGTCTAGTCCGAGGACCTTCTGGCGGTTCTCTCCCTGTGATAAGTGAGGTTACAGGGAAGCAGGCAGAGGGCCTTCTTGGTAGTGGCACCCACCCTGTGGAATGCCCTCCCATCAGATGTCAAAAAGATAAACTGCTACCTGACATTTAGAAGACATCTGATGGCAGCCCTGTTTAGAGAAGTTTTTAATGTGTGACATTTTAATGTATTTTTAATCTTTGTTGGAAGCCACCCAGAGTGGCTGGGGAAACCCAGCCAGATGGGCGGGGTACAAATAATAAATTAATTATTATTATTATTATTATTATTATTATTATTATTATTATTGATTCCAGATGTAGGTCAGATTTGGCTCAGGCATTGGGTGTGTATTCCTCTCAGGCTCCTGATGGAAGGCTGAGGCATGACAGAGTCAATCCTAGAATTAACTGGTCCAGCGCAAGATGCAGCTCCACACGAATGTCCCTCCCAGGCCGCTGAAGGTGGCTCTACGATGCCTCAGCAGAATGCCTTAGCTTTGGGACAGAGATTTCCATCTAGAATCATAGAATCATAGAGTTGGAAGAGACCACAAGGGCCATCGAGTCCAACCCCCTGCCAAGCAGGAAACACCATCAAAGCACTCCTGACATATGGTTGTCAAGCCTCTGCTTAAAGACCTCCAAAGAAGGAGACTCCACCACACTCCTTGGCAGCAAATTCCACTGTCGAACAGCTCTTACTGTCAGGAAGTTCTTCCTAATGTTTAGGTGGAATCTTCTTTCTTGTAGTTTGGATCCATTGCTCCGTGTCCGCTTCTCTGGAGCAGCAGAAAACAACCTTTGTCCCTCCTCTATATGACATCCTTTTATATATTTGAACATGGCTATCATATCACCCCTTAACCTCCTCTTCTCCAGGCTAAACATGCCCAGTTCCCTTAGCCGTTCCTCATAAGGCATCGTTTCCAGGCCTTTGACCATTTTGGTTGCCCTCCTCTGGACACGTTCCAGTTTGTCAGTGTCCTTCTTGAACTGTGGTGCCCAGAACTGGACACAGTACTCCAGGTGAGGTCTGACCAGAGCAGAATACAGTGGCACTATTACTTCCCTTGATCTAGATGCTATACTCCTATTGATGCAGCCCAGAATTGCATTGGCTTTTTTAGCTGCCGCGTCACACTGTTGGCTCATGTCAAGTTTGTGGTCATCCAAGACTCCTAGACTCTAGACCCCTCTATTGGGGCACCCCTGTGTGTGGGAATGTTGAGGGTGGCAGGAGAGGATATATTGTTTATTAATATCCTTCCTAACTTGCGCTAGCAAGTCTCTTTACTTAGCAGAGTGCCTTCCCATTTTTACGCAGCAGAATGCTGGTTGCAAACTCGTGTGAGTTTCTTAGGACAATAAGCAATTCAATCTGGCTTGTCCAGATTGAGATATGTTCTAATATTCCTGGTAAGACCCCTTTTAAATCCCTCCTAAAAGAATAAAGACACCACAGTCTTCTTCAGAAGTAACAAAAAGTAGTTTTACTCATGATCAGGCAGAGCACAGTGTGATCCCTGAAGCCAGGCTTAAGGCTTAAAGTTACAAACATGTACAAATAGGTTTACCCCATATGGGAGATAACCTGGGGGGCTGCTGTGGCAGCCAGCAGTCCAGTCCAGGTGAATTAGGAAGTTTGCAGGACAAAAGGAAGATGGAAAAGAGAGAGAGAGGCCGCATGCCTTGTCCTTTTACCTGGTCTGGAAAGGTCACACCCATCCGCTAGTCACATGCAAGGAAGGATGCTCTAGGCCAGAAGGAACAGGAAGTTGGCTGGACCAAACATTCCCTTGCATGTCCACTCTAACAAAACAAGTTCTTAACCTGAAACTGTTCTTAACCTGAAGACCACTTTAGCTAATGGGGCCTCCTGCTGCTGCCGTGCCGCTGCTGCACGATTTCTTTTCTCATCCTGAAGCAAAGTTCTTAACCCGAGGTACTATTTCTGGGTTAGCGGAGTCTGTAACCTGAAGCATATGTAACCTGAAGTGTATGTAACCTGAAGCGTATGTAACCCGAGGTACCACTGTACTCAGACTGTCTTGCTCTGGCAGCTGAATTCTATATACGTAAGCAGCTATATAAATACATTTACTCGCCTCTGCTTTTTCCAGTTGTGAACAAAATGTCATCTACTGTACTGTTCACACTGGGAACGGTCCCCCCCCCCCCCGCTGAGATCTGACTGAGCTCCTTTCTGCAGTTGTTGGGGGCGAGCGAACAGATGGATAGTGTAGAACGGCACACGCTGAACACAAGCGGCTATTTTTTGCTTCCCTTGTCTGTTGCCTTTTCAGCCTGCCTGTATCCAAGGGGACCCAGCTTCATTCCAGTCTAGAACAATGATGCAAAAATGATGGTGAGACAAGGGGGACTTCTCTGCATGGGAAGAAAGGATCGTTTTGATGAACTAATCCCAGCAATTTTCTTCCCACGCTTCTGAGATATGGCAGCATAGAACACGGCTCACATCGTCTTCAACACGCCTGCAGAGAGGCTGATTCGTCTTACAGATGATAGTCTGTCCTTAAAAAATAAATAAACGAAAAGCATTTTAAATGGCAGGCATCCATCTCTCTCTCTCTCAATATGATTGTGGGCTTGTGTGAGACGGCGGATCTCTCGCTCCTGTTAAACAAATTGAATCGAAACAAAAACTCCATCCAGATTAGTGAGCAGCATTTTACCCTTAGACAACTTCCTGCCTCAGGGCCAAACATCTTTAGAGAAGATCCATGATCTTCTCTAAGTATCACTTTCGTTGTTTGTCAAAAGCAGTCACAGGGAGGGTTTTGTTTTGTTTTTTAAATGCCTCTCCAGTTCAGCATCCTTTTCTCCCACTGGTCAGTCCAGATGCCGATGGTAAGCCCCCTTGGAGGCAAAAACAGAACACCCCTCTTCCGCTCAAGAGGGCCTGCAGAGGGGTACTACCACGGATACTTTTTTCTTCTTCAATTTTTTCAATTAATTTTCACAAAATTATAAACAAATAAAGCACACAAACAAACAAACATAAATCATAACCTTATTAAAATTACACTTATTAGCATTGTTAAGTGACTTCCTCGCTTCCCCTTGGTTGACTTTCCATGCATATCCTTATAACGGCTTTCCAAATCCTAATTCTTATAAACCTAACTTAGTTCATCAACATCCTTATATCTTTTCAAATCAAAATTGTACATGTTAAACATCGCTTAACTTATATAAATTCCTAAGCCAATCTGTCACCTGCAAGCTATTTCCAATTAGTTTAACTTAACAAATTTAGCTAAATAATTGTTAAATTTTGTCCATTCTTCCTGATACCTCTGCTTCTTCTGGTCGCAAACTCTTCTGGTAAGGTCGGCTAGCTCCGAAAACTCCATCATCTTCATCTGCCATTCCTCCACCGTTGGTAATTCTTGGGTTTTCCACTTTTTAGCTAGTAAAATACGAGCAGCAGTTGTGGCATACAAAAATAATTTGACATATTTCTTGCCATGGATACTGGAGCATCAAAGCAGTAGTCCATAATGAGTAGTAGGCACTGGTAAAGGTAACGTAAAGGACTCATGGGTGGTTAAATCCAGCCAAAGGTGACTATGGGGTTGTGGCGCTCATCTCACTTTCAGGCCGAGGGAGCCAGCGTTTTTCTGCAGATAGCTTTCTGGGTCATGTGGCCAGCAAGACTAAACCGCTTCTGGCGCAATGGGACACCATGACGGAAACCAGAGTGCACAAAAACGCCGTTTACCTTCTTGTTGCAGCAGTACCTATTTATCTACTTGCACTGGTGTGCTTTCAGACTGCTAGGCTGGCAGGAGCTGGGACAGAACAACGGGAGCTCACCCCATCACGGGAATTTGAAATGCCGATCTTTCGATCAGCAAGCCCAAGAGGCTCTGTGGTTTAGACCACAGTGCTACCCGCTTCCCTACAGCACTGGTACTCTCCATGGGCAAGATAAATATGGGGAACAGGATAAATGTGGACATAGACACTTTAGCTTCAGTTCAGGTAGGAGCAAGAAGGTTCACTATCTTGGGGCAATGCAGTATAAATAAGGTCCCATAATACCTTATTGACCCAAATATAAGCTGCACTTTCCTCCCAAATTCAGACCATGAAAAGTTAAAGTGTGTCTTATATTCATGACCTTATGCCGCCGGCAAAGGGGCGCAGCTCCGCCCCCCCCCCCCGGAAGCAGCCCGGGTATTGTCTTTTTTTCTTTTCCCTCCTTCAATTTTAAAGGTGCAGCTTATTTGCGGGTGCGGCTTATATTCGGGCCAATACGGTAATAGTTGCACCATGCATGCCAACGACTTGCACCCAAGCGATCTTCTTGCTATACAAGAGGAGCACTGATCCCAGATACGACGCTGCGAGTTTTATCGCTTGAGAAATGAAACAGGGCCTTGAACTGATAGAACCTGTCACCTTCTTTCTCCATGTTTTGAATCTGCATGTGAATGCAGAGCCAATCTATAAAAGTTAACAACTAGGCATATTTGATGCCTTTTCCGTGATACAGTGGGTTGCATCCAGCACTGCCGTTTTGCAGGTGTAGCAGATGTCCATGTATACCACAGAACTTCTTTTACCTCTCCTGCCCCCTTTAGCCCCACCATACATCCTCACCATCGGCTCCAGAGGGTTGGGGGATAGTTCAGAGCAGGGGTGCCAACTGGAATAAAATATTGGGGAAGTCAACGAAGCCCCTCCCTGCATAATCAATCACATGATGTGGTACACAGACACCATTTGAATGGCAATGCCCATTAACTGGGGGTGGGGTGGGGTGGGCTCAAATATTTTATTGAGGGGCAAATACCCCTCCACCCCCAGGAGTTGACTCTTCTGGTTGAGAGTAGATTTGGAGTTGTGCAGAGAGAGGAGAGAAGTCCTGTGTTGTGAGTGGAACTCAGTTCACAAAGAGTTGGAGGCAAGCCACTCCAGTGGTACCTCGGGTTACATACGCTTCAGGTTACAGACTCCGCTAACCCAGAAATATTTCCTCGAGTTAAGAACTTTGCTTCAGGATGAGAACAGAAATTGTGCTCTGGCGGCGCGGCAGCACCGGGAGGCCCCATTAGCTAAAGTGGTACTTCAGGTTAAGAACAGTTTCAGGTGAAGAACGGACCTTCAGAACGAATTAAGTACTTAACCTGAGTTACCACTGTATTTCCTTCTACTTCATGACTGAAAAGTAGACCACTCAGCTTGTTCTTAAAATACCAACTTGGTCAAAAGTGGGTTACCTTAATTGCCAAAATGCAACATTCCCAAAAATTGGTCTTCATAAACCCCAAGTCCAACAATCTCATGCTGAATGCTATATTTCTTTTAACTTCAAAAGTATTTACCGACCGCTGTGAAGTTCCAACATCTGCTGAAGTTCTCCATCGACTGTTCTCTGCTCTCCCCAGAATTCAGCCTCAGAACCTATTTTGTTGTTGAGATCCACCTGCCAAATGGCCTAGTTCTCCTTTAATGTGCATCTAAATTTGTTTATCCTTCTCCTCAGCATCTCATTTCAGTTTGCCACGTCAGGTATGAAAGAATATTCTCTCGAGATCAGCCGCCATCGCAGCTAATTAACCACCCCATCCTCTGCCGGCTGTTTCTGAGATGGATTTTCAACAACCATCGCAAATCTAACTTCCAATCTGATGATCTTACGTTGGAAGCGACAAAGCTTTCCCGCATCCTCTCTCATTAATTAATTCAAATTGGCTTGGAAATTAGCACTTCGGAAAGGTTTACAAGCTAGCTGAAGGGCCATAAAACTTACCAGTGATAAACGAGAGTTTTCTGTGAGGGCCCATCCAGTCCAATTTAACAGAAATTATGTTAGGCCCTGTTGCCTTGATTAACACGTGCGTAATAAGACGAAATGGGGAGGGCAGTGCGGTGGGGGAGAGATGCGCTGTCTAATTGGGCAGAGGTCAGTAAACACATGGAAACAAAACAGTGGCACCAAGCAAAACGACCCGTCTGTGAGGGCTGCAGTGCAAAACTTCAAGAGAGCTCAAGGTTGGCAAACACTGATGCAAGTACCGTATTTTTTGCTCTATAAGACTCACTTTTTCCCTCCTAAAAAGTAAGGGGAAATGTGTGTGTGCATCTTATGGAGCGAATGCAGGCTGCGCAGCTATCCCAGAAGCCAGAACAGCAAGAGGGATTGCTGCTTTCACTGCGCAGCGATCCCTCTTGCTGTTCTGGCTTCTGAGATTCAGAATATTTTTTTTCTTGTTTTCCTCCTCCCAAAACTAGGTGTGTCTTATAGAGCGAAAAAACCGGTAATTGACTGCAATAGAACAAAAGTAATCAATAGCAATGGGACATGGGTGGCACTGTGAGTTTAACCACAGAGCCTAGGGCATACCGATTGGAAGGTTGGCGGTTCGAATCCCTGCAACGGAGTGAGCTCCCGTTGTTCGGTTCCTGCTCCTGCCAACCTAACAGTCGGAAAGCACGTCAAAGTGCAAGTAGATAAATAGGTACCGCTCCGGCGGGAAGGTAAACGGCGTTTCCGTGCGCTGCTCTGGTTCGCCAGAAGCGGCTTAGTCATGCTGGCCACATGACCCGGAAGCTGTACGCCGGCTTCCTCAGCCAATAAAGTGAGATGAGCGCCGCAATCCCAGAGTCGTCCACGACTGGACCTAATGGTCAGGGGTCCCTTTACCTTTCATTCAATAGCAACCATGTGAGTTAAATGGGATGCACATGAGTAAGAGGAAGCAAAAGCAGTTGCTGGGTAAGATGATCTAGCCTTCCATAGGTATAGGGCAGAAAGAGACAAAGGAACATGAAACACGGGGACTTCTCAGTGGTGGCACTGCAGCTTCTGGAAGAGTTTCTGTTTTGCCATTTGGATGGCTCCCTCGTAAAAATCTTTTAGAGAGGAATCAAAAGCATCTTTCATCTCAATGGCCTCAATGGCAGGCAGCTGGATCGAGGCGGGTCGGGGCTGCTGATTCTTCTAGACCTGTCAGCAGCCTTCGACATGGTCGATCACGAACTCCTGGACCACCGCCTTGCCGACGTGGGGATCCAGGGCACAGTCCTTCAATGGCTGCGCTCGTTCTCTCTGGTCGGGGACAGAGGGTGGCGCTTGGGGGGGAATTGTCATCGCGCCACTCCTTGGTGTGTGGAGTACCTCAGGGTGCGATACTCTCCCGATGCTTTTAACATCTTTATGCGCCCCCTCGCCCAGCTTGTCCGGAGTTTTGGGCTGGGTTGCCATCAGTATGCCGATGACACCCAACTCTATCTGTTGATGGATGGCCATCCTGACTCGTCCCCAGACACACTGACCAGATGTTTGGAAGCTGTGACTGGATGGTTACGTGGAAGCCGGTTGAAGTTAAATCCTTCGAAGACAGAGGTCATCTGGCTGGGACGGGACGATATGGGATTGGGGGGGGGCAACTCCTATCTCTTGCGGGGGTGCAATTAGTGCCAGCACCGTCCGTTAAGAGTTTGGGTGTAATCTTCGATACCTCCCTCTCTATGGAGGCGCAGATTACAGCTATAACAAAGGCGGCATTTTTTCATCTCCGCCAAGAAAAGCAGTTGGCCCCTTATCTCTCTCGCCCTGACCTAGCCACTGTGATCCACGCGACGGTCACCTCCAGACTGGATTATTGTAACTCGCTCTACGTGGGGCTGCCCTTGAGACTGACCCAGAAACTCCAGCGGGTGCAGAATGCCGCAGCGAGACTCCTTATGGGGTTCTCGCCGCGGGATCACATTCATCCAGTGCTTTACCAACTGCACTGGCTCCCGGTGGAGTACAGGATCAGGTTTAAGGTGCTGGTTTTAACCTTTAAAGCCCTATACGGCCTAGGACCCTCGTACCTACAGGACCGCCTCTCCTGGTATGCCCCACAGAGGAACCTACGGTCTGCAAATAAAAACATCCTGAAGGTCCCAGGCCTCAGAGAGGTTAGGCTGGCCTCAACTAGAGCCAGGGCTTTCTCGGCTGCGGCTCCAATCTGGTGGAACGCTCTGTCACAAGAGACTAGGGCCCTGCGGGACCTGACATCTTTCCGCAAGGCCTGCAAGACAGAGTTGTTCCACCAGGCCTTTGGTCAGGGCCCAGCCTGACTCCTCCTCTGGCAACCTGCACAGAACTTTGCTTAACGGTTGCCATTAATTTGATTTTAATTAATTTTTATAATGAAATGTTTTAGAATGTTGGATTATTTGATTGTTTGATTATTTGATTGTTGTTAGCCGCCCTGAGCCTGGCTTTGGCTGGGGAGGGCGGGATATAAATAAAATTTATTATTATTATTATTATTATTATTATTATTATTATTATTATTATTCCTGCGGTGCTTTTAACGTTGTTTCATGTTGCCTGCTGTTTTAGATTTTCTTCATTGGGATTGTTTTATAATTTTGCAGTTCTGATTGTTACATTATATATGTTTCCTGGGGATACAATACATGTGTTGTGGGTTCAATACTGGTGTTCAGGAACTCAGGGGTGCTAATGGTCCACAGGTGAGGGGGCACATTACTTGGCTTGCCCCGGGCACTGGCAACTCATGCTATGCCACTGTAGGTGGGCAATGATACTGCCTGCACAGCATAACAAGTCAGAAAATCTTCCTGTCTGGGCATTCCCTCTTTTGTCCCTTCATCCAGAATGAGTTCAACAGGGTGTCTTCATTTACCCTCAGTGATCATAGAATCATAGGACTGTAGATTTGGAAGGGACCCCAGGGGTCATCTAGTCCAACCGCCTGCGATGCTGGAATCACAGTTAAAGAATCCCTGGCAGATGGACATTGAGTCTCTGTTCAAAAACCTTACAACATGAGCCAGCAGAATTAAAATACCCCTGAAAAATCTGCTTTAGTTCAGTTTTTAAAAGACATGCATCTGTGAACTTGCCTGGTTGCACAAGTATTTTCCTGAAAAGCAGAATGGAAACTCCAGATGTATGTGGCTATACATCTGAATATATTATTTAAATATTTCTGCATTTAAATATTTAAATATTAATGAATATTAATAGCATCACCACATTATAATGTGGTGATATATTACTAATATACATACAGATGCATTAATTATTACAAATGTAGCAATTAAGCATTAACACGATAAGCACAAACATCGCCTCTCTCTCAATCTTCCTGAAATCTCAATTCCACCTGGGATAGCGCAACATGGAACGTGGGGAGGCGGGAGGCGGGAGACCCAGCTGGTCAAAAATTGGTCATGGAAACAAGTGGGTTAGCTCAATTAAAACCCAATATTCGTCAGCCTCATTTGTGGCAGCTATTTTTGTTCAGCCCCGCTGGGAGACGTGAACATCACAGCACCGGAGAGTAGAAAATGTATTCAGCTGCCTGTTCTTGGCCAGTTATGCTAATGCAATCTGCAGCAATAGCTCAGTAACAATGAGCACTAATTAAAGATATTTAAATAAGTAAACAGCCTTTTTATCAAATGAAGCAATGTTAGAGGAGATCCTGAAAAGATTAGAGTGCCTGGGGGATTAATGAAGGGCTGTGCAATCCATTGTCACTGCCTCTGCAGTCAAAACCTCCCAGCTAGCGAGAGAATTTTGGGGTTTCCCCAATTGGGAGGGAATCCCTAGTGGTTAGAGTCATAGGGTTGAAGGGCTATTTGGGGCCATTTGGTTCAACCCCCTGCTTGAAAATGCAGGAAAACCAGAGCTGGAACATCTCCAACAGATGGCTGTCCAGCCATTTATTATATTCTTATTTTTGCTCACGGCTTCTGGAATGCAAAATTGAACATTGAATGGGACCACCAAAAATGCATAAATTAAGCACTTCTTAATACATGTTGGCGAACCTGTATTTTAATCTAGCTTCTGATCCCTTTAATAAGGAATGGTGCCAACTCCATTCCCTCCAGACTTAGCTGGTTTAATTAGGAGTCTCTGTTGAGAAAAACCTGCCTCAAAAATGGACAATTAATTGTGCAGGCCGGTGTTTCATGCACCGTGTTAGCAGCTGCAGCACCGAGAGCCGAGCAAGGGGCATATCCTTTTAAGAATAACTGTTTCAGCAGTGAGTAGAGTCTACCTCCATAATTGTTTCAGAAATGCATGATGGCTGGGATATGCAGGACTGAATTATTTTGGAAGCGCTTTTAACGAGTTGCTTTGCAGATCATGCCTCGGTAGGATGGTTCCTCCTTTATGGCCCCTGTTGCTCAGATTGTGCAGAAACATTTTGAGGGCATCAGGATGGGAAAGGCTAGGGCAGATGAGACAGAGCTCACTCTGGTCCAGCAATTGCCTTCAGTCGAAGCCCTGCATGGAAGCCACTGTGCAAACCTGTGTAGGATACCATTTAATTTGGTGAAAGGGGTGGAACCGGAAATCCACCTTCCACCTTTCATGGTCATATTGCTTGCAGGTAAGTCAACAGAAAGGCAAGGAGGATCACTCAATCCAGCTGCAATGGTTTGGGTCTATCACAAGGCACATGCTACCCAACCCACTGTAGCCTTATTGGAGTTCACCGATTGGGTCTGCGTTGCTCCTGGACGGGAGGAAGGAAGTCAAATGACACCGAGGTTGGTTCAAAGAAAGAGTTTATTCTGCTCTCTGGATAGCAGAAGGCACTTGCGTGGTCAGTCCACAGCAAGTCCAAAGAAATGAGAAATTTCATGCAGTATATATATCCTCCAAGCACCCTCTCCCTCCTTCCCGAGGAATCCAACTACGTCAGCCTATGTACCCAGGTTGACATCACATATGTTCCTGCTCTGGTATTCTTAACCATAAAAGGGTATTCCTTCCTGTACTTCTGACCATAAAAGGATCTTCCTGCTCCTACTCTTATCTTGGAGCAAGAGGTCACCATCTCTGAGAACACACTCTGGCACTGTTCCCAGACTGGTTCTGTGCATCTTTGTGGTCAGGACGTAAGATAAGGCACAGATGTGTCTTCTCTGTTCTACTGGTACAGTCAAGGCTATCCTTGCCGTCACAAACTGATAAAGGAGAGGGCTCTGAGCACTTGTTTATAAAGCTGGGTTTTGGCTCAAAAACTCAAGTTTATGCATTTTAGAAATGCTAAGAAGAAAAGGGGAGGTTGAGTCAGTTTTAAACTGACTGCACAGAAACCCATTCCTTCACCACGCTCTGTTCCGTACCCTGCAGAGTGTTGGTGAAGAGATGTATGCCCACCTACTTTATATCTCTCACCACTGCCACAAATATTACCGGTTTTGGACTTGCATACTGCTTCTAGACATGCAAATGCGTTTGTAAGGCAAGCTACCTTCAATGTTTAGCTCTCAAGGATAAATGACTTGGGTGTTGCAATTCCGCTCCCCTCAATTACTTTGCAAAGTAAGAAACGAATATAGTGGAGGAAGAATGGACAAAATTTAACAATTATTTAGCTAAATTTGTTAAGTTAAACTAATAGGAAATAGCTTGCAGGTGACAGATTGGCTTAGGAATTTATATAAGTTAAGTGATGTTTAACATGTACAATTTTGAATTGAAAAGATATAAGGAGGTTAATGAACTAAGTTAGGTTTATAAGAATTAGGATTTGGAAAGCCGTTATACGGATATGCATGGAAATTCAACCAAGGGGAAGCGAGGAAGTCACTTAACAATGTTGATAAGTGTAATTTTAATAAGGTTATGATTTTTGTTTGTTTGTTTGTGTGCTTTGTTTATAATTTTGTGAAAATTAATTTTAAAAAATGAAAAAAAGAAGAAATAAATACAGTGGTACCTTGGGTTAAGAACTTAATTTGTTCTGGAGGTCCGTTCTTAACCTGATGCTGTTCTTAACCTGAGGTACCACTTTAGCTAATGGGGCCTCCCGCTGCTGCTGTGCCGCCGCTGCACAATTTCTGTTCTCATCCTGAAGCAAAGTTCTTAACCCGAGGTACTATTTCTGGGTTAGAGGAGTCTGTAACTTAAAGCATCTGTAACCTGAAGCGTCTGTAACCCGAGGTACCACTGTATCTAGCACACATTCCTGCCCTACCTATGTTATGCAAATGTGAGCAATTTTTGAGACCTGGCAACTTTTTTTTATGGGCAGTGCATTCACCTAAGCATATAGGAGATGTTTTTGCTGACTGCCAGCAATGCATTGCATGAAGCAGCTGCATCGCAGAAGAACCAGCAGGTCTCAAAATGCACAAAATTTACAGTCTTGTGTGCAGGAACTGCTGGGATCAATAAGCTGTGCTGAAATCAGCAAATGCATTTCATGTATTCGGCTGATTGGTTACACCTGAAGGCATGAGTGAATCCCACTTCCCCATTAAGTAAGAAAGATAGACAGAGCTTCACTATGGCACATTGATTGCATGTTTTAAGGCTTTGTTAAATGTTTCAGAAAGTAGTTTATGCATTTCATTAACAGGCATCCGTGTCCTCTGTGGCATGTTTGCTGAATGAATCTTTTGTGACATGGAAGCTTTTCTTAAACAATCCAATTTTATTAGGGGAACAATTCATTCATTTTGCTGTCTTTATAGATTTTTTGTGCAACGTGTTTGTTTTCTGAAGGTGAAAATCAATTCCCTTTTGCCCAGAATCCAGACAAGGTCTATGACAATGAATTGGTTATCACCTGAAAACATTTCTTGGGGGAAATCGGCCACATCCCCCTAGCACTGGTTTTGCTACAGGAATACAAATAGGCTATAATGGAACAGCATCTCTCTCCCTTCTAATAGATACACAACCAATCCAGAAAAGATTAAATGCAAACCAAGCAGAAAATAGCAGAAGGCACAGCATATTATAAATAATAATCGCATAACGTCAATAATCTAAACTGTATACTAGACTCCATAACATGTTAGCATATCCGTCAGTCCACTTTCCTGACCCCAAGCAGAACTGTAACCAGACATGCCCTTTTCTGTTAATATCATGAGCACAAATGGATTGATGGCATGGTATGATTGCACTTTTAGCATCTTAGCTTGCCCATCCCTTGGTGGGTTTGACTCAAAGGTTTCCTCCAGTAAATGGAAGCATGGTTTTCCACAAGAGGGAATTCCTTCCCTTCATGGAGAGAGAGTTCTGTTCACAAAAGGACTTCCTGCTCTTCATGGAACCTTTGGATCCAACCCAATTTCAAAGGCCGCTCTGCCCAGAGACAGTCAAGTAACCTCAGGAGTCAAAAAGGCTATTTTTTAATAGGACAACATGGAGTTCAGGAAGCAAGTTATACGACATATATGCATGGAGAGGAACAAACAGGGCCTGTGGCATTTTTTTGAATTTTATCAGAGATCTGTCAATGAGAAGGTTCATAGGTAAAAAGTTAAAGGTCAAAGACCCCTGGACAGTTAAGTCCAGTCAAAGGCGACTATGGGGTTGCGACGCTCATCTCATTTTCAGGACGAGCGAGCTGGCATTTGTCCACAGACAGCTTTCCGGGTCATGTGGCCAGCAGGACTAAACCGCTTCTGGCACCACGGGACACTGTGATGGAAACCAGAGTGCACGGAAACACCGTTTACCTTCCCACCACAGTGATACCCATTTATCTACTTGCACTGGTGTGCTTTCGAACTGCTAGGTTGGCAGGAGCTGGGACAGAGCAATGGGAGCTCACTCCATCATGGGGATTCGAACCGCCGACCTTCCGATCGGCAAGCCCAAGAGGCTCAGTGGTTTAGACCCCAGCACCACCCTGAAATACAGTACATTCAGGTCTGGGCACAAAACTCTGCCCACACCTGAATGTATTACATGTCTTATTCCCTTTGACACCTGCTAGTACTTTTTATGTTTTTATATCTCTCTTTTTAAAAACTGAGTGAGTGGGGTGTGAAACCTTGTGAGCCAACGTACAAGGCTGGTAAATGAAAAACTGAATTTTCTTCAAAGACAAAAATAGCACTAAATTGTCTTGATCTCATGGGAAATCAAAGGAACTTAGACAGCTGTATTATCATTGCCTCCCTTATGAAAAAGAAACAGAAGCGGTAGTTTCTCTATAAAATATATATAAAGATAGATGAGCCTTGACCCTGTTCACATGTACAGCTGTTTTTAACACACTGGCATGCAGTTACCGTACATAAGATTTGTCATCAGGCAAAACCCACAATTCTTCTGGAGCTTATAATTGCTTGAAGTGCATTTTCCTCAGAATTATACCCAGCTCCAAAGTGCTACTGAGGGCCATTTGACTTTCAATATCCCTAAAGGTGGCCTGGGGCCTTCCTTAGACCATTCTCTTCCAGATACTAGGAGGGCAATAACTTCCATTTGTCTCCAGGCTGCATCCTATATCAAATTGCTTTCTTATAAAAAGAAAGCGGTCAACATGTATGGAGTTGATTATGTTCATACTGGCCTTGAGAGACCAGTGCATCTCATCCATTTCTGACCCCTTTTTAACATTTCAGCAGGTCTCAGAGTCGCTCTTCCCACTACTCACGAATTCCAACCCTCCCAAACAACGGATCAACTCGAGGGCCTGGTTCGACAAAGACTGTAGGAATCTAAGATCTTTGCTCAGGAAACTACAAAATAAGGTAAAACAGGAAGGGACCTTGTCCTCATTGGAAAACCTGCACAGAAAGGAACAATGGGAGGCACTTGACAAAGCGATCAAATTGCGGGATGACAAAAAGTTCTGGGAAATAATTGCCCAGGGAGTTTCACCCAAAGGGAAAATTGTAACCAACAGTATCTCATCTAACTTATGGTACCAACACTTTTCCCGGCTATATACAGCTCCAAACAGTGCTAAACCGAGCCAGTTTCCTCCTCTTAAAAACGATCTATTAATGGGCTGGGATCCTGTTACCGAATCAGAATGTTTACAGCTAATTAAAACACTCAAGAATGGCAAAGCTCCCGGTGAGGATATGATTCCTCCTGAGGTATTTAAACTAAATGCCCAGTGGTGGGCTGCTATTTTGGCCCAACTTTTACGGTAATAAATGATATATGCAAAATCCCAGAAAACTGGAAACTGAGCCTGGTAGCCCCCATCTATAAGAAGGGAGACCCCCAAGACCCCTCAAACTATCGCCCCATAAGTCTCCTGGACATTGTGTACAAACTTTACACTCGCTACCTGCTAAATAAACTGGTTGACTGGGCTGACCACTCTAACCTGCTTAATCCGGAACAGGCAGGGTTTAGAAAGGGCCATAGTACAACAGGCCATTGTTTGGTACTACAGACAATGATAGATAAGTATACAAAGGTACATAAGAGCAAACTTTTTGTGGCTTTCGTAGATCTCACATCCGCTTTTGATTCAATCTGTAGGGACAAATTATGGCAAAAATTATATGAAACAGATATTGATAGACGACTTCTCAAAATACTTAGAGAGTTACATTCAGACACCACAGTTAAAATCAGAACTGGGATGTCAGGCAACTATACTGATCCACTGCCACTGGGGAAAGGGGTTAAACAGGGCTGTTTGTTAGCGCCGTTCCTCTTTAATTTCTATATAAATGACATTGTTCAACATATGGCAAAGTATAAGTCATCAGCTCCTGCCCTGGAAGGCAAACACCTGAATATATTACTATATGCTGATGACATGGCTGTCATGGCACTTACTCGAAGGGGCCTACATAGCATGCTGGAGGGGCTCGCAGCTTATTGTTCCCAAAACTCTCTAAAGATAAATTATGACAAAACAAAAATTGTGGTATTTACTAGAGCTCGCCACACATTTAGATGGTCTTTAGATGAACACAAAATTGAACAGTGTCTTTTTTTTAAATATCTTGGTATCACTTTCCAAGCTACATCTAGCTGGCTTGCCCACTTCAAGACTGTAGCCCTTCTAACACGTAGGACAATCGGTGCCCTGCTCAGCTATTTTATTCGAGGGAGGGCAACTGGTGATCCCGGCATTAAAAGCTTTTGTTGGAAAAGTGATTCCCCAGATGCTATATGGAGTAGAACTCTGGGGATGGAATCAGAAGCTGTTAGAACGGCTTGAAATCTTCCAAAATTTTTACCTCAGAAGAATTCTAGGCCTCCCTCAGAGTACTCCGGCAGCTCTCCTAAGAGTGGAAGTAGGATTACCTTCTGTGTCTGCCAGGGCCCACTTAAGATTCCTGCTTTATCACCAACCTCACAGATGCCCCGAACACCTTATTGGCTAAACAAGCCTTTGTATTATTACAAAATAATACTACTTGGCATAAAAACCTACTAGATATCCTATCCAGATACAATCTACCTGAGTTTAATACCCTTAAATTGTGGAGCCCTGATAAAGTTCGGGAATGGATCTTTGAAAAAGACGCCTGTTGGGACTCCACAAAGATAAAAACTCTGGGTTTTCCTACTGGTTTCCCGAGTAAAAGCAGTCAAAATCTGTGCCAACTACTTGGTGGAGATCACTGACCCCACCCTTCGGAGAGCTTTCACTATGGCACGGTTTCAAACACTGCCAACTGCATATCTGACCGGTAGATTCACAAAAACCCCAGTAGAACATCGTTTATGCCCTTGCCTTATGAAAATTAAAGAGGATCTTACACATTACCTCCTCTATTGCCCCATCTACTCGAGCTTTAGAGACGCATTGCTGCAAATTATACCCAACTCTATAACCAATCCTGAAGATAGAGTAAAATTTTTGTTAGTTGATGCAAACCCACGTATTACCCATGTGGTAGCGGTTTTTGTGATAAAGGCCATGAAAGCCAGGGAAAGACTTATGGATGACAATGTAAAGACCCCTTCATCGTCTGTTTAACTCGTTGCTCGTTTTCCCTCTCTTTCTATTTTGTGGGATGAAGGTTTTGTTGGCGTAGTATGTAATGAATTTTAATATCTTTTAACTATTGTTGTGTTAATGTTTGTGTACAGGCATGGTCCTCACAATAAACGGATTTGTCTTGTCTTGATTATGTTCATTTATAGATTATAGGAGCCTTCATATGAGCATCTTATGAAGGAGAACTAGGCATTAAACAGAGATGTTTCAGATTTACCAAATCAATCTATTAAAGTGTTGCTTGTTGTAGTAGAACAACAACTGGTCAATGTCAAATCCTAATCTTAGGAGACACTTTTTCAGCAGTTTGAAATATTGTACTGGATCTTCTCATTTTGATGTGGCAGATCCTCTGCATTACTTCACCGGGACTTTTCTTCTTTTTTCTTTCACTTCTGCACTTTGCCAGACAAAGAAGAAGAAGTTGGGGGTCAAACTGCATGCTACTGAACAAACTCCCCATGACTCAGTCTCAGGAAGTCTGGCCTTCAGACTGTGGAACTTGCCTACGAAAGCTGGGAAGATATGAGTCAGCAGGGCAGATATCAAAGGATGGGAGAAATATCTGAACCCTGAGGAAACTGTGTGAAGCCCTGAATGAGAAGTTCTCCTGGGATGAGACAACCTCACCTAAGCACCTCTGAAAATTACACCAGTACTGATCAGCCAAGACCAGACCTTGCAGTGTCTCTATTTTCCAAGGATAGTCCAAGATTTACAGAAGCTGTCTCAGTTTCTGATTTGTTCCTGTCCCACTTTTCCTTAGGCCATCCCTATTTTCATCGGAGAAATCTTGGAGGGTATGGAGTTATGTGATGACCAAGCCAAGGAGATAAGTATCTATACAACCTTTAGAAGACATCTGAAAGCAGTCCTATACAGGGAATGTTTTTTTTAATGCTTTTATGTATGTTGGAAGCTGCCCAAAGTGCCTGGGGCAACCCAGTCAGATGGGTGGGATATAAATAAAATAATAATAATAGTTCTTATTCTTGTTGTTGTTGAATAGGACCTCTCTGTTTTCACTGGAGAAATGTTGGAGGGTATGCAAGACTACTGTTGAAGGGACTCACAGTAAGAATGAGTGTGAGCATTCTAGAAATTTTGGGGAACACCAAAAACAACAGGGAAAACATGGCAGGAAACTCATTATAGATGGTAAGAGTTTTAATTGCAGAGTATGTGACCCACAGAGTACTTCCAATTTCCCTTAGCATCTCAGGTGTGATTGTTCTAGAAAAGCATAACTGAAGAGAGAGAGAGACTAATTGGAACAATTAATTGAAACAACAATTAATTTCAGTGATGACAACCTTGACTGTGTTGCTGTCTCTCGATATTAAGAGTGGAGACGGCATTGTCACTCACAGATTTAGACACGGAGAGATTTAGACATGCAAGAAATAAATGGGAACAACCCAACAACCGTCTGTTCTGTCTCAGGAGATCCACCATCAGGTGTATCTCAAAGGGTGAGTTGCAACGTGTGATTTTACTGTTGCTGTGAGAGATACTTGATACACTGAAAAACTGTGCTGAAGAATCTTGATCTGTGCCAGCATCACAGAGCCCATGGCGCACAACAGTCCTGCAAAGCAGTGACCTGCCACTCAGGGATCTCACCTGTAATGGGGTTTTCCCCAACGCACCTGGCTGGTGGGAAGCTCACAGGTTTTAGGAATATTAACTTGGGGATTTGTCCATGGAGTTTTCTTGGCAAGGATAAAGCATCAATTGTTCAGCAATCAGCCTTCTTTATGGTCCAGCTCTCTCTTACATACATCACTACTGGGAAAACCATAGCTTTAACTATACAGACCATCACCTTGCCAACAAAGGTCCGTATAGTTAAAGCTATGGTTTTCCCAGTAGTGATGTATGGAAGTGAGAGCTGGACCATAAAGAAGGCTGATCGCGGAAGAATTGATGCTTTTGAATTATGGTGCTGGAGAAGACTCTTGAGAGTCCCATGGACTGCAAGAAGATCAAACCTCTCCATTCTGAAGGAAATCAGTCCTGAGTGCTCACTGGAAGGACAGATCCTGAAGCTGAGACTCCAATAATTTGGCCACCTCATAAGAAGAGAAGACTCCCTGGAAAAGACCCTGATGTTGGGAAAGATGGAGGGCACAAGGAGAAGGGGACAACAGAGGATGAGATGGTTGGATAGTGTTCTCGAAGCTACCAGCATGAGTTTGACCAAACTGCGGGTCGCAGTGGAAGACAGGAGTGCCTGGCGTGCTCTGGTCCATGGGGTCACGAAGAGTCGGACATGACTAAACGACTAAACAACAACAACTCGGGGATTGGGAAACTGCCAACTCTCCACACGAGGGCTGGGCAAGAACTGGTTTTCAGCATTGTGATATATCGTGCGCTAAATATCGCGATATACTGATATATCACGATGTCTGAAATAAGGATCGAGCTATGTAGATACTAACCGATGATTTTGGAAGGCTTGTTTAGCAGGTGCCAAAAAACCAGGAGAGAAGGCACCTGCTGGATATACAATGGGAGAGATGTGCAGAGAGTAGCTGTCCCTACACTAGAGACAGACGACATGATGATACCCTTGAAAAAAAGGGTTGGCTGATGAGACTCCTGCTCCTCTCTCTGTCTCCCAAGGCACCAATCATATGTCTCTCTCTGAGCCATGGGTTGTGCTCCCCAAAGCTGCCCCCCCCCTTAGACTGATGGCACTGATGACGCTTACAGCTTCCAGTCTCCCTTAAAAAGCAAACCAAGTGCTGGAAAAGCAGCTAATTGGGAAATTCATGCAACAAAAGCCAAGAAAACCAGATGTTGTTTATGCCCTTCCAAAACTGGTGTGCATACATTTAGTTCAGTATTTCTGCTGTGTTTCCTGGCCTGGCCCTAACCCTAACCCTAACCCCCAGAGAAAACGTGACTGAGCCCACAGGTGGTCCATTCAAAACCTCTTTTGATTAGGATTTCTTGCATATCAGCAATTAAAATCTTTTGCAGAATCAACGTGTCCTTAACCTTCTCTTTGAAGCTTCCGGGGAGCTTTTTAGCTATGTTTGCTCAAGTCTTGTCCCCTCATTTCCACACCGATTTGCTTTATTCTGCGCTTGGTTTTTAACATATGAAATTGATTTTAGTAATTTGAACTGTTTTGCATTGTAACTTAAACCATTTAATTGTGCTTTGTTTGGTTTGTGAGGCCTTTGTGAGCTGCTTTGAGTTTATTTTATAGAGAAAGGTGAGATCTATGCCAGGCATAGGCAAACTCAGCCCTCCAGATGTTTTGGGACTACAACTCCCATGATCCCTCTCTAACAGGACCAGTGGTCAGGGATGATGGGAACTGTAGTCCCAAAACATCTGGAGGGCCGAGTTTGCCTGTGCCTGATCTATGCTTTTAAATAAATAACCTATGAAACAAAAAATGATTTAAAAGCAAAATAAAACACTGAAGTCAAATATTTCCTGATTTAGGAGGGGAAGAGGCGTGGAACAAAGGGATTCATTAAGATCATGCTTGCACAGGAATATGCTGGTTTTATTTCAGTTTTTAAAAGACATCGTCCTGTATTTACAGTTAGATAACTAATCTAGTTATCTAAGTCATCTTAAGTACCACTTTCCATATTAGTGGAATTCTGGGCATTCATGAATGGAACACGGTACATTCATGGAGCATTGTTTATTCAGTGCATCAGTGGAAATATTTGTCTGAGAATTGAACAGGGCTCACATCCTTTTGGGACAGCCCTGAGAGTGAGAGCACGAGACTCTCAATTTCAGGATCGTGGGTTTAAGCCCCACATTGGTCAAAAGATTCCTGCAGGACAGAGGACACTTTTCTCCACCCAAAAAGAGGACAATCACATTTTTCTAGGGATGGGGGCAACCCTAGTTGGGAAGGTGCCACTGGTGGTAGCCTGCAGAAAAGCCCTGAAGGAGGGCTTGTTAGGGCAGGATGGGAACACGGACTGCTTTGGGAACACTGGATCCAGTGCCCTGGGACTCCCCCAAGGAGACTCTGGATCCTTGGGCCCCTCTGATGTGCCAATCTGGAGGGAGTGGTGTTAGGTCCTGAAAGACCTACACTGGCTCCCAGTACGTTTCCGGGCACAATTCAAAGTGTTGGTGCTGACCTCTAAAGCCCTAAACGTCCTCAGCCCAGTATACCTGAAGGAGCATCTCCACCCCCATTGTTCTGCCCAGACACTGAGGTTCAGCTCTGAGGGCCTTCTCACAGTTCCCTCATTGCAAGAAGCGAAGTTACAGGTAACCAGGCAGAGGGCCTTCTTGGTGGTGGCACCCACCCTGAGGAACGCCCTCCCACCAGAGTTCAAGGAGATAAAAAACTATCTGACTTTTAGAAGACATCTAAAGGCAGCCCTGTTTAGGGAAGCTTTTAATATTTGATGAATTATTGTATTTTAATATTTTGCTGGAAGCTGCCCAGAGTGGCTGGGGAAACCCAGCCAGATGGGCGGGGTATGTATGTATGTATGTATGTATGCATGTATGAATGAATAAATAAGTACCGTATATTTTGCTCTATAATACTCACTTTTTCCCTCCTAAAAAGTAAGGGGAAATGTGTGTGAGTCTTATGGAGTGAATGCAGGCTGCACAGCTATCCCAGAAGCCAGAACAGCAAGAGGGATCACTGCTTTCACTACGCAGTGATCCCTCTTGTTGTTCTGGCTTCTGAGATTCAGAATATTTTTTTTCTTGTTTTCCTCCTCCAAAAACTAGGTGCGTCTTATGGTCTGGTGCGTCTTATAGAGCGAAAAATACAGTAAATAAATATTAGATCTGCTGCCCCATTGCTTCCCCAATGGGGTTTCGATTTTAACTAATTTAATTCAGATGCATGCAGATGCAAGCTGCCTTGGTTCCAATCTCAAGATCCCCACTACACACAAACACACACCCTTGTGGTGTCATTATTATTTAGAAACAGCAGCAGAGACCATTTAACAGAGCCCCGTCTTTTAACGGAAAGTTTGGAATTCCACTGCATGTTTGCCATACACATTTCTAGTTCAGAGCATCTTTGATTTCCTTTCAGAAAAGCCTTATGCACCTGGCCAGGCATGATAATTGCTGACATTCCCATTTTAAAGTAATTCCCCGTTACAGATGCCAGAATACAGTAATGCGACACAATGAGTGAGGAATCCTGACTCCATCACTGAAGAATTTCCTTGTCAGTCTTTGACTTGATTCATTGGCCTCAAACAATGGAAACTGCTTGGGAAGATTAGTCGGTGTGTCTTTTTCATTGTACATTGTTCCGTCTGCCGAGACTAGGGTGCCTTGAGAAAGTTTTGACAAACTCAACACACACACACACACACACACACAGAGAGAGAGAGAGAGAGAGAGAGAGAGAGAGAGAATGGTGTGTTTGCTACTGACCTGACAGTGCTGAAATAAAACTGCATAATTTTAAAGACCCATATCGGTCAGATTATCTGGATTATTCTGAGCTTCTATTCATGTGGGGTGGAAAATGAGGGGGCAGCTGCTGGAGAAGGAGGAACCACCCAAAATTAGGGGTTGTGTGCAGCTTCAGGGGGAGCAGGAGATGGAAAACATGTATTTCCTTATGCATAGGATGAAGCCTATATATATAATGATCCCTGATCCCAATTCACCAACATTGTAGTAAGTCCATTAAAATATTTATTGCAGGTGATGTTGTTGCTTCTGCTGGTTGTTCCCTCAACGCCACTGATTCTGCCTGTGCCTCCATGTGTAGACAAACATCAGCACCCATGAAAGATGTGTTGTGGTGCATGATGCTTTGCTGTATAAACCAGGAATATAAGAAACCAGGAAGATCAAAATTTCAATAAAGAACGGGAGAAATTTATAGTGTATCTGGGAAACCACTGTAAACAATTGAACTCGTTATCAGGACTGTAATAACACTTGTAATGTAACAAGGATTATGGAGACTTTAGAAAAGGAAAAACTGAAGAGACTTTAAAAATGCAGCAGAAAAGGACTGGCAATGGAACCCATGGAGGCGTGGAGGGATGCTCAAAGATTCTGGCGAATCTTTGTGTATTTTTTATTTTTGATTTTGAATGGAAATAATAATTTGTAAAATCAAATCAAATATATATCTTTTAAAAAGAATAGCAAAAGAACATCTCAGAGCTACCACTGCCGAGAACAAGCTACAGCTCCCATAATTCTTTGGGGGAAGCCATGTCTGTGGCATCAAAGTGTCCTGGAAGAAGCAAAGATCACCCACGTTGAAGCAACAATTCTTCAACATCAACTTCGTTGGACTGGTCATGTTGTGCGGATGCCTGTTGATTGTCTTCCAAAGCAACTACTCTATTCCAAACTTAGAAATGGAAAGCGTAGTGTTGGTGGTCAACAAAAGAGGTTTAAAGACTCTCTCAAGGCAAATCTAAAAAATGTAGTATAAACACTGACAACTGGGAAATGCCTGCGAGCGTTCCAGTTGGAGAACAGCCTTTACCAAAGGTGTCATGGGCTTTGAAGACACTCGAACTCAGGACGCAAGGGAGAAACGTGCTAAGAGGAAGGCACACTTGGCAAACCCTCACCGGGATCAACTCCTGCCCGGAAACCAATGTCCCCACTGTGGAAGGACGTGTGGATCCCAAATTGGCCTCCACAGTCACTTATGGACTCATTGTTAAAACCACATTTATGGAAGACAATCTTACTCGGCTACGAGGGATTGGCAAAGGAAGAAGAAGAAGAAGAAGAAGAAGAAGAAGAAGAAGAAGAAGAAGAAGAAGAAGAAGAAGAGTGCTTTCAATGTATGGTGTGAACATGGCCAGAAAGTGTTGTTGTTGTTGTTGTTGTTGTTGTTTAGTCGTTTAGTCGTGTCCGCCTCTTCGTGACCCCATGGACCAGAGCATGCCAGGCACTCCTGTCTTCCACTGCCTCCCGCAGTTTGGTCAAACTCGTGTTTGTAGCTTCGAGAACACTATCCAACCATCTCGTCCTCTGTCGTCCCCTTCTCCTTGTGCCCTCCATCTTTCCCAACATCAAGGTCTTTTCCAGGGAGTCTTCGCTTCTCAAGAGGTGGCCAAAGTATTGGAGCCTCAGCTTCAGGATCTGTCCTTCCAGTGAACACTCAGGGCTGATTTCCTTCAGAATGGAGAGGTTTGATCTTCTTGCAGTCCATGGGACTCTCAAGAGTCTCCTCCAGCACCATAATTCAAAAGCATCAATTCTTTGGCGATCAGCCTTCTTTATGGTCTAGCTCTCACTTCCATACATCACTACTGGGAAAACCATAGCTTTAACTATATGGACCTTTGTTGGAAAGGTGATGTCCAGAAAGTGTTACTGCAGGTCTATTCTCACTTACCTGGGAGCAAGCCCCAATGACGTCAATGGCACGTACTTCACTGTAGATGTGTCTAGGATGGCATTAGATATCCCTCAGTCAGCAGCCTCCTTTTTAGAGATTAAGCATGGGCTTGCTGACAGTACAAGACACATTAGGGCAGAGAGAAACTCAAATGTAAGCATGGACAAAGACATCCCCACCATCCCCATATTTCAAACATTATTTCACTGAGCGTAGTATCTGGGACATTTCTTCTAACCCTAGCGGGCACAATTCTATTCTCTGTAAGTTAATGCACAGACCTTGTGACCTATTTTGTTCCCACTGAAGGCAATGAAAAGTCTTAAGAGCTCCCCCCCCCCCCATATTTCTCATTAATGGATGTGCTATTTATAGAAGACTCTATCACTAAAGATGAGTTTAAAAGCTAGTTTTCACTGAACATTCACCCTGAAATAAAGACTGCGTGTGGATCTGGCACTCACCAAATTTGCACCCTTCCAGGCGTAACGATAAACTTGAAAACAGACATTTTGAAAACTCTGTGGGTTTTACAGTTTCGAAATATCTGCTTCTTCTTTGTGAGATTGATATTTTATTGCAAGATGTTTCTTATAAAGAAAAGGAAGAAAGGAAAAAAGTGGAGAAAGGAAAAGAGAAAGAAGGGAGAAAAGGTGCAAAAATACAATGTAATACATTGTTGTTGTTCAGTCGTTTAGTCGTGTCTGATTCTTTGTGACCCCATGGACCAGAGCACGCCAGGCACTTCTGTCTTCCACTGCCTTCCGCAAATTCATGCTGATAGCTTCAAGAACACAGTCCAACCATCTCATCCTCTGTCGTCCCCTTCTCCTTGTGCCCTCCATCTTTCCCAACATCAGGGTCTTTTCCAGGGAGTCTTCTCTTCTCATGAGGTGGCCAAAGTCTTGGAGTCTCAGCTTCAGGATCTGTCCTTCCAGTGAGCACTCAGGGCTGATTTCCTCCAGAATGGATAGGTTTGATCTTCTTGCAGTCCATGGGACTCTCAAGAGTCTCCTCCAGCACCAGAATTCAAAAGCATCAATTCTTCGGCGATCAGCCTTCTTTATGGTCCAGCTCTCACTTTCATACATCACTACTGGGAAAACCATAGCTTTAACTATATGGACCTTTGTTGGCAAGGTGATGTCTCTGCTTTTTAAGATGCTGTCTAGGTTTGTCATTGCTTTTCTCCCAAGAAGCAGGCGTCTTTTAATTTCGTGACTGCTGTCACCATCTGCAGTGATCATGGAGCCCAAGAAAGTAAAATCTCTCACTGCCTCCATTTCTTCCCCTTCTATTTGCCAGGAGGTGATGGGCCCAGTGGCCATGATCTTTGTTTTTTTGATGTTGAGTTTCAGACCATATTTTGCGCTCTCCTCTTTCACCCTCATTAAGTAATTTCATTGCTATAGATTATTATAGAGATAAAAGGGATAATATCTGGTTAATAATAACCTACTGCGTTCCAAATATCAATATATTTATCCAAACAAAGTCTACATCTGTTGGTCATCCATCCATACGTTGCAAGTGTTATTGTGTTGTCAATCTTTTGATTAAATGGAATTGGATCTTTTTTTTCTTTCTTCCAGTTCATCAGGATCAGTCTCCTAGCAATCATTAGGGTGCATATTGTCAACTTCCATATAATAAGTATATAATTCAGAAGAATATTCTCCTCTGTAAGTTTTAACTTTTTCCATACATTCATATTTACACAGTCCAGCACTTTCTCCCAATAAGTAATGCACTGTAAAAAGGTGTGTTTCAAAGAGGCATTGTCCTGATTACATCTCCAGCAAAGAGCTGCTTTAGCTAGTCCGTTTTTATAGAAATCTAAAGGAGTCCAATAAATTCTGAATATTATTTTCTGTTGTCTTAATTTAAGATCCATCGATACCTTTGGTACCAATGTATTTTCCCGCTATGGGTAATATTTAAAGTTCCAGTGCTTGGCTCCAATCATTTCTTAAAGTCTGCATACCAAGCTTGTTTATTGATAATAAATATGTACAAAAAGCAATCACCGGCTTTTTAGTTCCAAACGAACTATTCAATTGCTGCAATATCTCAGGTGTCTCAGAAGCAGAAAAGGCTGCTGGCCCAAATAAATTTGTTAAACGATGTCATAGCTGGAGAAAGATGACACTTTTCTCTGAGAACATTGAAGCATCTGCTTCTTAGAAAGTCTGTTGCGTGATTCCCTCTAATGGCCAGACTTCAAGAGTTTTCACACATGACACTTAAAAGAGCTTTTGAATCACTTTCCCTGCTATTTGGGCACATGTGAGTGTTGTCAACACAGGAAAGAAAGCAAAACCCAGCCAATTTAAAACCAAAAGTTTATTCTAGCCACCGTAGGCATTATTACATTCACATTACAAAGAAAATGGGGGTGGGGAGGATTTAGGCCTCATATGTGAAAAAGCACCTTATAATCATGCTTTCTCTTCCACAGAAATTGGTACAGTCCAAAAAAGTTCATTCCTGATTTTCTACTCACAGGAAATCTCTGGGAACTATTTTTCAGTATCATTGGAAACACATTTGTGTGCCATCTGAGCTACAAACTATTATTTCTGCATACTTTTTCCAATCATGGTTTTTAAACTGAAAATAGCATCTCGGTCAGCCTTCCTCAAATTGCTGCTCTCTCTTTCTTTAAAACAACCCCCATCACTCCAGGCTGTTGGCTGTTAACCATGCTGGTTGAGGCTGGTGGTAGCTGGAGTGCCAAATAGCTAGACTTTGCCAGATCAGGAAAGGGTCATGAGATCAACACACACAGTGACGGAGCTCAGGTGACGTGTTGGACTGTCCTGCTCTATAGCAACTTCCTTGTTCTCCACTGGTTTCTTCAGTCGTTCAGATGACGAAGAAGAAGAGTTTGTATTTGATATCCTGCTTTATTACTACCCTAAGGAGTCTCAAAGCAGCCAACATTCTCCTTTCCCTTACTCCCACCCAACAAACACTCTGTGAGGTGAGTGGGGCTGAGAGACTTCAGAGAAGTGTGACTAGCCCAAGGTCACCCAGCAGCTGCATGTGGAGGAGCAGAGACGCGAACCCGGTTCCCCAGATTACGAGACTACTGCTCTTAACCACTACACCACACTGGCTCATGAAGATGTTTGACAAGGTCACAAACCTGAAAGAGAAATTGGTTTGACCAGTTCAGCAGTTCCTTCTACAGCAAACTTCCACCTTGTTCCATGCTAAGTCCCAGGTTAGTTGGGATTCAAAGGCATCATCTAAACCACCCCACCCCAATCCTTTTTTTTAAATAACTTTTTTATTCAAAATTAAAACAAAACATATTATCCAGAAACATATCATGCTTATTTCCCCCCATTTTTCCTCCCTCCCCCCACAGAACCCACCCCCCAACTTCCCTCAGTTCCAGTTTTTGATTTCTCTAAAAATACTGTTTTCTGCATGTTATACAGTTGTATAGATCCTCAAACTATTTAGCTGATTATTATCAATAAAAGGTTTGTGAATGTTTATTCAAAACCAGCCAAGGAGTCCAGTTCGCTTTGTTGCGTCTTCAAATACTTTGTTAAGGGTTCCCATTCATCTTTAAAGTCACAGTTATCCCTGTCCCGTAGCTTGTATGTCAGTTTTGCTAGTTCTGCATAGTCCATCAATTTTTCTTGCCATGATTCTTTAGTTGGGGTTTCTTCAGTCTTCCATCCTTGTGCTATTAAAACTCTTGCGGCCGTTGTCGCATACATGAAGATGTTTTTCAGCTTTTTTGGCAGATCTTTCCCTACAATCCCTAAAAAAATGCTTCAGGTTTTTTAACAAATGTTAAATGGAACATTTTCTTCAATTCGTTGTATATCATTTCCCAAAAAAAATTAATTACCTTACAATCCCACCACATATGATAAACCCCAATCCTTTAACACTATCACATTACTCAGGCTTCTTCAACCTCAGCCCTCCAGATGTTTTGAGACTACAATTCCCATCATCCCTGACCACTGGTCCTGCTAGCTAGGGATCATGGGAGTTGTAGGCCAAAAACATCTGGAGGGCTGAGGTTGAGGAAGCCTGACATTCCCTGATGGCATTCCTTGGCTCGCATTTGCAGCCAAGGTCTGAGAGTCACATAGGTCTGCTAATATTGAAACTGCCGCCTGCCGCCTGTTTTTATTACAAAACTGCAGGGGATGGCTAACACCCTGGCACAAATCCTGCCACCCCAGCACCACTGAAGGAGGGGCCCCAGCTCTGCTCCGGCTCATTTCACCGGGTTCCTCCTGGCAACCGCAGCTCAGTCTCCTGGCTGCTACTGCTGGGAATCCATTCGAAGGTAGAGTCCATGACTGCTGGTGATAAAGGGCAAGATCTGTAGAAATCGTAATGCAAGAACGTTTGACACTAACCCAGCCAAGTCTATGAGCAGAATGTTAATGAAGGAACCCATTAGGTCTGCAGAGCAGCAGCACTGTACCTGCATTGGCAACCCACTTGCGACAAGGGCACAAAGCAGGGGACCTGGGCTATTTTGATGGAGGGTGGATAGCAGCTGGCATTTCACTTTTGTACCTTTCTCGTTACATTTTTGTTTATCAGACGGTTTGGTCCTTCCTGCACTATGCGGTTCTTGCCTTAAACTCAACTCACGTCTTTGAAGTACAGTGGTACCTCAGGTTAAGTACTTAATTCGTTCCGGAGGTCCGTTCTTAATCTGAAACTGTTCTTAACCTGAAGCACCACTTTAGCTAATGGGGCCTCCCGCTGCTGCTGTGCCGCCAGAGCACGATTTTCTGTTCTTATCCTGAAGCAAAGTTCTTAACCTGAAGCACTATTTCTGGGTTAGTGGAGTGTGTAACCTGAAGCGTATGTAACCTGAAGCATATGTAACCCGAGGTACCACTGTAAGTTAGGCTGAAAGCTGGTAACGTGCCCCAAGTCTCTCAGGTTGTTTTTTAAAAATAAATAAATAAATAAATACATAAATCTTTATTGGTTTAAAATACAAACATACAAACATACAAGCATACAACGAAGGTAAGTATTACCGAGTTAAATTCAAAAAGGAAAAAAAAGAAAAGAAAAATGAAAAAGAAAAATTTGAAGCAGAAACAAGAAAATAATGAAAAAAAGGGGGGGAGATTTATACGACATTATATCTATCAAATAAAAAAAAATTGCAAAAAACTTCCAATCTTTCTTGTTATACTTTTTCTGTTGTCATGGTATCATTGTGCAGTTTTGTTTTATATCCTTTTTCTTACATTCCACTATAATGTTTATTTCAGTTATCTATTATTCACAAGTATCATTCCAATTCAGGTGGTATCATTTTTGCAATATCTCTTTTGCGAGCCTCTCAGGTTGTAATCCTATAGACCTTTGTCTGGAATCAAGTCTCATTGAAAATGGGACTAATTTCCGAGCGGGCATACATAAGATCCTAAGGTAAAAGGTATATTGCCTATAAGATTGTGTTGTCCCACCTCCCCACACTGGTTCTTGCAACGGGCGTCCTGCAAAGAACACCTGGGTCTGCCTCCAGTTTCCTTGTCCCTGCCTGCTCTACCCTTGATCTTCCCACGTTGAGGTGGAAAGTCTGAAGGGAGTTTGGATGTGTGTTTGGCCCAAGACCAACAGTTAGGGGTGCAGCAGGAAACACATGGACATTGGGAGTGGGGCTGGCACTCCACCAAATGTGGGAAGTTTCAGGACAGGCAAAGGGAAGTACTTTTCTGTACTTCCAGTGGGAGCCAGTGTGGTGTAGTGGTTAAGAGCGGTGGACTCGTAATCTGGTGAACCGGGTTTGATTCCCCACTCCTCCACATGCAGCTGCTGGGTGACCTTGGGCCAGTCACACTTCTTTGAAGTCTCTCAGCCCCACTCACCTCACAGAGTGTTTGTTGTGAGGGAGGAAGGGAAAGGAGAATGTTAGCCGCTTTGAGACTCCTTAGGGTAGTGATAAAGCAGGATATCAAATCCAAACTCTTCTTCTTCTTCTTCTTCTTCTTCTTCTTCTTCTTTTCCACACAACACATAGAGTCTGCTCCCAACCAACTTGGAGTGCTTCAAAAGAGGGTTAGATAAATTCATGGAAGATAAGTCTATCAGCCGTTACCAGGCACAAAGTCTATGTTCCCCCTCTGAATCACAGAATCGTAGAGCTGTAGAGATGGAAGAGACCACGAGGGTCATCTAGTCGAACCCCCTGCCCAACATGGGGGCTTGAACCCACGACCCTGCAAAGGAGAGTCCCCTGCTCTACCAACTGCATAATAATAATAATAATAATAATAATAATTTTTATTTATACCCCACCCTCCCCAGCCAAGGCCGGGCTCAGGGTAGCTAACAAGCAATAATAAAAACAAGTTGAATGAATACAACTTAAATACAACATTAAAATACAACATTAAAATATTGAAACATTAAAATATTAAAATGCAGTCTCATCACAGGAGGAGAAAGGAAAAAGAAAGAGGGGGAGGGAATCAAATTGGCTCCAAGCCAAAGGCCAGGCGGAACAACTCTGGCTTACAGGCCCTGCGGAAAGAAATCAGATCCTGCAGGGCCCTGGTCTCACGAGGCAGAGCATTCCACCAGGCCGGAGCCAGTGTTGAAAAGGCCCTGGCTCTGGTTGAGGCTAATCTAACTTCCTTAGGGCCCGGGACCACTAGGGTGTTGCTATATATGGACCTTAAGGTCCTCCGTGGGGCATACCAGGAGAGGCGGTCCCGTAGGTACAGGGGTCCTAGGCCGTGGTATTAATAATAATAATAATAATAATAATAATAATAATAATTTATTTATACCCCGCCCATCTGGCTGGGTTTCCCCAGCCACTCTGGGCAGCTTCCAACTGAATATTAAAAACAATACAGCATCAGACATTAAAAACTTCCCTAAACAGTTGTCTTTCATAGGAATTGTAAGTGAGGAGAGTGCTGGTGTGTTCAGGTCCTGCTTCCAGCCTTCCTCTCAACACTTCAGGAATTAAGTGGACTTTCCTGTGAACACATTCAAGGTGGAAACCAAGGGCCATTGCGCTTGCAGCCCCTGAACCAGAAGCAGTAATCTGACACGGGAGCACCTGGAGGAACCGAGAGTAGGGCGATATATCAAAGGCCACAGGAAAGAAACAAGGGCTCCATCTGGACTGCCAAAAAAAGTCTCACAGGCATCCCATGGAACATCTGGACAGAGAGAGCTTAATGCCTTGGATCCGTACCATTACTGATTTTAAAAATCTACCTCTGCAACAAACTGTAACAAGACAAACTACCGGTCCATTGGTGGACTTTGTCGTGTGAAACAGATAATTTCAAATGCATTAGGAACTGAGCTCCACCAAGCACATATTGATACCAAACTTACTTGTTTTTACATGTCTGCACTAATGGTATGACTTTAAAGAGCTGGGGAAACTCAAATGTATTTAAGGATGGAAACAGAAACAATGAAATTAGGAGCTCTTCAATTGATTTAACTAAGCATTTCCAGCTAATGAGTGGATGTGTTTTGCCTGCAGTGCGCAAGATAGTTCAGTTACCTCGGATTCAGCAGAGGAAGAGAAGGAGAAATAATCAATACCTTTCAAATCAATGTTTGCCAACAGTGGAAGTTACATTAAAGCTAACAACATTACCTGTTGACATTCAGCTGAAAATCTATGGCAAGGGTAACTGACCTGGGCGCTCTGTGACTGTTCTTGGACTAGAACATGGGTAGGCAAACTAAGGCCTGGGGGCCGGATCCGGTCCAATCACCTTCTAAATCCGGCCTGTGGACGGTCGGGGAATCAGCGTGTTTTTACATGAGTAGAATGTGTGCTTTTATTTAAAATGCATCTCTGGGTTATTTGTGGGGCATAGGAATTTGTTCATTCCCCCCCCAAAAAAAATATAGTCCGGCCCCCCACAAGGTCTGAGGGACAGTGGACCGGCCCCCTGCTGAAAAAGTTTGCTGACCCCTGGACTAGAACCTCCCGTCGCAGCTGTAGTCAGCATGTCCAATGGTCAGGGATGCTGCTGAGGTCCCAACAACATCTGGTAGGCACAACACTGGCCAACCCCTGGTGAACTGACTTCATAGAGAGGAATTCTCCAGCGGGGAAGAGCGCTTGGTTTCCATTTTGAATGTGTTCACTGCAAAGTCCAGCTAATTGCTCGCAAAAATAAGCGAACCAACCTAAGCAAGTGAAGTCACATGAGGTGCATGCACACTGCACATTTAAATCACAGTTATAATGACAGAATCATGGAGTTGGAGGGGACCCCCAGAGATCATCTGCTCCAACCCCCTGCAATGCAGGAATGTGCAGCTGTTCCATACGGGGATCGAACCTGCAACCTGGGTGTTATCCGTATAAAGCTCTAACCAATGGAGCTATCCAAAGCACCTTTTGTTGGTGCTTAAAAGAGACGGACCACATTAAACAGCTGTCGTCCCAAGCTCAAAATGCTGTAGCTGTTGTCAACAAACTGTTATTGGTGTCGACTTAATACATATTCTACCATTTAAAGTATGCCACCTTCCCACGATTGCTTATACTATACAGAAGCACTTAAAAACCACACAACATCTAGACTAATAAAAATACGAGCAGCAACATCTTAAGCCCCCCTTTTTAATTCAATGTCGAGATATTGCCCTTTGATGATATTGAGGCACTATATGGGCATGCAACTAAGGACGCGGGTGGTGCTATGGGCTAAACCACAGAGCCTAGGACTTGCCGATCATAAGGTCAGCGGTTCGAATCTCCCCGATGGGGTGAGCTCCCGTTGCTCGGTCCCTGCTCCTGCCAGCCTAGCAGTTCGAAAGCACATCTAAGTGCAAGTAGGTAAATAGGTACCGCTCCAGCGGGAAGGTAAACAGTGTTTCCGTGCGCTGCTCCGATTTGCCAGAAGCGGCTTAGTCATGCTGGCCACGTGACCGGGAAGCTGTACGCCGGCTCTCTCAGCCAATAAAGTGAGAGGGAGCGCTACAGCCCCAGAGTCGGTCATGACTGGACCTAACGGTCAGGGGTCCCTTTACCTTTCCCTTTAAACGCCAACAAACATTGGAGTTAAGACTGAATTCCTGCTGGAGGAGCTTCCTTTGCCCTGGATGTCATCAGACTGATACTCTTGAATCTAACAAAATCAGAAAACTCTGTTTATTGTAGGAAATACAGGCATAGTTACGATCCCAGTTCTAACTAACTAAGCAGGAGATGCAATGAGCCATGCTTCCATCTTACATCTTGGATGGAGAGACCTGCAAAACAGGGGTCTCCTCTCACAAAGAAGTAGGGAGCGGGAAATGATGTCCGCAGCCGCAGGAGTGTCAGTCTAGTAGTCTGAAGGAGGTTAGGGCAGCTTAAAGGACGGTCTAGGCCAGGGGTCGGCAAGGCCGGATCACTCCTGCAGAGATCCTCCATGGGCCGGGCCGGCGCAGTGCGACGCCAGAAATCTTGTCTGTGCATGTCCATGGTGATGGAAATCACTTCTGCACATGCCCAGATGCCAAAAATCGTGCCTGCACAGAAGCAATTTTTGGCATCTGAGCATGTGCAAAAGCGATTTCTGGTGCCGCAGACATGCGCAGATGCGATTTCCTGTGTCTGGGCATGCACAGAAGCAATTTCTGGAGCCATGGAAGAGAGTCCTCACACTGTGCTGTGCCGGTTTAGCACAGCATGCAGGGATTTGCCAAGAGGTTCAGGGGCAGCTTGTGGGCCAGTTAAATGGCCTCTGGCCCATGGTCTAGGCAGAGGGCCTTCTCGGTGGTGGTGCCTGCCCTGTGGAACGCCCTCCCACCAGATGTCAAGGAATTAAACAACTATCTGACTTTTAGAAGACATCTGAAGGCAGCCCTGTTTAGGGAAGTTTTTAATGTTTGATGTTTTATTGTGTTCTTGTGTTTATCCTGTTGGAAGCCGCCTAGAACGGCTGGGGAGGCCCGGCCAGATGGGCTGGGTATAAGTAAATAATAATAATAATAATAATAATAATAATAATAATGAGCTCCAGCTCCTCCTTTCCCATGCAGACACATCAGTCTTCAGTGCAAGTGGAGATGCTTCCTGACACATCCAACAAATCCCCCCCCCCAAAGAAAGTTTACACTGGGAGTGACTACAATTCCCAGCACCCATAAAAAGTTACAGTTCCCAGGACCTTTGCAGCCAGCCACAACATGGAATACACGCAGCAGCAGTTTCAGAGCTATTTTCAGGCACTGAAAGAAGTTCTGCAATCAACAGATCTAACTCAGATACGGAATAAAACAGGTTACAATGTTTCTAGGGGCTAGCACAAAAAATGAGGTAGAGTCATTGCAAATGAAACTCTTTAATTGTATCAGCATAATGAAGCTATTCACTGATAAGAAAAACCTATACTTATGCAACTTAGATCCAAATTAATTTTTGTTCTTCCTGTTTAAAATTATAGGTTATACATTGCTGTTTGCTGCCACTACTGACACTAATTGGGTTCTGTTTCTGTGCTAGATTGACAGTGAATTCCTCTCTCCAATTTACACCCACTTGATATTGGGAGAGAGAGAGAGAAATGGTTCCCAAATTCCTGCAGAACAACACCCTTGTACCATTTCCCCTCAGAGGTTGTATCTAGAAATGCCCCAAACTGGACTTTTGGGAGGAAATCTAAAATGGCAGCCACCCTACCAGCACAGCAAAGTGTTGAATAGTTCCAATAAATTTTGCCAGCCCCATGGCTGCCCCTTAACAAAGCATACTCACAAAACATGAAAGGAAGAAAGTGGTTTTGTCTTTTCATTGGCACCTCTCCAAAAACTGGGTTGAACATTTGGCCTTTCAGATGTTTGGTAGAGGGTGGGGGGAGAGGGGTAACAGTATTTACCAGGGACGGTAAAGATAAAGGGACCCCTGACCATTAGGTCCAGTCGTGACCGACTCTGGGGTTGCGGCGCTCATCTCGTTTTATTGGCTGAGAAAGCCGGCGTACAGCTTCCAGGTCATGTGGCCAGCATGACTAAGCAGCTTCTGGCGAAACCAGAGCAGCACACGGAAACGCCATTTACCTTCCCGCCAGAGCGGTACCTATTTATCTACTTGCACTTTGACGTGCTTTCGAACTGCTAGGTTGGCAGGAGCAAGGACCGAGCAATGGGAGCTCACCCCGTCGCAGGGATTCAAACTGCCGACCTTCTGATCAGCAAGTCCTAGGCTCTGTGGTTTAACCCACAGCACCACCCACGTCCCGCTTATTTACATTAGCACAGTCCAAACACTTGACTGGCTCCAGGCTGCCAACATGACATTATTCCTCTTTTCTCTTGCGCTTCTGCATCACACCATCAGCGGCCTAGGAAGGTGGTGTGTGGATTCAGCGTGTCTCTGAGTCCTGCCTCTACCACATCTTCTTCTCCTCCCCACTCCAACAGAAATCCAGCCTCTTCCAGTCGAACCCCCATGGGAACCATCTCTTGCTCTGTCCTCTGTCCTTATTGTCCCCGCAGTTTTGTGAAGAGCTCCAAAGGCTGCCGTGAGCCAAGAATGGGATTGAAGAGCAGAAGCTCAGAGCTCATTCTGCCCACGGCGAGACTCTTAAGTGGATTAGCAACAAAATGTCCTTGGATGGTTAAATGTCGCCGTGTACATGAAAATGGAAAGATGCTTTCCCCATGGTTTCTGTACATGTTGATGAACAATATTATCCCTCTTCAGACCCTAGGCCTCATCCCAAGAAGTCAGGTGTGTGTAGGGGGCTGGGCACAGGCTAGGCTGCCCACACCCACACCCAAAAAAATCACCTGCGTATCAGGAATACCCCCTCCTCCAGCTGACCTTTGCATGTTTAGGCATCTCTAGGTAGAGTTGCTCCTTCATGGATCACTGTCTTGCCGTGGCGAAGGGGCTTGAATAACTCAGAGAAGCTATGAGCTACGCCATGCAGGGCCACCCAAGACGGACAGGTCATAGTGGAGAGTTTTGACTAAACGTGATCCACCTGGAGCAGGAACCGGCAAGCCACTCCAGTATCCCTGCCAAGAAAACTCCATGGACAAAGACAACAGGCATATGAAAGTTATGACGCTGGAAGATGAGCTCCTCAGGTCAGAAGGTGTCCAACATGCTACTGAGGAAGAGCAGAGGACAAGTACAAGTAGATTCAGAGCTGATGAAGCAGCTGGGCCAAAGTCTAAAGGTTGCTCAGTTGCGGATATGCCTGGAAGCGAAAGGAAAGTCCAATGCTGTAAAGAAAAATATTGCACAGGAACCTGGAATGTAAGATGAGCGTGACCAAACTGCGGGAGGTAGTGGAAGACCGGAGTGCCTGGCGTGCTCTGGTCCATGGGGTCACAAAGAGTCGGACATGACTAAATGACAATACATCTTTATATTGGCCAGCCCTACAGATTCCACCAGCCTGTGGGCTTCATAAAGGTAAAGGGACCCCTGACCATTAGGTCCAGTCGTGACCGACTCTGGGGTTCCGGCACTTATCTCACTTTATTGGCCGTGGGAGCCGGCGTACAGCTTCCGGGTCATGTGGCCAGCATGATTAAGCTGCTTCTGGCGAACCAGAGCAGCGCATGGAAACGCTGTTTACCTTCCCGCCGGAGCGGTACCTATTTATCTACTTGCACTTTGATGTGCTTTCAAACTGCTAGGTTGGCAGGAGCAGGGACCAAGCAACGGGAGCTCACCCTGTCGCAGGGATTCGAACCGCCGACCTTCTGATTGACAGGCCCTAGGCTCAGTGGTTTAACCCCCAGCACCACCAGTGTCACTGGGCTTCATACAGGCTCCTAAATTGATCCGGATTTTCTCCTTGGGACCTTGTTCCCAGCACCTCCTCCTTCGCAGTGCTATTGCCCTCACACAGCACACACAAGACACCGCGTTAATTCTTCATTGTTGCATATAGTGTGTTTGCGTCAAAATCCTCTTAAATCTCTCCAGCAACCTTGTTAAATTAGGAATTCGTTTCTGCACGAGGCTAAATGCTGCCTGTAAGCAGGCCTAGGCTCTGAAACACTCGTATGTCACATAAGGATGTGGTATCCTAGGTCTCACTATTAGTAGATAAAGCCCTTAACAGCTGGCAAGCTGTTTACTTAAACTGGATCGTCTTACCCCATCAATGGCCACTCAGCCACTTCAATCTGCAGAAATAAGGTTCGTACAGGATCCATCTGTTGCCATAACAGCATCTACACTTTGAGACTCCCTGCCCCTTGATATTAGGTAGATGGCTCACTGTACGTAAAGTTGATACGTCTTTTAATATGAAGCTTTTTTACAGCACGCATTTTAAACTGCTGGTCCTATTTGTATTTTGATATTTTTAGGTCAACTTGTTCTTAACTTCTGACCTTCATCAGTAATTTTAATGTGCATTTGATGTAAAGCGCTTACAAGTTTTCACAGTCATATAAAATAAATGTAGCTTTTCAAACAGCCTTATTGCAATGACTCTCAAGGGTTGTTTGTTGCAACTTTACCCCTGTTTGTGCAACTGCCTGTGTTTTACCCCACCTCACTTCTCCACTTTCAGTTACTGCACAGATTGCCTCTTTTTTTCCCACTTCCTGAATGGCCCCCATCCCTTGATGCTGGGAATTCAATACTGGTAAAACTGTAGTTTGATTCTTAACATTGGCTATCAATAACATTTTGATGCTACTGAATATGTTTGCCACCCCCAAATAAAAAGGTAAAGGGACCCCTGACCGTTAGGTCCAGTCGCGGCCAACTCTGGGGTTGCAGCGCTCATCTCACTTTATTGGCCAAGGGAGCCGGCGTATAGCTTGACTAAGCCGTTTCTGGCAAACCAAAGCAGCGCATGGAAACACTGTTTACCTTCCCTCCAGAGTGGTACCTATTTATCTACTTGCACTTTGACGTGCTTTCAAACTGCTAGGTTGGCAGGAGCAGGGACCGAGCAACGGGAGCTCACCCCGTTGCAGGAATTCGAACCGCCAACCTTCCGATCGGCAAGCCCTAGGCTCTGTGGTTTAGACCCAAATACTTGCCAACAAAAAAAGAGGAGAGACTCCAAAATATGTTGGGAGTCCTAGAAGATTCACAAGCAGTAACAGCTGCTATTATTAAGTCAGTTCTCATTAGGAATCCACTAATTAACCTTCTGAAAATAGAAACATTTCAGCGCAGTGGGGGGAATATGAGTCCCCAGTCATTCTAACAACAGAGAATTCCACTCCTGGGAACAAGACTGACTTCATTTTTAAAAAACTCAAGCCATCCTTGACTGAGAAAACCAATCACTCAGGACTTTGAATTTTTTTTTTTAAAAAAGGGATAAATGTTCAATGCATAACCTTTAAGCTTTGTGTATAGATATTTACATTAGTATAACTGTAAAAAGTGAATTGTAATAAGATGAAGAAGGTTTAAAATTGGATTATTAAGATTATAATGTTTTGTGGACGTGCATGAACAAGTACTAAACAATGGAACCAAGAGGGGGAGTGAAGGGAAGTCAAGCAAAATTATGGTTCAAAAATTTGTTTATCATGTTTGCATTTTCTTTTTCTTTATGTATTGTTGTGATTGTTTTTATTTCTTTATTTTTTGTTGTTTTTGGAAAATTAATAAAATGTTATCAGAGAGAGAGAGAGAGAGAGAGAGAGAGAGAACCAATCACTCAGGTCTGCAAGATTGAGCAGAAGCCCAAACACAGTAGAGCAGGTCACACCATTGTGTGACAAACAGATGCAATGGCAGAAGAGTCCCCTGGCAGAGCCATTCCACCTGGGAAGATCTCCTGCCCAAATTGCTAAAGTTATGGGTGGGATATAGATGGCCGAGGGGACGGCAACCCTTAGGTCCAACCCACAAATTGTCCAATCCGTGGCTATACCCCCATAACCAGTGAAACTCGACACCAGCCTCCACAGGTAGCACAAATCCTTTCCCTCCCATGGCGGCAAAATCTTTAGAGGAGGGAAAGAATTTGTGCTCCCTGAATCAGGTAACTAAGCATCAAATCACAGCACATTGCCGCTGAGATATACAGACACTGGGAGACCAAAATTGCCAAAATCTTCAAATAAAAAAAAGTGAGTGAATGTGGTGATTTTTATTATTGTGGTGATTTTTATTATTGTATCATTTGTTACCTTGGAAAAAAAGAATCAGAATGAGCTTGAATGTAGGAACACATAGCATGATTTGCTACGAAAACTACAAAACAACTTCAAGGAGGAACGCCCATCTTGAAGGGGTTGTGCATGATTATTAATCAGATTGTCCTTCTACCTGTGTTAGAAACCAGGATGGAAAAGCTACGGTATTTGTCACATGGCTCCTGGTGGGGGAGAAGGAAGAAGGGGAGGCAGGTAATTCACCCCCCTCCTGTCTAGGAGCAAGGAACTGAAAGGGAGCTGAAAACACAGAGCAAAGGCAGAGAGAGCTAAAGGGATAAGTGAAAGTGGGCCAACTGAAAAATCAGTTAAAGGTAAAGGGACGCCTGACCATTAGGTCCAGTCGTGGCCGACTCTGGGGTTGCAGCACTCATCTCACTTTATTGGCCAAGGGAGCCGGCGTAGTTTCCGGGTCATGTGGCCAGCAAGTCTAAGCCGCTTCTGGCGAACCAGAGCAGTGCACGGAAACGCCGTTTACCTTCCTGCTGGAGTGGTACCTATTTATCTACTTGCACTTTGATGTGCTTTTGAACTGCTAGGTTGGCAGGAGCAGGGACCGAGCAACGGGAGCTCACCCGTCGCGGGGATTCGAATCGCCGACCTTCTGATCAGCAAGCTGTGGGTTAAACCACAGAGCCACCCACGTCCCGAAAAATCAGTTGCTACAGCTTTAAAATCAGTTGCTACAGCTTTTGTAAACCCAGGGGAGGGTGGGAACAGCCCAGGACAGGAGGACAGTTTGCTCTGTCTCCTGCAAAGTTGGCAATTCAAATAAGCATCCACTTAAACACATGAAAGAGCTTTGCAGTTTGTTTGTTTACTTATGCAAACAGCTCCACGATGGAGTCTCTTTGGCATTTCAAAAGGCTTCAGGGGAGTAGCAAAGGGGAATGCCAAAAGCTCAAGAGTGGAGGTTTTCAGTCACAAACCTTGCAACAGGAAATCTGCACTTGGTCTCAAGGGGGCGCTCCTGAGTGGGAAAAGGTACCTGGCACCTGGCTAGTTCAAACACTGCCTTCTCCCACACACCTGTTGGTACCCAAACGCAACATCTTTCTCTGTTTTGTGCTGAACAAATAGTGAGAATTATTCATCCAGAAATTCTTTTTTTGAGGATTCACAGGCCAATCTCAATAATCCATCCCAGAATTTCTCCAAGTACTGATAATTGAATGAAAACTCTTTTTGAACCCAAATCGCCAACAACTCAAGTAGTGGCTTTGGGGCACTGCCTGCAGTCCAGAAGGTGATCCTGAATTGACACCTTGGTTTTCCTTTAGGCTTCAAATTCCACACCAAATCTTCTATCACAGAGAATAGCATCTCCACAAGAGGCCTTGCAATTTTTGTCTCTTTAGGGCAAGGAAACTGGCAGTCATAATTAAAATTCTGTTAAGCATCTTTCCGTAGATGGATGTTCATGACAGATCCAGAAAGTTATTGATGATGCAATATTAGTCAGCTTCCAGAACATTGCCTCTGACCAGCTGATTCATCTTAGTGCTTGGCAATTTCCACATCTTCCACTGCCTGCAATATCATTTCCACTGTAAACACCCAAAAGGAAACATCAATCATTCACAATGCAAAAATATGTTCTGAAAGAAGAATTTCTGTTTGTATAGACTACATAGATATTTAGCCACAAGCAAACCATACAGTGGTTTTCTCCCTTTCTGAGAAGTCCTGACTGCATATCCACAAAATGATTGCAGAGAAAATCATTGGCCTAATAGACGTCGCTCCCAGCATTATTCCATAAATTCCAGTCTCTGTCTTCTCTCCAGAGAAGAAAGTTGATTCTTTCCTAACCTGGAACAAGGAGACTCCTTTCTGGCTAGAGCCCAGAAGAGTCTCAAGATGACACGGAAGAATAAGTATTTCTCTCTCTCATCACGTACAAGTGCATAAGAGAAGTGCCACAGAGAGCAAGGCTGGCAGAAAAACACCTCTTTTCCTGGCAAGAGAGACTTAAGTAATGCTGGCGAGATTTCTATGCACTCCCTACCACACACACAAAACATTCTTCTGGCGTTTATGAAGGAACCTCCCAGAGTATTTCTGAATGACCTGAAAGCAGCCAAAAAAGAAAGTGTGTAGACAGACCGGGAGCAATCCTACTCCTGCAACTCCATCTTTAATATACAGTGATGGTGGTCAGCAAGATCTCTGAGGTTAGCTGGACCATATGGAGGCTCCATGTGCATCTTCCCAGGTGGGGCTCAGTCCCCCATCTTCTGCTTCCCAGTGCATCATCCACACTCACTGACCCACCAGGCAGTTTGTAGCATTACCTCCCGTGAGCTTACAGCTTTATTCCCTCTTCTGTCTTGTCCATTTATTTCCCTGTAGCCCTCCTTGAATTTTTTTTTTAAAAAAAACCTTGCTTCATGCTACGTGCAATTTTATTAGCAGCATCCTCTGTATGGGATGGATGGGACGCGGGTGGCGCTGTGGGTTAAACCACAGAGCCTAGGACTTGCCAATCAGAAGGTTGGCAGTTCAAATCCCCGTGACGGGGTGAGCTCCCGTTGCTCGGTCCCTGCTCCTGCCAAAGTAGCAGTTCGAAAGCACGTCAAAGTGCAAGTAGATAAATAGGTACCGCTCCAGTGGGAAGGTAAACGGCATTTCCGAGCGCTGCTCTGGTTCGCCAGAAGCGGCTTAGTCCTGCTGGCCACATGACCCAGAAGCTGTACGCCGGCTCCCTTGGCCAATAAAGCAAGATGAGCGCTTCAACCCCAGAGTTGGTCATGACTGGACCTAATGGTCAGGGGTTCCTTTACCTTTACCTTTACCTGTATGGGATCCTTGCTCCGCTTCACCCGCCATGGAGCCTGCTCTTAGTGAAGAAGACCTACAAGTGCAGCCGCTGCAACTTCCAGGAAGGTGAAGAAGGGCCCTCAGCATCATTGCCCTCTGCAGCTTTTCCCTTGTGCTTCTGTAAGTCTCCTCTGGAGGAGAGATGTGGGAGCCAGCTGCAAGTAATCTAGCCTGGAGAGAAGGCCCCCCCTGCTCTGAGCTGTGTCTCAGCCCCACTCCTAGGGGGCCTGCAAGTGTCAGAAGGTCTGAACCAGCAGCCAGCTGTCCTCGTCTTCTTTCTTGTGGCTTTGAACTTATGTATTTAAGTCCTCTCCCCCCCAAATTTTTTTATTGGTTTTCACAAAATTATAAACAAACAAACACATGCAAAAAACAAACATAATTCATAACCTTATTAAAAAATTATACTTATTAACATTGTTAAGTGACTTCCTCGCTTCCCCTTGGTTGAATTTCATTGCATGTCCTTTTAACGGTTTTCCAAATCACAGTTCTTATAAAGTTTAAGTTGAACATTAACATCCTTAGATCTTTTCCTTTTGAAATTAAACATATTAATTCATCACTTAACTTAAGTAAAATCCTAAGCCAATTAAGTATCTACAAGCTATTTCCAATTAATTTAACTTAACATATTTAACTAAATAATCATTAAATTTAATCCAGTCTTCCTGATACTCCTCCTCCTTCTGGTCACGGACTCTTCTGGTTAGGTCGGCTAGCTCCGAAAAATCCATCATCTTTATCTGCCATTCTTCCACCATTGGTAATTCTTGCGTTTTCCACTTTTTGGCTAGTAAAATTTGAGCAGCAGTTGTAGCATACGAAAATAATTTAACATCTTTTTTGGTATGTATTCAAGTCTAGATTATTTCTTTTGCAATACAGTATTGATTTATTTGATGATGCTTCATAAACGGTTGATTTTTGTCTTATTTGAATTTATTGATTGATGGTATATTTTGTAAACTGCTTTCTATCCCAAACTTCCCAATGCAATGTTTTGTCATTTGAAAAGTGGGCATGACTTTATTTACACCTTATTGTGGAAAGGTGAAAAAACAGGAAACTAATTTTATTTATTTATTTTTTTGGTGATATGGCACATCACTGAAGGAGGAGCTATGGAATCCTTTCTCATTCAAAATGTTCACACGCCCAATAGTTTTGCAAGCACTTCTCCGTAAATGTGTACAGTGGTACCTCTGGTTACGTACTTAATTCATTCCGGAGGTCCGTACTTAACCTGAAACTGTTCTTAACCTGAAGCACCACTTTAGCTAATGGGGTCTCCTGCTGCCGCCGTGCCACCGCCAGGCGATTTCTGTTCTCATCCTGAAGCAAAGTTCTTAAACCAAGGTACTACCATATTTCTGGGTTAGCAGAGTCTGTAACCTGAAGCGTATGCAACCCGAGGTACCACTTTATTTGCAAACTTTCACTTAGCAACATTTCACCCTGTTGCTAGAGGTGAGAGGGAAAACATTACTAGCTGCATTCCTTATCCTCTTTCAGTTCACCTTACATCAAAACAGGTTTGGGTATATATGATAGAAATACGCAAGCTTACTACAGTATTGGATAGAAAAACCAAGTACTTACTCAATCTGAAACTGCTTGCAATGAATAACTCCAACTAAAGACAATGACCCTTAAGAATTTTCCATTTGTTTCAGGATTGCAGATTTACCAGTTCTAAAAAAAAATATACCATGAACATAGCAAATTGTGGGGTTTCTCAGCCTGTTTCATTCTACTTCCTTCCTGTTGCCTGGCTGGTAACCTTTGCCAGGCCTATGAAGAATAGCAGTTACCTCTATTTTGAAAATTGGAATGGGGAAAAAAAATCTATGGTAAATTTTAAATCGGGTACAGTGGTATCTCGGGTTAAGTACTTAATTCGTTCCGGAGGTCCGTACTTAACCTGAAACTGTTCTTAACCTGAAGCACCACTTTAGCTAATGGGGCCTCCTGCTGCTGCCGCGCTGGCGGAGCATGATTTCTGTTCTCATCCTGAAGCAAAGTTCTTAACCTGAAGCACTATTTCTGGGTTAGCGGAGTCTGTAACCTGAAGTGTTTGTAACCTGAAGCGTATGTAACCCGAGGTACCACTGTATTGGAGAATAGTGTAAATGTTTTACATACTCTGACTTCTCCTTAGTTTTTCTAAGACTACTGTCAAAGGGGGAAACTATAAATGTTATAAGTAAAACAAATAGTGCTGTTTGTACCATAATCCTAATATATTGGCCAAAATGCATAGAGTTACTTTCTGTGTGCTTATGAGCTTCCGCATACTCCCCTCCCACACCATGGAACTTTTTCCTTATTTGAGCAACAGACCCCTAAAGTTCCCTTAATTTCAGACATTGTTTGATCTGAGGACTCAGGACGCAGGAATGTTGCTGAAGTTAAGCAGGTCTGGGCCTGGTCAGCATTTGGATGGGAGACCACTTTGGAAGCCCACTTTGAATTTTATGGTGAAAGAAAGGCAGAATAAAAGTGCAGGGAATAAATAAAATTAATCCATTTGTGGCTCACAAGCCCCCCAACTGCAAGACTGTACCGTACTAATAGCTGTGGAGTTATGTGGAAGTAAAAGGTGCTTCACGCATCATGTTGGGAGCAGATGCCCTGTTGAGCTCCTGTTGTTCGGTCCCAGCTCCTGCCAACCTAGCAGTTTGAAAGCATGTCAAAGTGCAAGTAGATAAATAGGTACTGCTCCGGCGGGAAGGTAAACGGCGTTTCCGTGCGCTGCTCTGGTTCGCCAGAAGCGGCTTAATCATGCTGGCCACATGACCCGGAAGCTGTACGCCGGCTCCCTCGGCCTGTAGAGCGAGATGAGCGCCGCAACCTCAGAGTCGGTCACGACTGGACCTAATGGTCAGGGGTCCCTTTACCTTTACCTTATCAGATCCTGCATTTCCATGCGTTGTAAAGATGGCTGGGCTATCATTCACTTTGCATTCAGAAGGTTGACAGCTGCATGTTGGGCAAAAATTCAATGAGCGCTGCATTTGAATGCATGGATGTGCAGTGTAATGCAAAGAGCTGCACCTGTTATATTCCTGCCTGCTCTGCAGCAGTTAAAAGACACAAGAGGAAGCCTGCCAAGGAAGGGGAGAGATGATTTGCAACCCTCTGTCATATGAGAGCAGCCGCTTGGAGCCATGACTGAACTCTGGTTGTTCATGGGAGCTGAGTGCATTAAATAATGGAGATTGGAATCATCAATAAGTGACACTTCTAAATATTACTTCTGGAATATCACAGACTGCTCAAAGCAAAGCAGAGCAATCCTATACATATCTACTCCTAAGTAAATCCCTCTGAATTCAGTGCGACTTCTTTCAGTAAAGTGAGTATTGGAGCTTTAAGAGTCTCATTCGAAGGCTGCAATCCTACAGACACTTACTCAGCAATGGGACTTACTTCCGAGTAGACATGGTTAGGATCCCCATATCTGGGCCATGCCTTTATTAGGACCAACCGAAGGGCAGGGGTCCCTTTGGTTCCGTCCCCCCAAAAGTAACTTCAAAGCAATCCGTTCCAATCTCTTGCGGCCCCTCTCTGATTCCTTACACACGCACGTGCACACGCGCATAAACACGAATTTATTCCCCCGTCTGTTTGGCCACCCAGGACTCGGTCGGTGGAGCGTGGGCCTCTTCCCCTCCGGGTGGTGGGTTCGAGCCCCATGTGGAGCAAAAGGTTCCCGTATTGCAAGAGGTTGGACTAGATGAACCACGAGGTCCCCTCCAAGCCTAGGATTCATAGGGTCTTTGCTACACCTTTTCAAAACACCTGCCTGTGGAGAGGGTTCCTAACTTGGCAGAGAGAGAGAAAGAAGACTTGAAACACAGGACGAAACTGTATGACACTGAAATGTGGGACAATCCTGCCTTTCCGCGCGTGGATCTCCTCCTGCCACCCCCGCCCGGCAAGGCGCAACTTACTGCGCGGAGGTGCGGGGCGCGCGCGGCTCCTCTGTGCGCAGGCGGCGGCGCGGGCGCCCAAGAGCCTCTCTTGCGCGCCTGCTCGCTCCTTCGCAGCTGGGCGGCGCGCGCGGGATCGCGGCTGCGCGCGTCGGGCACGCGCCCGGCGCAGCTGCGGCGCCAGGTTGGGCGCATCAGGAAATCAGGGCAGCGGCGGCGCTGGCGATTGGAGGCGCGGGCAGGAGCCCCGCAGACGCCGCCCAGCCAGGCGCCCGCACGCGGCCGCGGAGGCAGCGCGGCGCCTCTATAAGAGCGCCCGGAGACGCGCAGCCCGCCCTCCCCGCCTGCTCGCCCCGTCAACCTCGCCCGCGCCGCCGGACGCGGGTGCGCGCAAGCCAGGGGGCCTCCCGGAGACGCGCCTCGTCCGTCCTTGCGCCGCCTGCCTCGTCCGGGAGTCTGCCGGCTCCGCTTTCCAAAAAGGAGCCGCGCGGGTGGAAAGAAGGACGGACTCGGTCGTTGCCGCCGCTGCTGCTTCTTGCCTGTCCGCCGCTCCCGCGCCTGCTTTGGCTCCGCGGAGCTGCGCGAGGAGGCGCCGCACGATGGGCGCGCTGCCCGGCTGGGCTCTTGTCTGGCTGCCTCTGCTGCTGGCCTCGGCTCGCCTGCCCGCGGCGCGCGGTGAGTAGCCGGCAGCTAGACGGGGTGCGGGGCCTTTTCCACGCGGGTGCGGGGAAGCGCCGTGGGCGGAGGAGCCGGAGGAGGCACCGCGCGCCGGGAAGAGGCTTGGGGGTTCCCATGGGTGAGGAAGGGGTGCGTCTAGGTGGGCGCTCCCTCCTCCGGGGGGTCTCCGGATGGAAAAAGGTCCCCCCTCGGAAAAGCATCCCGAGAAACGCAGCCCGACGCGCCGGAGCAGCCGCAGCCGCGGGCTGCTTCTGGGCACCCGAGGGGGGGGGGCGTCGCTTCGCGGGGGGCGTCGAGGGAAGCCCTGGCGAGGGATGGACGGGATCCCCTTTCCGTGCCACGGCCGAAGAAGCCGGCAGGCCTCGGGAGGAGGGGGGCAGGCAGAGGCTCTTTGTTTCCAGGGCTGCTGCTGCCGCCTCCACTCCGCCGGTGAAGAGATCACCTGGGATCTTTCCCCCATTTCGCCCTGGGAGGAGATTTCCATGGCAGAGGGAGCGAGCAGCTGGCTTCCCTCTTGCTGCTCCCCTGTTGCTTGCAGAGTCCATCCCAGGCGCGTTTTACTCATTTCAAGACCCCGCTTTCAGATTCTCTAAGCAAAGGGTCGCCAAACTCCCTAGTCCAACTAATTGCTCTGGCTGCCTTTATAGATCAGGTGAACTGTTTGGTGGTCCGGAGCTCCGTCCGTAAGATACCGGAATGGGACTCGAATGAAACAGGGGGACTGGGGGTGGGGGTGAAGCTTCTTGGAGTGCCGCCTTGCTCGTGGCCTGTGAACAAACCCCCGTGTTTTCTGCGCAATTTGGGCTGACATTTGGGTCTCCTCTGGTGGCAACTGCTCTCTGCTCTTCGAGCAGTGGCTCTGCAAAGGTTTATAAGTAACACCTGGGACAGAAGCGTTTGTTTGAGTAGTTAAACTATGAACCAGCCGCTCCCTAAAATGACACTTTTTCAAAATTTGCTTTGCTAACCTGAAGTGTGTGTGGCTTGAAGATAAACGGGGAGCAACTGGAGAGTTAAATGAGACTTTGAGTAACAGCTTCGAGAAGAGCCGCACCAGACATCTCCAATGAAGGCCATTGGTGTTAAAGGGATGGCTATCCTGTTTAAGTAGGCCAGAATAGCCTATAACTGGCCCTTCTAGGCCAGAAAGGTGCAGCAGTGAATTCAAACTGCAAGGAAGGAGATTCTGACTAAGTACTGTATTAGGAAGTTTTCTGACCATAAGAGCTGTTTCGCAGTGGAACAAACTCCCTTTGGAAATGGTGGACTTTCTAAGCAGAGGTTAGATGTCTGTCTGGGATGCTTTGAGATTCCTGCACTGCACAGGGTTGGACTAGATGACCCTCGGGGTCCCTTCCCGCGCCATTATTTATTATATTTGTATACAGCCCTAAACCCGCAGTTCGCAGTTCTACGATTCTAAGTATTGCCATACTATTACAGACATGTGAAGGCAGCCCTGTTTGGAGAAGTTTTTAATGTTTGATGTTTAATTGTGTTTTTAATATTTTGGTGGGAGCCGCCCAGAGTGGCTGGAGCAACCGGGTCAGATGGACAGCACATTAATAATAATAATAATAATAATAATTAACTATGCTGTAGGGCTGAGCAGGGCACCAGCAGACAAAATCTGCGACGACCCCAAACCTAAATTCTAAATTTCTGCTAATGAAAACTGTAGTTGAGAGAAGTTCGCCTGAACTTTATGGCTGCTACTGTTGCATTTGGCCATATTTGCTACAATATTTAAACTGTCTCTTCCTTACTTGTTTCATTTGCTTGGTCTTTGCCTCTTAATCCCATAAAGGTGAGAGTCTAATAGTTGTCGCAAAGACTCAAAAAGTGACTGGATACCTGAATTCTTCAGAAGTACTTTGTGTAGTTAAAATGTGTGCTGTAAACTCTAAACTTGGTATAATTAGGACATTCTTGTCCTAAGGATCTCCTTGCAGCTGGTCCTCCTAAAGGGGCATGGCTAAGGCTTTCTTGGTTAAGGACCACATTGTTAAAACCAGTCTTGGGGGCTACACTCTTGAGAACACCTATAGATGCACAGTCCCATTTTACTAATTCAGGGTGAAGTCTTAGAGAGAAAGCTATGGCAGGGGAGGGTTGTCTGGGCAGGGAGGGGGCTGTTAGCTATCCCTGGTGGGGCAGGGATACCAGCCATTCAGATACCGCATCACTGGCACTTAAATAAATCCTGCTTGATTTGGGCACGTGCCAACTTTTAGAAGAGGTCCTCCCCTGGGAATATAAATATAGTCCCTGAAACTTTATTTTATATATTTTTGTTTCATAAAACGTAGGTGCTCCTCGATTGTGCAAAGAACAAACCAACCTCAAAGCAACCACTTTGAGATTCTAATTCACGAGGCCTTAAATGTGTTGGCTCTCTATTAAACTGGGTCACCGGCTAATGCATTCTCCAATCAGGTGGTGAATGCTTGTCACTTCTATGTAGTTCAATTTAGCATTGGCCTACTACCAGGCTGAGGGACACGGGTGGCGCTGTGGGTTAAACCACAGAGCCTAGGACTTGCTGATCAGAAGGTCGGCGGTTTGAATCCCGCGACAGGGTGAGCTCCCATTGTTCGGTCCCAGCTCCTGCCTACCTAGCAGTTCGAAAGCACATCAAAGCACAAGTAGATAAATAGGTACCACTCCGGCAGGAAGGTAAACGGCGTTTCTGTGCGCTGCTCTGGTTCGCTAGAAGCGGCTTAGTCATGCTGGCCACATGAGCCGGAAGCTGTACGCCGGCTCCCTCGGCCAATAAAGTGAGATGAGCGCCGCAACCCTAGAGTCGGTCATGACTGGACCTAATGGTCAGGGGTCCCTTTACCTTTACTACCAGGCTAGTTCATCAACCATCCAAATAGGAAGATGCAGTTTGCATTGGTGGTGGTAATGTCTTTAAAAGTTTGTCATGCCCGAGGCTGTCCTAAAATCTAAGGATTTATAGCTGGGACCCTGCACATATCACCCCTTTCCCAAGTCTTCACTTCTCGGTATCTAATCAGGAAATGCCACTTCCAGCCAGAAGTTTATTTCTGAGCACTGACTGTACCTTATACTGGCGAGCTCTGCTAGGAGGAGTTGACTTAGATCACCACTTGCTGTTTTAGTGAGGACTAAAATAAATGCTCTCTACTAACCTTCAGGTGGCAAAAGTAAACATGGAAATGATGCAACAAATTAAGAAGAGTCTTGCATCATGCTGCACTTCCTTGGCCTTTACAATGCCTGGATCATGTTTCACTGTGCTTCTAGACAGATGAGCCTGACTAGAGCCTGCGCAGAAGAGAATTTATTCTTGTCCTTCAGATCGGCTTGGGAGTACGTGCTGGGAGGAGGAGCACAATTCCTCGCTTCTGGAAGTAATAAGTTCAAAAACTGGAATACAGTACTAGATAAAATTCAGCTATTCTGATTCTTTTGCATGCCAGGCAGCACTTTCCTTACTGCAGTTTTACTTGCAAAAGGAAGCTATTCCACTTTGTGGAAAGTGAGACCTGCTGATGTGTTGTTGTTGTAATAATAATAATAATAATAAATAGTAATAATAATGCTGCAATATTTATACACCACCCATCTGGCTAGGTTGCACCAGCCACTCGGGGCAGCTTCCAACATATATAAAAAATATAATAAAACATTAAAACTTCCCTATACAGGACTGCCTTCACATGTCTTATTTATCTCCTTGATGGGAGGGCAAGGGCCACTACCGAGAAGGCCCTCTGCCTGGTTCCCTGTAACTTCACTTCTCACAGTGAGGGAACTACCAGAAGACCCTTGGCGCTGGACCTGTGTGTCTGGGCTGAGCAATGGGGGTGGAGACACTCCTTCAGGTATACTGGGCCAAGGCCGTTTAGGGCTTTAAAGCACAACACTTTGAATTGTGCTCAAAAATGTACTGGGAGCCAGGGAAGATCCGTTTACCTTCTCGCCAGAGTGGTACCTATTTATCTACTTGCATTTTGAGGTGCTTTTGACGTGCTAGGTTGGCAGGAGCTGGGACCGAACAATGGGAGCTCACCCCCGTCATGGGGATTCAAACCGCCGACCTTCTGATTGGCAAGCCCAAGAGGCTCAGTGGTTTAGACCACAGCGCCACCCGCATCTCATAATAAATATATTTTACATAATAAAAATGGTATCTGCAAGTGCTGAAATTCCACTTAGCCTTCAGGGGGTGATGAACATCTTCCTAGAATTAGTTGATCCTATGAACTTTGAGTTGAGACCCCAAAGGAACTTAACAAAGACATCTCAGAGCATTGCAAGATAACTAACTTAAGGAGCATAAGTTTTGGCACATGGCACTCAGTCTGCTTCTTCCATGGTGATTTATATGGCGTGTGTCTGCACATAGGAATCCAGGAGGCTGATCTGGCACACCTAACCTCTGATAAAAGTCGCTTCACAAGTAAAAATTCCTGGTAGTGTTCACATTCTGTATACTCTTCTGTATGTTTGTGTAGTATACATGTTGGTTTATTTTAGGCTTTATTTTAGCATTTTGGAACTAAAAAATCTTCCTTAAAGAAACCCCAAGTATGATATTACTTGCCCTCCCCCAGTCTTGAACTGCTCTTGAACTCTGTCTGCATGTCTTCTCTGATGTCAGTCTGTTCTCAACCATCCCACTCTTCAAATGCATGCTTGCAAAGTCTTTTCAGGGTGACTCATTTCTTAATACTGGCCATTGCTCCCTGTTTTGTTGACTCAGAATTTGCTCAGCTACATAGTGTGTGCCTTATCTTCTCTTAGATGAAACTATCTGCCCAGGCGGTGTTATAATCTATGTTCAGTGCTTGGTGGTTTGGCAAAAGTATAGGCTCCCCAAATATTCAGTGGGACTTTCTCCCAAGATGACAGCAAAACTTGCATCAGTGATAGAACTGTGCATCTCAGCATCTCCTTGACGCATCTATTGTCACCTGAAACCTGAACAACTGAGCTAGGCCATATTAACTTGTTCAAGATGCATGTATATGTATCTTGGTCTTTTAAGTGGCTCAGTATACAGTGGTACCTCGGGTTAAGTACTTAATTCATTCTGGAGGTCTGTTCTTAACCTGAAGCACCACTTTAGCTAATGGGGCCTCCTGCTGCTGTCGTGCTGCTGGAGCACAACTTCTGTTCTTATCCTGAAGCAAAGTTCTTAACCCGAGGTAATATTTCTGGGTTAGCGGAGTCTGTAACCTGAAGTGTATGTAACCTGGAGCGTATGTAACCCGAGGTACCACTGTAGTTATAATGCTCTATTAAAAAAAGTAAAATAGCCTGACTTTCATGGACTAGAAAGCCATATTAATACTCTTTCAGGTTGTGATTGAGAGTGATATTCCATGGCAAGATCATTACCCATGGGGTCTACTTGCTGCTAAAGTGGACCTGTGGTTTAAGGGCTCCCCTTGTAGCTACAGGTGACATGGGATTCTGTGCAAATGGGAGAGCTGTTCAGTGGAAGGAGGGACTGAATCTACCAGTTCTCTTTTGCCAGCTTTCCTGCTAAAGACCAGCTTTCCTGCTAACTAGCCTCTTAGGAGACTGGTAAGTATTGCAGGCTAGCAATATTTGTGGCCTTACTTTACTAACATGGCTGGTTGTTAATCTCTTTTTGCTGAGCACAAAATAAATCAAAGCTAGTTGCTAGTCATATCCCAGAAGAGTGATAGGACTTGAGCTGTGTGAATTAAGGAGTTTGTACGTTGGAGAAGGAGCATCCCGTGACATCTGAACAGAGGACGATGCCAAGCGCTGACACTAAAAGCAAAGAAGCCTCGTCCATGTGAAAGAATGCATTGGATTGGTTAACTCTGAATTACTGCTTCTGCATCTAACAGGCTTGTTTCTTAATTCAAGGTACAAGAGTGACTTGTGACGACTCTCAGTTCCAGTGTCACAACGGCCGCTGCATAACGCTGCTATGGAGATGTGACGGAGATCCAGACTGCACCGATGGCAGTGATGAACTGTCCTGTGGTAAGGAAGGTCTTGCATGGCCACTGAGTCCGTAGTTGAGTAGCAAAGTAGCTCAGCAGGTCCTTTGGCCTGCCTCTGACATGCTTTGAGCTTGGGTAGCTGGCAGCAAACCATGAAGAACAAAATGACTGCAGTTAGAGGTTCACGTCAGGCTTATCAAAGCATGCATCCCTATCAAGGGAGTCAGTTCTTTGGTTGCATGTGGGATGGGCCACTGGTTTTGACTAAGGCAATTGGGCAATTACTTTTTTCTCCCCCCCCCCTTCTTTGTTGATAACATTTTATTGATTTTCCAAAAATAACAAAAGGGGGGGGAACGGGACAGAGAAAAAAATCATAACCAAATTAAACCATCATTTTTGGTTGACTTCCCTCCACTCCCCCTCTTGGTTCCATTATGATATACTTGCTCATGCACGTCCATGAAATCTTATATCCTTAACAATCCAATTTTAAAACCTTCTTCATCTTATTGCAAGTGACTTTTAAAAGTTATACTGATGTAAAAATCTATACACAAAGCTTAAAAAATATGCATTAAACAGTTGCCCTTTTTAATAATAATTTGTCCTGCACAGTTCAGTAATTTATTTTGCCAGTCTTCTTCTTTTTCTTCTTATCTTCTTTGGCCAGGGCTTCTTCCTTCTATAGGGGCTAGTTGGACTTGGCCTGGCATCCAGTCCCACGTATTGGAACAAAGTCTTTTGCTCAAACAATCCAAGTCCTGTACATCTCAGTATCATAACTTCAATTTTTTTTTAACAACAATCATTTTCCACATTTCCTTCAAATCTTTATATGTCTTTTCCCAGTCCCAATTACTTCTGTTTCTTAAGGCTCTGCTCAGAACTATGTGCTTTGCGCCATCTGACTTAGATCAACCTGAGCCTTAAGTGTTGGCTTGCCTGACTCTTCTAAGTTGCTCCCTTGTTTATTTGGTAATGCTCAATACATAGATAAACAACTTGTAGTCTCTTGGAGATTCTGCCATTCTCAGGAGCTTGGGTGCCAATAGGCCAAGAGAGGGTCTTCTCTGTGGCAGCCCCTAAGTTGGGGGACTCCCTCCCCACAGAGGTGTATATTGCAACTTCATTATACAGTTTGGGGCAAATGCTGTAGTTGCACCCCTTTCTCCTTTGACACCTGGGAATGTTAGATTTTCAAGACCCTGTTTTTCATGATTGTGTTTTTTAAAACTGTATTTTAAATCATTGCAATCTGCCCTGAGACCTTGGGGTGACGGAGAGGTAATAAAGTAACAGGCAGTGAAGTGTATGAGCATCCTTTGGTGGTGGCTCGGGCTATGCAATGGCCTTCTTATTGACGGCAGTCATGCTGCGATGTTCACTTCAACACAAGATCAAAACTTACTACTTTGCCCAGGGACTTTTATTGCGGTTTTTAACCAACCTTTCATCTACTCTGCTTGTATTCTATGACCTCCATATGCATTATGATTGATTGTTTTTAGTGTACTGTATACTTGGTTTTATTCATGCCTTTCTTATATCCTGCTCTAGTGTCTGTGTAGATGAAAAGTGCTTTAAAAACAGCTTTTAGTAATACAGTACTCAATTTAGTGTTATATAGAGATGGGGACAATTGCAGTTCCGTCTGCATATTGAAGCGAGTCTTCCTAATGTGCTCACCTCAGACACCTTGATGGCTACAGATTAGACCACATAGTCAGTGAACCTCTGTGCACAATAGGTCCATGCCTTATTATTAATTTTATTTATTCCCTGTCTGTCTGTCTGTCTGTCTGGGTTTCCCCAGCCACTCTGGGTGGCTTACAGCATATACCAAAACATCATAAAACCTCAAATATTTAAAACTTCCCTATGCAGGGCTGCCTTCAGATGTCTTCTAAACGTCAGATAGTTGTTTATTTCCTTGACATCTGATGGGAGGGCATTCCACAGGGCAGGCGCCGCCACTGAGAAGGCCCTCTGCCTGGTTCCCTGTAACCTCACTTCTTGCAGTGAGGGAACTGCCAGAAGACTCTTGGGAGAGGACCTCGGGGTCTGGGCTGAACGATGGGGTGGAATTGTATGGGGGAAAGATGGCATCACTGCCCATGGCAGCAGCTGTCTTTTCTTCATACAATTCCTTGACTGCATGTTGTGAGAGCATTTTAAAACAAATCTTACAATGCAGCCACAGAGCTGCTCTAGGCAGCTATAAAATCTCAAAGGAGAAAAGGGCACCTCTTGAACCACCTCATAGAAGTGTTGCTTTTGTTTGTTCATAAAATTAGGTGGGATTTTTATTTTTTAGGATTTTCCCTTAAAAAGAAACCTGTCCATGAATTGGATGAAATGGGGCTGGTTTCATAAAGATATGAACGACACAGGATGGAAATACGATGACCGTCCACCCTGGGGTTGGGAACTGTTGTTGAAAGACCACTTGGGAAACAGAAAATTCCTCCTCCCAATGTTGAAGTGGAGCAAGCCTGCATCTCTTGGAGCAACAGGACGACTATGTCATTCTGCCAACTTCTACTATAGCTGCACCTCAAAATATCCTGCTAGAGGTTGCTACCACATTTTCTTTGAGGTCCAGCACACACACTTAGCATCCCTACCAAATTTATTCCATACACATCCTTTGGCACTTTGCTTCCTGTATTCTTCGTGTTGAGGAAGTGGCCAGAATCCTAACTAGGGTTTCATAGCTATGCTGTGACCTCTGCAACAGGGTAGCTACAAGGAGCATGAAATCCTGCGCACTGGTCCTGTGGAGGCCACTTGGCACCATTAGCTGGGCTAGGGCATCTGTTTATTGGAGCAGTTGAAAGCAAGCGATGGTCTTTTCCCTGACAAATTCAGCAAAATGCTACTTCCTTGCAGTGAAGAAGACGTGTGCCGCATCTGATTTCGTGTGCCTAAGTGGGCAGTGTATACCGAACCGATGGCAGTGTGATGGGGACCCCGATTGTGAAGATGCGTCGGACGAGCGATCTGAACTTTGCTGTGAGTAGCCGGGTCCTTAACTCCGCAAGGCAACTGCGCCACCTTCCCTTAAAGCTGGAGCCAGGGCAGGCTGCTTCCATGCTTTTTCCATATGGCTGAGACAAAGAACCTCTTGCACTGAAGTTGCAGACATGCTCTCAAGCCGTTGGGCAGGAGACAGGCAGGGGGGAATTCGAATTCAGATCGCCCATGTCTGGCCTACAATCCAAACCTTCATCTACTTTTGCTACAAGGCTAGGCTTCCGGATTTCTGGGGGAAGCCATGCTGGGGCCTTAGCCCCTTTCTCCACAATTAAGTAAAACTTTTTAGCATTAAACCAACCATTAGCTATATATTGGCAAATAACTTGGCATAAGCCAATGCATTATTAACCGCAAACGGGGTTATTGTGTTGTGGTAGCGTTTGGTATTTGTTTTAAATGTGTAAACAAGCATCAAGCCAAATCTATGAAATATTAAAAATGCAAGATTCTCTTCCCCACTCTCCCCCACAAAAGGTTAAGCTGCTCAAGTCTTGCCTAAGATGCTGAAAGGGAGAATTGGCTTCCCCCTGTAGGGTTGGAGATCCCTGAGCAGGGCATAGACCAAGCCTTACTGGACTGGTACCTGCACTGACTTGCATAGGAGCTTTTTAAGTATTCCGGGTATTATTATTTTTTTAAGTGAACTCTTGATCGCTTCTCAATAGACACAAGGAAGTGTGATATAGGGGAAGTCAGCTGTGGCCCTCAGTCAAGTCGCTGCATCCCCGTGTCCTGGAAATGCGATGGAGAGAGCGACTGTGATGCTGCTGAGGATGAAGACGATTGTGGTAAGTTCATCAGGGCTGTGTGGGTGACTTGGCCGCATCACACCCCATAACACACAGGAATTGTATTAGTATCCAGCCACGCAAATGCACACTAGAAGCAGTGTTTGCAGCTGATTTAGCATCTTGATATGCAAGCATCAGTTCCTGTATCCAGTTGAGCTAAGCTTCAGTAAAATGGTGGTTGTGGTTTCTTGTCTCTACTTAAAGGTGTGGGAATGTTAAAGAAGGTAGGAGAGGATATATCGTTTTGAGATTATCCCTCCTTACTCACGCTAAGTAAACAACAGAGCACATTCCCTTTGCAACTTGTTGGAGTTGATGATTAGTTAGAATCCTTTAATTAAGCAATCCAGTTTGGATTGTCCAGCCTGGATTGTTCCTGATCAGTTTCCCCTTTTATTTCCCTCTTAAAATAATAGGGACATGGGTGGCGCTGTGGTCTAAACCACTGAGCCTAGGGCTTGCTGATCAGAAGGTCGCCGGTTCAAATCCCCGCAACTGGACTTAACTGTCAGGGGTCCTTTACCTTTTTAAAATAATAATAACACAACACAGTCTTCTTTAAAAGTAAGAATAAAGTTTTACTCACATTCAGTTCCCAGCAGTAATCTAAAGGTGGGCTTTATCTTGTGGTTACAGTGAAAAGAAGTCTGAGCTACGTCTCAGACTTTCTGCTTGTGAGCTCCATCCTCTGTGAAGGTTGAGCCATGAGCTGGCTGAGAACCAGGAGAGCAAGAGACCAAGAGAGAGATGGTTGCGTGGGCAGCCCTTTGATCTGGTCTGCTAGGATCATGCCCATCTATCTGGGCATGGGAGGAATCACAGGGGGAGGAAGCTCCAGAGCAGGTATGACAGGATGTTCTTCCTGTCTGGAGCCACATTCCTCTGTGTGTCCATTCTAGGCAATGGGAAAATGTTGTACTTGACTGCTCTTGTAATACTACATCTCACAAAAGGGACTTGAGCAAATCCCCCAGTAACATTTTCCAGGGGTAGTTGAGTCGGGCTGTGCACAGCCCCCAGACCTGCCCCATGGCTCCAGTCTTGGGGGCACTGGATTCACTCTGCCTGGGGACCACCCCCAGCCCACCTTGGACCTGTTCCTAAGTAGGTGCAAGGCAGGCCAGGGGCTGGGGAAGGAGACCTCCTCCTCCACCACCTCCCCTCGGATCACCCTCTCATCTCTGCAGTTGAGCAAAGGAGGCCATCTGGGTGGAAGGGTGGTGCTCTGAAGGACTTGTGTCACCCTCATATTGCCCACACGCCAGCTTTTGAGTGGAGGAGGGCATCAGGCAGGCAAGCAGGTTTTCCTTCCTTCCTGCCTCTCCTTCCTGCCTAATGTCCTACCCCTTGACAACCGTGGATCATTCTGGGCCATCCCGTCAGACCTGTCATGATCCGTGGCTGCCTGAACCCAACTCATCCAATGCCAGAGTCCCTGGGAATAGGCCCAGTTTGACTCACGCCTCAGCTGAATCCAGGGCACAGCCCTGGTGTTGAATCTCAGGCAGGGGTGCCACTTGTTCAAAGCAGCAAACTGTAAAGTACCGAGAAGAGACAATGATCTAAATTAAAATCTCTGCATTTGCAAACTGCCATTTTATATTAAAACATGTAGATAGCAACTTCAGGACTGCAGTGAAGATAGATGTTTTTCTTTCAGCATGAATTTTGCTATTCACCAATTGCTTAAGTTTCAAAATGTAGCCTTAATAAATAACTCGGTTGCTACGGTACTAAAATGCTCATTAATTTAGGTCCTAGATGAAGTGGAAACTTAACTGTTAAACCCATCCTCGTAGTGCTAAATACAGTCGTACCTTGGAAGATGAACAGAATCTGTTCTGGAAGTCCATTCGACTGCCGAAATGTTTGGAAACCAAAGCACGGCTTCTGATTGGCTGCAGGAAGTTCCTGCAGCCAATCAGAAGCCACATCAGATGTTCAGCTTCCAAAAATAGTTTGCAAACCAGAACAAACCAGTTTGCAGTGTTCGGGAGCCAAAACATTGGAGAACTAAGCTGTTCGAAAATCAAGGTATGACTGTATACTACAGTGGTACCTCAGGTTAAGTACTTAATTCATTCTGGAGGTCCGTACTTAACCTGAAACTGTTCTTAACCTGAAGCACCACTTTAGCTAATGGGGCCTCCTGCGGCTGCCATGCCGCCGGAGCCCAATTTCTGTTCTCATCCTGAAGCAAAGTTCTTAACCTGAAGCACTATTTCTGGGTTAGCGGAGTGTGTAACCTGAAGTGTATGTAACCTGAGGTACCACTGTACAGTGTAAATCAAAACATATACTAGAGTTCCCTTGGTGTGCAAAATTAACCTGATCAGCATAATATTTCGGTGGTTGGCAGTTCCCCACAGTGACTTCCTGTCAAGTGGCTGTGCCCAGTAAATAAAATTAAAAGCTGTGTTGTGCCTTCTTCCCCTTAGCCAACATAACTTGCAACCCAGAAGAGTTCACGTGTTCCAACGGCCAGTGCATCTCCAAAGACTTCGCTTGCAACGGGCACGAAGACTGCAGCGACGGCAGCGACGAGGCCGGCTGCGCTGCGCCCACTTGTCGAGTCGGTGAGTTCCAGTGCAAAAGCGAGAGCGACACTTGCATCCCAGTGAACTGGGTGTGCGATGGCGAACCAGACTGTACCGACTGGTCGGACGAGTCTTCGGAGCAGTGCGGCCACCAGCCGGTCCGGACCGTGAAATGCGGGGAGAGCGAAATGCTTTGTGACTCGGGAGACGAATGTTTCCACAAGAAGTGGCGCTGTGACGGTGACACGGACTGCAAAGACGGCAGCGATGAGATCAACTGCTGTAAGTAGCAGACCGTTGGTCCGTGGATGGCAGAAAGCGGCTCCTGGGCTCCTTCAGCTGTAAGCTGCATTCTTGAACACCTTCTCCTCCCCCCCAGCTTTCCAGACATGCAGACCCGACCAGTTCAGATGTGAGGATGGGAACTGCGTCCATGGAACCAGGCAGTGCAATGGTGTGAGGGACTGCATAGATGGATCAGATGAAGTGAACTGCCAAGTAGGTAAGTGGGAAGCATCACGGAGCAGGGAAGATGATGGGCTGAGACCTGAAACCTCAAGAAATGCTACGCAAAATGCAATCTGGAATGAACTTGGTGATGGCTCTGGTGACCTTCCTATTGAAGGCTCTTGTAGGCCCGTAAAGGTAAAGGGACCCCTGACCATTAGGTCCAGTCGTGGCCGACTCTGGGGTTGCGGCGCTCATCTCGCTTTATTGGCCAAGGGAGCCAGCGTTCAGCTTCTGGGTCATGTGGCCAGCATGACTAAGCCACTTCTGGCGAACCAGAGCAGAGCACAAAACGCCGTTTACCTTCCCACCGGAGCAGTACCTATTTATCTACTTGCACTTTGTTGTGCTTTCGAACTGCTAGGTTGGCAGGAGCAGGGACCGAGCAATGGGAGCTCACCCCGTCACGGGGATTCGAACCGCCGACCTTCTGATTGGCAAGTCCTAGGCTCTGTGGTTTAACCCACAGCACCACCCGCGTCCTTAGTTGCATGCCCATATAGTGCCTCAATATCATCAAAGGGCAATATCTCGACATTGAATTAAAAAGGGGGGCTTAAGGTGTTGCTGCTTGTATTTTTGTTAGTCTAGATGTTGTGTGGTTTTTAAGTGCTTCTGTATAGTATAAGCAATCGTGGGAAGGTGGCATACTTTAAATGGTAGAATATGTATTAAGTCAACACCAATAACAGTTTGTTGACAACAGCTACAGCATTCTGAGCTTGGGACGACAGCTGTTTAATGTGGTCCGTCTCTTCTCTGTGACCTCCAGCGAATCAGTGCACCGGACCTGGCAAGTTCAGGTGTAGAAGTGGCGAGTGCATCGAGTCCAGCAAAGTTTGCAACCAGAAGCAGGACTGCAAAGACTGGAGCGATGAACCTCTCAAAGAATGCAGTAAGTTGGAGGTAGCGTAGCGTGGATTGTTGGCACCCGGGACACTTGAATAAGTCTGTGTCTTCTTAGATCTATCAAACAAACAAACAAACCACCTTCCTTTCAAGGTTGGAACTTTAAACGTAGCTGAACCACATTCAACAGCAACATGCGTTCCGTGTCCTTTTTGAAGCCAGCAAGGCAATGCTCCTTGCTACCTGCATATCACGAGTAAAGCAATTTCCCCACTAGAGCAGTCAAGTGTCACACGGCTCTAATGGGTCATGTGCTAATTCAACAACTCGGCCTCCAATTCTCTCTCTGTTGCAAAAGACATCTCTAGAAGGTTTAGGGAGGTATTGCATCAACATCAGGGAAGGTATTGCTTCTAAGCCAGGGGTCAGCAAACTTTTTCATCAGGGGGCCTTCAGACCTTGTGGGGGGCTGGACTATATTTTTGGGGGGAAATATGAATTCCTATGCCCCACAAATAACCCAGAGATGCATTTTAAATAAAAGGACACAATCAACTCATGTAAAAACATGCTGATTCCTGGATTGTCTGTGGGCCGGGTTTAGAAGGCGATTGGGCCAGATCCGGCCCCCGGGCCTTAGTTTGCCTACCCGTGTTCTAAGCACATGAAGCAAATCTCACAAAGGACTGAATGGCCCTTCTCATTTCTTCCAGACGTCAACGAGTGCCTCGTGAACAACGGAGGCTGCTCTCATATCTGCAGGGACCTGGTTATAGGCTATGAATGTGATTGTCCTGCTGGTTTTGAGTTGATAGACAGAAAAACGTGTGGAGGTGAGCATTCTGTGGCAAGATGGTATTCCTGAAACTTGCATTCCTATCGTAGTGCAATGCTAAATAGCTTTTCTCTTCCAGACATTGATGAATGCCTGAACCCAGGTATCTGCAGCCAAATCTGCATCAATACAAAGTTGGGGTACAAATGTGAATGTAGTCGGGGCTACCGGATGGACCCACAAACTCTCGTATGTAAGGCAATCGGTAAGCAGCTTGAGTGCTTCTGACACTAAGCAACTCTTCATCCTGGTGTCCATAATTTTCCTCTTGAGGATGTAAAGCAATCGCGAACTCATTTCCAGGCACCTTCCCAGAGCCTTGCGTCCCACCGAGATGAATGAAAGTTGTCCACCTTGCAAAATGTCCCAGGAGGACTACTGTAATTGACATTGGGCGCCCCTGGTTGCCTCTGAAGCCGAATCAGTTGGGATCTGAATTCCTGAAATGCGTAATGGGAATGAGGAGTCATGAATGGCTGAGCAGAGCCTGCAGATGGGGGGGGGGATGTCCAGGGAGGAGCTTGTTTGAAAGTGGGTGCTCAGGGTAAAAACCTATTTCTGCACATCTGGCTGCACACTTCACCTACTAATCTATTATTGCAGGTGGAGAACCAAGTTTGCTTTTTACAAATCGCTGGAACATCAGGCAGTTTGCCCTGGAAAGGCAGGACTATACCCAGCTAATTGGAGACTTGAGGAACGTGGTGGCTTTGGATGCGGACATGGCTGAGCATGCCATCTTTTGGGCGGACATTGGCCCAAATGCTCTCCTCAGGTAAGCTTTTTCCATGCAGGTGATGGAACTGCAGAGCTGCTTGCATACCTACCTAAAGAGTAGCAACTTTTGACTTGGCTGACTAGCAGTTAGATCACCAGTAGTCTCCCCTTAAGACTATGCAGCTTATTTTTTTGGTGAAGACAATGTCTTGTACGCTACTCTCGGCCTCAACTTGATAATGGATAATCAACAGCCCAGCGTAGGCCTTTCAGGTCACCCGACACCCAGGTTCAGCTGAAGAACAGACCCTTGGATTTCTTTTGGGGGAAGTATAGAGGAATAGAATAATAGAATTAGAGTTGGAGAGGGACCCTGAGGATTGCCTGGTCCCGTCCCCCCCCCCCCCGCAATGCAGGAATATGAAGCTGTCCTATACAGGGATCGAACCTGCAACCTTGACGTTATCAGCACCAGGCCCTAACCAACTGAGCTCTCCAGTGCTGGCTGCTACCATAAAGCACAATCTACTAAACAGCGCTGTGCAAAATTTTGTACTTGGAGAGAACCTTCTAATAATGAGGGCTCCCTTAAGGTGTTGAGCTACTATGCCTGTACAGTGGTACCTTGGTTCTCAAACACCTTGGTACTCAAACAACTTGGAACCCAAACACTGCGAACCCAGAAGTAAGTGTTCCGGTTTGCAAACATTTTTGGAAGCTGAACGTGCTCTGTTTTGAGTGTTACGCTTCCAATTTGGGTTCCACACTTCCATTTTGAGTGTTACGCTGAGGTCTGTCTCTCTTTGCTATTTATTTTACTTTTTTGACTTTTTGTTTTCTTTTTGTGACTGTTCAGCTACTGATTGATTGATTGATTGATTGATTGTGTGACTGCAGTACATTGTTCATTGCTTTAATTTTATGGATCAGTGGTCTTGTTAGAATCAGTGGTTCTCAACCTGTGGGTCCCCAGATGGTGTTGGACTACAACTCCCATCATCCCAGAGCTCTGGCCTTGGTAGCTAGGGATGATGGGAGTTGTAGTTCAACAACATCTGGGGACCCACAGGTTGAGAAAGGCTGCAGATAGTAAAATTCATGTTAAATTGCTGTTTTAGGGGTTGTTTTTAAAAGTCTGGAACGGATTAATCTGTTTTGCATTACTATCTATGAGAAAGCGCACCTTGGTTTTGGAACAGACTTCCGGAACAGATTAAGTTTGAGAACCATGGTACCACTGTACCCAGTTTCAAAATGGCTATCAACTTAGCAAGACGTCACTAACACAGTTGAGTTTCAAATGCAGCTGAGCAGATACGTGAGCAAACTAAAAGTCCTGGGCACCTGGTTTTGCTTGGTACCAGGCACACAGACCCTGGAGGGAAGCCAAGCTGAAACCTTACTGTGTGTGACTGCCAAAACATACTAGATGGCAAGTTTGATGGCCAGAATCAATTTCCTTAGATGGGTGGCCTTGGGGTGTTGTAGCCACCATCTCAGAGTCTCAATTTGTAGATCAGGGGGTTAGTAATCTCCAGCCAATAGGCCAAAGATGCCTCCAGCCCTGGGAAGTCTCCTCAGGCCATGTTTCTGATCTGCATCCTCCATAGCTTCTCCTTAATTTGAATGTACAGTCATACCTTGGGATAAATATGCTTCAGGATAAGTATTTTCGGGTTGTGCTCCGCGGCGACCCGGAAGCAATGGAGCGTGTTACTTCTGGGTTTCGCCGCTCGCGCATGCGCAGTCAAAATGATGTCATGCGTGGAAGCGGTGAGACACGACACGTGCAGACGCGCAGTTGCTTCTTACGTTGTATTCATGATGCGAATGGGGTTCCGGAACAGATCCCGTTCACATCCTGAGGTACCACTGTACTGTGGAACTGGGCTGCCTCTCGCTTGACTTGGTGGAAAATGTGTTGTGTGAGGATCTCCAGCTTTTGCACGGTTGGAAAACAGCCGACTGCACATGTGAACATTCCCTGCATGTAGCTCTCAGTAGGTTGTCTATGAGGAAAAGGTACCCCTTAAGCTGCAAGCTTGTTCTAGCTAAATCTGAGTCTAGGATTAACTTGGAGCCCCACACACTGGGTTTGGGGCAGTCTGTGCAGTGTATCTATTGGGGACTCAACTTAATGAGATCTTTCTTCCCAGCACCTCAATCACTTCTAATAACAAGCCACTACAGCACCGCCGGATCATAGAGAATGTGCAGAATCCTGCAGGAATTGCTTTTGACTGGATATACAAGAACATCTACTGGACGGATTCTTCTCTCAAGTCCATTTCTGTGGCCAGCCTGAACGGTGCTAAAAGGAAGGTCCTCTTCAACACGGACTTAAAAGAGCCCGCCTCTCTTGCTGTGGATCCCCTTACTGGGTAAAGAATGTTTAGATGTCTGAGATCCTCTTAATTGAATAAACCTTGATGATTTTTGAGGCTCTCTCATATAACCTATCCTCACAAGGGTGCAACATTCCAAGACGTGTAGCAGCACTTGCAGGAGAGAGAGAGGAAACCCGCAATTTGAGAGAACATTATTGAGGATTCCATTGGGGAATCCAGAAAAGACAGCAATAACTTGCTTCATAAACTTTTATATCTTTGCCAATGTAAGCACATCTATGTTGAATAGACAGGAAGTGGTACTGGAAGAATTGCTAGTAACTTAATGCCAGAGTAGCTGCCCATGATACTTGCCCAGGCATAGGCAAACTCCAGCCCTCCAGATGTTTTTGGACTACAATTCCCATCATCCCTGACCACTGGTCCTATTAGCTAGGGATGATGGGAATTGTAGTCCCAAACATCTGGAGGGCCGGAGTTTGCCTATGCCTGTATTTGCCCACCCCAGTTGAGAAGGGACTGCTTTTCTAGGCTTGATCTATATGCTTTGGTGCATTGTGCATTTGTGCAACGAAAGAATCACCCTGAGGGAAGATACCCGTCCTTTCTGTAATTTGGTACAAACAGGAACTAGGGCTGGGCGATACCTGCTTTCCAACCTTGTAATAGATCGCCAGCTAAACTTTGCGATATGGCGGTATATTACGACGTTGGAAGAGAGGAAGAAAGCAGTTGCCGGCTGAGGAGACGATGGACGTCACCATGTGTAGCTTCTACCTCTTGCTGGTGAGGCTGGGCATGTGGCACTGCCCCAGGCAGAGCGCATCAGCTGGGGCACTGCCGGGCACTGTGGAGCCACTAGCCTCTCCGGAACCGCCAGCCATGGCTCGCTCTGACCAGAGTCTCTGTTGGCCACCAGAAGGCACCATTCCACTCGGCACGAGGAGGGGTGGAGGGAGGACGCAGCCTGCTAGCGCTCCCGCAGCCAGGGAAAGGAACAAAGGCACGGGTGGCAGACAGGAAAGTCCCACTCGTGAGGCGGTTGGCTGGGCTGCGGAGGGAGGGGGTGGACCAGGCGACCCAATTGCAGGGTGCGAGGCTCACTGCAAGTGAGGCGAGCAGGGATTTGTGATGCATTGCGTGATCAGAAATTCCAAACTTGCTCTTGCGATTTTTAACTTTAAACCGGTTTTAGACAAGACATCGCCCGGGCCTTGCCAGGAACTGATGCATAAAAAGGCCCATTAGCCAAAATCAGCCAAAGTTTTGAGGCGAAACTCTAGTGAGTGCAACTGCTGAGGAAGAAACATGCAAAATGATCTAGGCAGCCGAGTCGACTCCTGACAGTTTTTACCTGGTTTCTCTTACAGCTTCATGTATTGGTCTGATTGGGGTGAACCAGCCAAAATTGAGAAAGCAGGGATGAATGGACTTGACAGGCAACAACTTGTGACAACAGATATTGAGAGGCCTAATGGGATTGCACTAGGTATATAAATGTTCTTCCTACCGTGCTGGAATTCCTTGTTGAAGGAATTCTTGGAGTTGGATTAATTGGGATGAGTGCCTTAAGGGTGTGAAAGCAAGTAGTCTTCTGGGATGAACTGCTTTGGGCCAGAACATGATGAGACCTTTCCCCACCCCAAATCAAGCCAATACCCAGCCTTGGGGGTATTTGACATGCTTCCATGGCTTCTGTCTATGATCATTGCCATTGACTTCAGGATCCTGTAATCTGCATTTTGTGGTGCCTTAATTACCCATTGCATAGCCAAGGACGCTACTGCAAAACTTCCTTAGAAATCTAGGCTTAGAAGTGCATTTAGGCAAGCTCTTGTCAAAACTTGGCTGCATTCTGAGATGTTTTCTCTTCAGATCGTGTGAAGAATCGTCTCTATTGGGTTGATTCTAAGCTGCACAAGCTGTCCAGTGTTGATCTGAATGGGCACGACCGAAGGATCGTGTTGGAATCCCATGAATTCCTTGCTCATCCCCTTGCTCTGACAATATTCGAGGTAAGAACCAAGGTCTCAGTGAGAGGCAGCGTGGCTTAATGGGTAGAGTGTCAGGTTGTGACCTGGGAGACCAGGGTTCAAATTCCCACTGGGCCATGAAGCTCGCCGGCTGACCTTGGGCCAGTCAGTCACTCAGTCTAACCAACCTCACAGGACTGTTGAGAGGATGAATTGGGGAGGGAAAAGAGCCATGTACACCACATTGAGCTTCTTGGAAGAAAAGGTGGTCTGTGAATGTGAGAAATAAATTAGCAAGCTAAGAGTGGTGACAGGTCATTTGAGCTTCAGAAATGCTGTTGTCTTCCGTGATAATGGAGCTGGGCCAGGTGGCTAGTGAACTAAATTGCTGCTGAAAGGTTGCTCCATTTAACTTGACTCGTGGAATTTGATGGAAAACATGTCTGGTCCTCACTTGCATTCTTTTTAACTTCAGCAGTTCAAAGAATAATCCTTCAGTCTGATATAACCACCTTCCCCCCCCCTCCAGGACACCATTTACTGGACAGATGGTGAAAACGAAGCTGTGTACGGTGCGAATAAGTTTACGGGCGCTGAGCTGGAAACCGTAGTCAACAACTTGTATGATGCTCGGGACATCATTGTGTATCATGAACTTGTACAGCAATCAGGTAACAGGAGTCATCAGGTGCAGTGCAAGAAAGCTCTCAAGAAGCTTTCCGGGCCAACTTTTAAATGCCGCCTGAGAACTTCTCTTCCACCAGGTCTAGGCAGGCAATTAAGGGTACATCTCCCACAATACATTGCAGCCAGTTGGACTTGATCAGGCATCTCAAAACTCAGCCCTCCAGCTGTTTGGGGACTACAATTCCCATCATCCCTGACCACTGGTCCTGTTAGCTAGGGATGGTGGGAGTTGTAGTCCCAAAAATCTGGAGGGCCGAGTTTGGGAATGCCTGGACTAGATGATCCCTTCCCTTCCATTGCTTACTACTTGTTTTTAACTTTTTTTCTAATCTTCATGGTTTTATATTGTTGTAAACTGCTGTGGTATATATTTATGGTAGGTAACGGTAAAGGGACCCCTGACCATTAGGTCCAGTCGTGGCCGACTCTGGGGTTGCGGCACTCATCTCGCTCTATTGGCCGAGGGAGCCAGCGTACAGCTTCCAGGTCATGTGGCCAGCATGACTAAGCTGCTTCTGGCAAGCCAGAGCAGCACACGGAAACACCATTTACCTTCCCGCTGAAGCGGTACCTATTTATCTACTTGCACTTCGTGCTTTCGAACTGCTAGGTTGGCAGGAGTAGGGACCGAGCAATGGGAGCTCACCCCATTGTGGGGATTCGAACTGCCAACCTTCTGATCGGCAAGTCCTAGGCTCTGGGGTTTAACCCACAGCGCCACCCGCGTCCCGTGTATTTATGGTACAGTGGTATAAAAATACTTTCAGAAATGAATCTGTTTAAAGTTGCCACAGTGCATCTGAGAGGGAAGTGAATGGTTGGCCCAAATTCTGCCTTCAGTCATCCAAGTTCTGACTGTAACTTGCTCTCAGTCCATGGTTTACTTTGGCAACAGTCAAGGGACAAATAGCATCCTATGCTAGAAAGACTCTCTGTTCTTGCATTTTCTCTTGGAAGACACTCCCATTATAGGAAGATGAAACACCATGTTGAGTATAGCCTTGATTGCAAGCCAAACGTTGCGATGGCTCACCTAGTAAGCTGATCACAGCCTTTGCCGTCTTGATGGAAGTTTAAGTTCTGATACGAGATGAACATGCTTGGAAACGTCTCTCCGCAGGAAAGAACTGGTGTGAAGATGAGAACATGACAAACGGAGGCTGCGAATATCTGTGCTTGCCTGCTCCCCAGATCAATGACCGTTCGCCAAAGTATACTTGCATTTGTCCTGATGGTGACACGTTGCAAGATAATGGCTTAAGATGCAGAGGTACACTTGCATGCTCCTTGGAGTTGCGTCTCGTGAGTCTTTGCCCCATCTTGTGCATTAATACTGTCCAAAATGCTTCGATGTGGTCATTCAGCGGCATATTCTGGCTGGCATCTACATACTCATGGATTTCACAAGCTATAGTAGGCATCTGTTAAATTCAGATGTCGTCCTGATAATAATTGCAGCAATGCATTGTGAGCTGCCTCAATCTCCTTTTCTGCCACGAATTTGAGACGGCATTGGACAAAAGATAATCTCTGCAGTGGGATGTATGCTGACATACAACCTACTGGGAGGCAAAGTGCCTTGAAAAAGCAAGCTCTGTTAATCCAGAATGCTAGTTCTAGGTGGGAAAGGTTTGCTAGTTGAAGTATGAAACCTCACATATCAACCTACTATAGCATCTCTTGGAGTGCTGGGTAATTGGCATTCCTAAGAGCAATGTGTTCAACTGGTCCTGCAGCTTGCTTCTAAGCATAACATAGCTCAGACTTCAGCCTTGGCTTTTATTTTCCAGCATAGTTCTGAAATACATTTGACCTCTCGACCTCTTATTTTAAAAATGCAAAAAATTTAAAATGGCTTAATTGGCCAAGAGCTAGATAACTTGAGCTTGACTTTCTAAGCATTTAAGAGCTGATCTGATGACAGATCTACTGTGTTACGAAGCTGCAGCAGACGGCTGACATCTTGCAATCCACAGCTAATTTGAGACATGCATGAACATGCTCATCTGTAGATGCGCCACCTCCACAGAACAAGGACCCAGTCAATCCTGGGCTTCAAAGTTGCTGATCTATAATTTCAGGTACAGGAGCTGCTGAGGCAAAAGAGAACAGCAGAACAGAAAAGCCACCTGGACCACTTTCTGGAGGTATTGGTCCTAATGCAGCGTGCTGGTGGTGGAGCAGAATAAGCGAAGGATCACACCACTTCTTCTCAGTGCAAGGGGGGGGCACAGAGGTCTTTTTGCAGACCTTGCGTGTTTGGGTTATTCCAAGGAACACTGGGCTAAGCTCAGGGCCAGATTTAGGTTTGATGCGGCCCTCAGCTCCTGAAGGTAATGGGGGGCCCCTTTATATGTTCAGCTGTCCTTTGTCCACAACAAATTGTCGCTGTTTTTTGTGTTGAATATATGCTATATGGTAATTTATGGACCTCATAGGTATCTCAAGCCATTTGCACATAACAAAATATGTATGTTATCAAAGTAATTGAACTGAAATATAATTAAGAAGTATATTAATAGTGAAATACAATTAAGAAGGGTTTCGGCGGTCATGCATGCACAGAAGCGCCGAATCGCAACCCGCGCATGCGGAGACACGGGGTGCGAATCGCAAGCCGTGCATGCGCAGACACGGGGTCCGCATGGATCACGTTCGCAACCCGAGAGTCGACTGTAATGCAAACACATTGGCACCTTAGAGACCAACTAAGTAGTTCTGGGTATAAGCTTTCCTGTGCATGCACACTTCTTCAGATACCTTATACCCAGAACTAACTTAGTTGGTCTCTAAGGTGCTACTGGACAATTTTTTTTTATTTCGTTTGCGTCAGAGCAACACAGCTATCTACCTGAATCTATGGTCTGGATTGACTTCCTTTCCTTGATAAGGAAACAGCTGACAACAGGCATTATTCCTAGCAATTGCTGCAGTGTAAGAATAATCTAGGATCACCCCCAAACTGCAGACCTCAAGGGAGAGTGTGCAGACACTTAGAGGCCTCTAGACGCCCCCCTCCCAAGCAACAGTAACTTGGTCTTTTCTGTCCTAAGCTTCATGCTACCATTTCCCACTCAGAATTGGGTAGGCCTTGGAGCCTTCAGAGTTGATACTTCTCTTACCTGAACTGGAATATCCCCTTCTAACTCTGGCCAGCAGAGCTATTGCACCAGGCAGTGATGCCATGATGCATTGGCCAATATCCTAAAACAAGCGGATTTGTGGCAGCGCACCTCAATTTTTTGAGTGGGAACCAGCTTGGCAAGTGGCTCATTTCTGTCGGAGCTGTGGGATGGAAAGCCAGCTGGCTTGGCCCCAGCCCGAACGTCTCCCTTCTCAGTCTTGCTGCTGCAAAGATCAATCAGTCATCCTCCTCCGACGTGCATCCGCAACTCATTCTGCTGTGCATGCAAGAGCACACATTACTCAGCAGAGTAAACACACAACAGATCAGGCTCGAGGCAGGGATACTATACTAAACTACGCATTTATTATACATAAATCAGGACACAGAAAAACATGGCCTTTCTCCTTGTCGTTCTTCTTGGAGAGAGAGAGAAAACAAAAGCAATACAGAGCGGATGTTCTGCTCACGGGACTCCAGCAATCTGTGCTGGAATGTAAACAGACATGTGACATGTAACAATCTCACATATCTGCAGCAAGGGTGGAATGGAATTTCCAACAATTTCCTCCACCAAAGTTCAGGCAACTTTTCTGCCTCGCCTAGCGTTTAAACTGTTTAGTAGACAAATCTTTCTACCAGATGTGGGAACCTTTTAAAACACTTAACTGGGGTTGCACTTGGGAGTGAATGAAATGGCTGTTTCTTTCTTCCTAGGACAAAATCTAAGCAGTCCAGTTTCAGAAGAGCTTTCTTCATCCAGAAGTTCTTCAGCAGCATGGGCCATTCTTCCCGTATGTAAGTAGAAGATGTTGCCCTGAAATCATGCGAGGTATTTTCACTGCACCTCCCTCCTGATCAAGGGGTCAATGGCCACCCCCATGTTCAGGGAGAGGGCTGGGCCCCCTTAAAATTCCTTGGCAGCCTTGTGTGCATTCCATGGAGTGTGCTCATGTCACATGCACAAGCCACGGGGTGTGCACATGACACGTCCACATGCTGACATCATGCATGCATGCCCCACTGAAGCCACGCAGTCGCAGCCCCCCCAGTCATGGGAGCAAGGTGGCACACTTGCTCCTGATGATGGCTGCATTCAACTTAGGCCACCAAAGGCTATTCAGCAGTCTGAGCTGGGCTAAGATGCTCCAGAGGAACATCACCTTGCCATTTCTTTCAGTGTTGTTGACCATGGCAGCGGCAGGCAGCTACTTCATGTGGCGCAACTGGCAACACAAGAACATGAAAAGCATGAATTTTGACAATCCGGTGTACTTGAAAACGACGGAAGAAGACCTCTCTATAGACATCGGAAGACACAGCGCTTCAGTGGGCCACACGTATCCAGCTGTAAGTGAAGGGGGTGGAACTGCAGAAGATAGTAAATATTAGGCACCAGAAATAAGTGCTCCTAGAATGGTGTAGCAGAATATGGCATCACTTCCCTGTCATATCTGAAGCAGTGGTGCCATCAATGTGTTGTCCTCCTGACGTGTCCTCCTGACGCATAATCCCTGGCCTGTGTGGCCCCAGGGGTCAGGGATTATGGGAATGCAGGGCACTACAGTGGTACCTCGGGTTACAGACTCCGCTAACCCGGAAGTAGTACCTCAGGTTAAGAACTTCACCTCAGGATGAGAACAGAAATCGTGCAGCAGCAGGAGGCCCCATTAGCTAAAGTGGTACCTCAGGTTAAGAGCCGTTTAAGGTTAAGAACGGACCTCCAGAACAAATTAAGTTCGTAACCAGAGGTACTACTGTATAGTAACTGCCTTAAATGGATCCCAGCAACTCTTGAAAATCAGAATTTGTTTCAAGTCCTTAATCCAAATTGGTTCTTAAGGCTTAAATCTCAAACTAGCCTTGGTAACTGCATAGCAGAACTTTGGACACGGCTGCCGATCCATCCATGGGCCAAGCACTGTCTGGGGATCCAGGAGCTCAGAAGGGGCCCTCACTGGTTCTCGGCTGGTTTCCTCTGAAGGGAGACCCGCTGGGCTCAGTGAGGCTCACTTGCAGGTGGCCTGCATAGAATCACTTGCAAAGCAAGCAGGTGGAAGGAGGCAGAAAATGGGAGGTCCCTTTGTGGATTTCTCCTTTGACTCCAGTGTAGACTTCTCCCCCTCTTCTAATCTTTATCTCAGTAGTCATCTTAAGTTTTATCTGTGGGGAAAGAATGAGCGATGGGAGGTGGACCAGGGCACCACTGATACCCTTTGCCAAGGGTCTTGGGTTCTTGGAACTGGTTCTGTCTCAGCACCCACCTAAGTCATGTTTGAGGAGATGACTTTGCATTAGCTGCTAAAGTTGTGGCAGCTACTGGCTAGGAAGCTCTGCTGGCTCTGCGGATAAGTAAAGCAGGGTAAGTATTGTGTACTATTCCTGTCATACAAAGTTGAAAGCCAGGAGCATCTTGTGTTAAACACAAACCACGTGCTGCGTAAACTTCACTGCATGAAACGGGAAGGATTGCATTGTCACTAATCCTCGTTTCTCCTCCGAACAGATATCAGTCGTCAGCACAGATGATGACTTATCATGAAGGCAGCCATCTCCTAGTCTACTTTTGTTTTACACCATTTGGACAGAAGCCAGTGGCTGGACAGTTTTCCTTCCTGTCATGGGAGAATGAAGATGGCACAAGCTCACAAACCATTTTCATACGAAGCTTGTCAACGTCTGTCCACAGCAATTCAGCTTTTAAGTCACTGGTTACCTGTAACCCTTTTAATAAGTATTGCCACCGCTGGCCCTGTATAAAGCACTTTCCAAGAAGCCATAGGGAAGGAACAAGCGCTGCAAGAAGTACTTCCTGTAAATAATTGTACAGGCCCCTGTAAATTTTCCTGAGGATAGTCTATCAAGCACTTTGGAGAAGAAACACATTTCAATGTAAATTATTGTATAACTTTTTTTTCAATGGTTGGGCAATGGCAATAGGAGAAAACGGGTTACTCAGTCTAATTGCCAAAAATTTGTAAAATTTAACTTTTGTATGAATTGTGAATTTGTCCTCCCCGAACCACCTACAGGGGTGTGCAGAGGACAATTGCTCTGTATCAGAAAACCACTGTAAATTTCGACACTGAAATGGCATTAAAGAGAAGCAAAGCTATAGACAGGGCTGGACGTGCCGTTTGCTTGATCCCGCTGCTGACACATTCTGGACACCAGCTGAACTCGCTGGGGGAAGAGCTCCAGAACTTTGCTTGGAATGAAGGGAACACGGAAATCTGAACGGCAGGGCTGCATGCGAATGGTGTAGCTCTCGCCAGATGCTGTGCAGGGTTGAGCAGCCCAGTTCACACAGCCCTCACTTCCCCCCTCAGTTACCGTATTTTTCGCCCTATAGGACACACTTTTTCCCCTCCAAAAATGAAGGGGAAATGTTTGTGTGTCCTATGGGGCGAATGCAGGCTTTCGCTGAAGCCTGGAGTGAGAGAGGGGTCGGTGCGCACTGACCCGTCCCGCTCGCCAGGCTTCAGGAAGCTCTGCGCAACCCCTGGGAGACCAGCACGACCTGCATGCCGAAGCCTGGGGCGCGCTGAAGAGTGTGCCCCAAGCTTCGCGCAGCTCTCCGCAACCCTAGGGAGCCCGGCGCAACTTCCCGCCGGGCTCCCTAGGCTTGCGGATAGCAGTCTGTTCTGGGGGCTGGGGTCGGGGGAAGCTCGGGCTTCCCCCGCCCCAGCCCCGCGCCTGGGTGGGAAATAATTTTTTTTTCTTTATTCCCCCCCCCAAAAAAAACTAGGTGCACCCTATGGGCCAGTGCGCCCTATGGGGCAAAAAATACGGTAATATCCCAACACTTGGCTTCAGCTGTTACCTTCCTGCGTCTGCCCAATGCCTTTCAACTTCTCTCTCAGCTACTCTCAAGAGGCAGTCCTTGGATGTCAGAGGTGCTTACGGTGCCAATTGAGTGCTTGATTTATAAGCAGCTGAATATAATAATAAAAAATATTTTTTTATTTATACCCCATCCATCTGGCTAGGCTTCCCCAGCCACTCTCTGCAGCTTCCAGCAAAATATTAAAATACAATAATCCATCAAATATTTTAAGCTTCCCTAAACAGGGCTGCCTTCAGGTGTCTTCTAAAAGTCAGATAGTTGTTTATTTCTTTGACATCTGGTGGGAGGGCATTCCATAGGGTGGGTGCCACCACCAAGAAGGCCCTCTGCCTGGTTCCCTGCAACTTTGCTTCTCTCAGCGAGGGAACCGCCAGAAGGCCCTCAGAGCTCGACCTCAGTGTCCAGGCAGAACGATATGGTTGGGGGCACTCCTTCATACACACAATACAGTCCCACCCGCCTCCCAGTATGTGGAAACCACCTTTGTTTTGGGGGTGGCTCCTTTTCCTTCCAAGCGGTAGGCCCACCATAACCCAAGTTGACTGTTGGATGTGTTGTTTTGAATCCTGTGACCCTCCAGCTATTGTTGGACTCCGACTCCCCATCAGTCCCAACCAGCACAGCCGGTGGTCAGGCATGATGGGGGCTGTAGGTCAGTGATGCCTGGAGGGTCCCAGGGTCCCAATCCCTGCTCCAAAGGGAAGGACTGGGTTGCAGCAATACGGCTAACCTAGTCACACCTGATATTGAAGCAAAGGATGAGCTGCTGGTGGTGGTATATCTGCCCAACAGGACTGAGCGTGGGTTTTAGTGAGTGATTCAGCATGTCTGGGAATAATGTCTCTTTCTACCACACAGCACTCCACATAAGCAAAACACCAGGGAGAGGCTGTCTCTTGTGATAAGTCCTGATTTCTTATGGCAGGAAACAACTTGCCAGCACTCTCTGGTCATGGTGTTTTTGGAAGGGGTGTTCAAGGGATACATCAGGAACCAGGCAACCTCTAGGTATGCCATTTTCATCCAAATTGCCCACAATCACAGGAGTGCAAGTTCCACCTGCTCCTGTCAGTCTAAAGTTTGGCAGGATCCATCCCCCATTTCCTACAGCACTCTCCTCCACTGAGATCAGGTATCAGAAGTGCCCTTTCTGCTGCTTTAAATCCAGACTGCCCTCCTTTTCCCACGATTCTATGTCTAAAAGAAAGCTCTCAATTCGCTTTGCTCTCAAAAGATGTCTACAAATCACCAACGTTCTGAGTCAGCAGAATCTCCTTCCTGTTGTCATTGCAAAAGCTTCTAGAATTGTAAGGGAATTATGACCAGCCTGACACAGTTATGATATTGGCACGTCTTTGTGGCGCTTGCTTCCATGTTGCATTCTCTATCCTCCTTAGTTTCCAAATGCCTTTTTGCAGAGTTCTGCCATCTGCTATGAGCCAAGTGTGGCAATTTCTCATCCCCTCAGGGAATAGTTTTTTCCTTCCAGTGCTGAATTTCAGAGGGATACACATGCTTTCACCCTCTCCTGATACTTGATCTGTTGACATCGTGCCAACCAAGGTAAACAAATAATTGCCCATAACAGAAGTTGTTTGCAACAATACATTAAAATGCAGCCTTATGGTTGAAAGTGTTTTATTAGGGTTAGGATGTAGGCGGACACCGTTTTCTTTGTGTTAAGAGTGGATTGTTCTTGGTCAAGCCTTTATAAATGGGTCTTCCTCCAGAATCTTGGCTTCTGTAAGCAGACTGCAAAGAGAGCCCTGTGCCAAACCTAAAAAGCTTAAAACGGCTGAGCCAAAGCCATGTAGAAGATGCAAAAGACATTGAGAGTCAGTCTGATCTGATAGAGGGAAGTGTTTCTTGTCTCCAAGCACAGCAATTAGTTAGATGTAGATATTGGAAGCAAAACCTGCCTCAGCTGCCTCCATAAATATGTGTTTAGTAGTACCATATAGCAATCTGTATTCTAACTTGCATGGGTTAGAAACATGGAGGCTGTAATGAAGGGAAAACACACCTTGGGTTTGTTGCTTTCCCCTAGCAAACAGTTGGGAGTGGTGGGCTCTGCAACCGGGTCTGCCGTAGAGGGGGCTGGCTACAGTGGTACCTCAGGTTACATACGCTTCAGGGTACACACTCCGCTAACCTAGAAATAGTGCTTCAGGTTAAGAACTTTGCTTCAGGATGAGAACAGAAATCGTGCTCTGGCGGCAGCAGGAGGCCCCATTAGCTAAAGTGGTGCTTCAGGTTAAGAACAGTTTCAGGTTAAGAATGGACCTCCGGAACGAATTAAGTACTTAACCCGAGGTACCACTGTATTTTATTTGGTGTTTATGTACAGAATCAAGCAAGGGAAGGGAACTTTTATCCCATGAGGCCATTTCCTCCCACCTTCGCATCATGCGTGGTGTCGAGCGATGGGTTTGTGGAGAGAGGACAGCTCACACAAAATCGGGAGCAAACGCACTCCCAGTTGCACACTGGCAAGGCATGCTTGCTGCCCCTACCAACTGATACGTGCCCCCCGCCCTGTCTCTTTGCCCCCATCCCTGGCAAAGAGAACTCCTGTCTCCAGCAAAGAAAATGTAACTCTCATTTCCTGTAGGTGGGGCAACATGCTTGCAGCGCTTCGACGTCTAACTATTCAGAGGCCTTAAAATTAAGATATCGTTATGCACTTTTAAATTAACAATGTGCTTGGCTACTTAAAGAATTAAAACCAGAGATTTGGTAAATGAGATGACTTGAACACACTTGACTATTATCTCATGTTGTGTAGAAGATCACCATTTGTTGGCATCTGCCTGTCTCGAGAGACAATGGAGTGCGTCTCCAAGGCTGAAGTCAAACTGCTGGAGAATCACAGCGCCTGCTGTGGCTGCAGAGACCGGGAACTCGTAACTGCTGCCTCCTGCATTGCTTTTCCTGAAGGGACCTTTCTGGGGCGCATGTCTGGGCAGTGTGTCTGGAGGTCCTCAGCTGCCCAGATGACAAGACCTCCTCTCAGCCTTGCTGACGTGGTCCAAAGGAAAGCAGAGCAAAACGTTCTGCACCCGCTTGGCTGTGGGAAGGAGGCTTACAAGGTGCCATCAAACTGCCTTAGGGACTCTGCTCTGTGTAGGATTTAGCCTTTTCTTCTCCCAAAGATATTTCGCAAGGCAGCTGGTACAGATTTTTCCTTGGGTTTTAAATTGAAGAAAATCATCATTGTGGTCAGCATTGTGAAGAGCAGCATTATGGAAGAGTAAGGCATCAGACCAAATTGAGGATTATTTTAGATTCCTCCTGAAATGGGGGCAAAAACAGCAGATTAAAGGCTTGGGACATGCATATTTTTATGGTTGTTTTTTTTTTTTAATGACTGCCACAATTCTTCTGGGTAGTCTAGGGGGATATATAATTTGAAACTTTGGCACCATCTGTTTTTGGGGAACTATAACTCCACAGAACGTGAGAATTTCTGTTTTGGCATTTCATGGATATCCGTTCAACAATATTGATGTGCTGCAGAGCAGAAATAAAATACCTCAGTGCCGGTTGCTGGCTTCTGAGCTGCAGGAGGCTGAGTAAAGTGGCATCTCACAAACAGCTGTTCTAGGGCAAGTGATATTGAGCGCCATATGGACGCACACTCTTCACTATTAATCAAACGTATTCTTATCGAGAAGGACAGCGTTCTGCCCTGCTCTGTTGTATGGTGATGTCTGGAATTCATTCTTTCCCATTTAAACAAACAAGTCTAGTCCAGGGATATTCTGAAACGTGCAAGTGTTTAAGGGAACAAAACACCCCGGTCCACAGTGTGCTCTGAGAATGGAAATACCGTATTTTTCGCTCTATAAGACACACCAGACCACAAGACGCACCTAGTTTTTGGAAGAGGAAAACAGGAAAAAAAATATTCTGAATCTCAGAAGCCAGAACAGCAAGAGGGATCGCTGCATAGTGAAAGCAGCAATCCCTCTTGCTGTTCTGGCTTCTGGGATAGCTGCGCAGCCTGCACTCGCTCCATAAGACACACATACATTTCCCCTTACTTTTTAGGAGGGAAAAAGTGAGTCTTATAGAGCAAAAAATACGGTACTTTCCTCTTTGCAAAAAATTGCTTCTGTTTGCTTCTCTCCCATGCAGTCTCACTGACTCAATTTGATACAAGTTTCTTTATTGGTTAAAACTACTACTCCCCCCCCCCCCCATTCTGCAGCTCATTTTATAAAGTTCTTGGTAGCTATTATACAGAAGACATATCTGCTCCTAGGTTATTTTTCCTTGTAGTGGACTCTAGTTGCAACTGCTCTTTTCTGCCATAGATGGATGTGGTGGTTTTCTTAAACGTGCTGGGGGCATCGATTTAGGGCTGGCCGGCTACCAGTTTGTTGTTCTTGTCTTGTCCGATTCCTGAACCTAGAAACCAAGCCCAGATGCTCACTGTTCTCTGTCCACATTTAATGTAACATCACATACTTCAATGGCACCTTCTACAGGTCGGTGAAAATGGTGCAGTTAAAATCAGCTGGGGGAGGATAGATTTATTATCTGAATTATCCTAGCACTATTGCAACAAATTACTTGTGTTCTTTATAAGACTAGCTGTCTTCCCTGACCCTGCCATTCATTCTCCACTTTCCTGAGAATCCTGGTGATGTGGCCAAATGTTTGCCATCCACTGCTTTTCTGACGTGGTCTCCTGCCATGTTTAATAGCTGATTTATGTCTATTTTTCAGCACAGTAATAAAAGGCAATTGCAGTGCCTGCCTTTCCAACTTGGGCAGTGCTCTGAGGCTTTTCAAGGCTACTTAAATTAAAGTTGTAATTTGATTAGATAAAAGCTTCTTCCTTACCCACTCTTCCCCCTTTACTGCTTTCTCTTGTTCAGTGCAGCTGAGGAATTAGTGATTAATTGCTCCTTGGTCAGTCAACTTGAGTTCCTCATTGGAGAAGTGGCTTTGGTTACTGGTTTCCTTTCAGATAAGTTTTATTTTGCTATAAGAGAGGGAAAAAATGCTATCAAATAAAAATTGATGGGGAAGAGAAAGCAAGTAATAAAAGCTGCATGTTGGCAACAGATGCTGACTAAGGGGCGGTAAATTATAAATCCCCCAAATGCACTAAATTAAAAGCAAAAAAATAATAATGGGCAGAATCTATAAGAAAGCTACTAATTAGCATTGCAGGGGGGCTTAGTTAAATGGGATTTGCGAGTGAACAATAAAAGGATTTTGGCCTTGGAAAACAGACTGCAGGATAAAATAGCACTATATGTAGTACTTTTTGAAACTACCATTTTAATTCTGCCATTAGGCAGCAGCAGCCAGGAAGTTGTTGCCACTGCTGCTGCAGCAAAACAAAACAAAAATTGCCTTCATTGGGAGCAGAATATTGGGGCAGTGAACTTTGGGATTTCAGCAGCAAGGCCCATAAAGACCCACAGTCGTCCTTAATGTACCACAGGGCACTTAACACACACAAAAATGCCTTTATTAGACAAACTGGCAGATCCCAAGGACTGCACAGCTCCCTCTCTGTGTTTCCACACTCAAGGCCTTTGTGACATGTGGGGTCCTCCTGCGCCACAAAGCACAGGTAAGTAGCGAGATTTGCCCAAGTACCGTATTTTTCGCTCCATAAGACGCACTTTTTCCCTCCTAAAAAGTAAGGGGAAATTTGTGTGCGTCTTATGGAGCGAATGCAGGGGGGAGGCAGGCAGGGAAAGCCCCCAAGAGCCGCACACAAGCTCCATGTGGCTCTTGCGGGCTTTTCCCCGGGAGGGAGAAGGGACTGATGCGGGCAGTCAGTCCCTTCTCCCTCCTCGTAGAAAAGCCCGCAGGAGCCGCATGCTCCTTAAAGGGTATGCAGCTTCTGTGGGCTTCTGCAGGAGTTGGGGGTATTGCCATAGCTGCCCCTCCAGCCAGGAGAGGCTGCGCGCGGCTATGGCTTCTTTAGCTGCGCACAGCCTCTCCCGGCTGGAGAGGTTGCGCACGGCTAAAGAGGAAGCCAAGACAGCGGGCGGGATGGATCCCGCTCGCTGTCTTGGCTTCTTTGCTCTTTGGGGCTGGGGGGGGGACCCGGGCTTCCCCTGGCAGCCCCAGAAGCTCTGGGAGCTCTTTGGGGCTGGGGGGGGGAAATAAGATTTTTTTTCTTGATTTCCCCCTCTAAAAACTAGGTGCGCCTTATGGTCCGGTGCGCCTTTTGGAGCGAAAAATACGGTAATTCTGGGGAGCCTGTCCAGAAACTCCCCAGCGATTGTGGGGGTGATCCTTCGCGCCCAGAAGCCTCCAGAGATCAGAAATCTGTGCTGGCTAATCAGTTCCTTTGTCATCCCAGACCTTGTGCCTGATAAAATCCCGCCAGCAGTAAGACCCGGCTGAACCGCTTTGCCGACTTACAGAGAGGGAGGCCAGCACTGAATCTGGATGTACTCTACCGTCCTGACCATCTGTTGCCACATTAAAAGAGGCCACAAAGAGCAAAATCTGCCACCGGGTGCGGGGGGGGGGGGGACGGGGACAGTGCGCGACAGTATTTTAAAACCAGCAGGAATTTGTCAGGCTTTTGCTAATGCTGTGTTGCTGACGACGTGCCTGGATTTGGGCTTGAGAAGGTTGTGGTGCTGTGCTAAATATAGCCGCCTTTTCCTGCATGAGCCGCTCTAGTGACTGAAGCCACAGGGTTGCTGCTGCCTGGCAGACTTCCCTTTTATTTTTTAAAATAAGCCCACTGGCATGCTTTGCTTCTTAGCTGCTCATCGTCTCTTCCTGCATGGTTCTTCTGCTCCCTTCCTCCCATCCCCCGCGCGGCACCATTTCAGCAGGTCTCTAAGATTTCCAATGAACGTGGGTGCATCATTAAGGATCTAAGAAACGGCAAGGAATTGTCAAGAAAATATTCAGCATTCTGGACTCTTAAGGCAGTGGGGATTTTTAAGAAACTGTGTTGCACTAGGGTAGGGGCCCAGAGCTCACCTGTGGAGCTTTGCGCCCCAATTTTGAACACAGATGACGGGAAAGACTGCTAGCTCCAACCTTGGAGAACCTGCTGTTACTTGATACGAAAGGATAATCTTTATTGTCATTGTCCCATACAGAACAACAAAATTGGGAAAAAAATCTACATAAGACATTCAAAACCAACAAGCCTGCTATCCCAACCTGGTTAGCCCTCTAAAAACTCTGATACCCCATTTTTAAAATATAATATACTCCCATAGAGACTCCTTACACTGCGTTTAAAACCAAAATAGCATTTGGATAGAAACTGTTTCTCACTGTTTCTCACCAAGAGCTCAAGAGAATAAAATGGTTTTAACCCGGTAACTTAGAGAAGAGGGAAGTGTGCCTCCCCCTGTGCGCGTGCACACACTTTGTAGAGTTTGAGAAAAGCCAGAATATATTTAGCGAGTGCACAGGGAAAGAGACTGGACCCAGTGGCCCCTTGGTTCTTCCAACAGGACTTTTCTTTCAATAGGGAACCTATGGCCCCATTGGACTCCCATCATCCCCAGTCATCATGGACCAATGGTCAAGGAAGGTGGAAGTTAAGTAGGAACAGCAGGAGAAAAATATCTAATGAGAAATAAGAACAACTTTAAAAAGTGAGAAGCAAAAAATGATTCCTCACCCCTTGGTAAGACAAGGTTTCAATGAAAACGAGGAATCTAACTGAACAAGCAATGTTGTTAGGTTCACTACATTCTCCCAAGCTCAGTTGGTCAGAGTGTGGTGCTGATATTACCAAGGTTCAAACCTTGTATTGCAGGTTCAAACCTTGTATGTGACAGTTGCATATTTCTGCATTGAAGGGGTTGGACTGGATGGTGCTCAGGGTCCCTTACAACTCTATTATTCTAAGTTACAGGTGAAACTTGGAAAGGCATTGCTCTGTCTCATGTCTCTCATCTGTCTCTTGGCAATGCCCCATAGATTCTCTATGGGGTTCAGGTCAGGCGAGTTTGCTGGCCAATCAAGCACAGTAATCCCATGCGCACTGAACCAGGCTTTGGTACTTTTGGCAGTGTGGGCAGGTGCCAAAGTTCTGCTGGAAAATGAAGCCAGCATCCCCATAAAGCTCGTCTGTGGAAGGAAGCATGAAGTGCTCCAAAATCTCCTGGTAGACGGCTGTGTTGACCCTGGACTCAATGAAGCACAGTGGACCAACATCAGCTGATGACATGGCTCCCCAAATCAACACAGACTGTGGAAACTTCACACTGGACTTCAAGCATTGGGCATTGTGTGCCTCCCCATTCTTCCTCCAGACTCTGGGTCCTTCGTTTCCAAGTGAGATGCAAAAGCTGCTCTCATCAGAAAAGAGATTTGGGGAGCCATGTCATCAGCTGGTGTTGGTCCACTGTGGTTCATCAGCTGTACGCCATGATCATCACAATTATAACAAATAAAGGCTTGACATATCTCACTTAGCAAGTCATGAGTCTATCTCATATATTAGTTTCACCTTTTAAGTTGAATTACTGAAATAAATGAACTTTTCAACGATATTCTAATTTTCCGAGTTTCACCTGTATTTGCTGTATTTTAAGCTTTGCTGCCCAAATCAAGCATCTTCTGACATTCCCTCAGTCTTCAAGAGAAGCCTAGTTGGCAACCAAACTGCTCATGCTGGACAAAGGCGGCAAGTGCCAACAGAGTCTTGGCCTTGGGCTTCCTTTGGGCTCTAAAATCACGAGGAATAGAGGCTGGCATTAAATATTGAGAGCTTTTGACTGGCAGGTATTGCATTCATCTTCCAGCATGTCTCCTGTCTCCTTGCTCGGATGCCTTGCTGTGCTCGTTTCTTGTTTTAGAACCTGAAGACAATCTCCTTCCCATGTGATAGGCCCACGTGTTTCTTGGATCTGGGCCAATGCCTTGACCTGTTATAAGAAGCCTCCACAATCATCACTGACACTTCCTCTCTATCCATCTCATTGCTGCCCTCTGACCTTTCTCCCTTCACACATTTTCTTCAAAATGCCTCTGTTTGTGCCTCTGTAAACTCTGTAAAAGTGCACAGCGATGGCTCTATAGCAGCTCTCAACCTTCGCTTTTTAGAGTATGCAGCACTTAAAAAAACAAAGACCCAGAATTGTGGTCCCGTAAGAAGCAGGTGGCGCTGTGGGTTAAACCACAGAGCCTAGGGCTTCCCGATCAGAAGGTCGGCAGTTCGAATCCCCACGACGGGGTGAGCTCCCATTGCTCGGTCCCTGCTCCTGCCAACCTAGCAGTTCAAAAGCACGTCAAAGTGCAAGTAGATAAATAGGTACCGCTGCGGCAGGAAGGTAAACGGCGTTTCCATGCGCTGCTCTGGTTCGCCAGAAGCGGCTTATTCATGCTGGCCACATGACCCAGAAACTGTACGCTGGCTCCCTCGGCCAATAAAGCGAGATGAGCGCCGCAACCCCAGAGTCTGTCACGACTGGACCTAATGGTCAGGGGTCCCTTTACCTTTACCTTTAAGAAGCAGATGGAATAAGAAAAGATCCCTTACTTTCCTGTATAAATGGCATTGGATTCAGCTGCAGGCCCCCTTGGAAGAAACAGATTATATGGACCCATGTTAGCAGAGATTTAGGACTGAGTTTGGTGAGGAATCAGCCTTGGTCACCCTGACAGGTGACCTCCTTCAAGGGAGAGGTGGGAGAGGGCCACACGAAGGCTGGCTTGGAGATCTCTCAGCGGCTTTTGATGCCATGGACCACAGCATCTTCCTGGGCCCTCTCTGCGGGTTGGTAGTTGGAGGCCCCATGTTGCAGCAGTTCAGCTCCTACCTGCATGACCAGCACCAGAAAACAGCCTTGAGACACATGTCTACCTCTTGTCTACATCCTGGCATCTTCCCTGTGTCATGCCACCAAGTTTCATTCTGTCCCCGCTGCTATTCAACATCTGTATGAAGCAGCCATTGGGGGTTGGGGGCACAGAGTTATCTGTATCAGTTTGCATCCCCCCCCAAAAAAAACTGCACAATAATCCACCAGCATTTTAGTGTGTGTTACTCCTAGCATACCAATTTTTATTCAGTTTTGCCTAATATACACATTTTTACAAGTACAGTGGTACCTCCGGTTGTGGACAGGATCCATTCCAGAGGTTCGGCCAGATCCTGATATTTTCGCAACTGGAGAGACTGCTTCTGCGTGCACACATGTGGCAGTAGAGCACTTCTGCGCATGCGTGTGCAGCAAAAACCTGGAAATATACTTCTGGGTTTGCCGCTTACATATCCTGAAGTTTACATAACCGGAGGAATACATAAGCGGAGGTACCACTGTAATTTTACCTAATGTTTTTGAGGGTGTTATTTTAACCAATCTATGCATTTTTGTACACATTATTCAGTTGAGTGACTGCACTGCAAAATTCAGGCCAGTGTGAATTTTGAAGGATAGCTTCCGTCTTTATGTCTTGCTTTAGAAAGTGCAAATTGCATTAAAATGTGAATTAGATTGAATTTCTTCCCCACTGCTAATGATGTATTTCCAAACACATTTGTCTCTGTATAATTTATGGTGCTGTGGGTTAGACCACAGAGCCTAGGGCCTGCCGATCAGAAGGTCGGCAGTTCGAATCCCCGCGACGGGGTGAGCTCCCGTTGCTCGGTCCCTGCTCCTGCCAACCTAGCAGTTCGAAAGCACGTCACAGTGCAAGTAGAGAAATAGGTACTGCTCTGGTGGGAAGGTAAACGGTGTTTCCGTGCACTGCTCTGGTTTGCCAGAAGCGGCTTAGTCATGCTGGCCACATGACCTGGAAGCTGTACGCCGGCTCCCTCGGCCAATAAAGCGAGATGAGCACCGCAACCCCAGAGTTGGCCACAACTGGACCTAATGGTCAGGGGTCCCTTTAAGGTAAAGGTAAAGGTAAAGCTACCCCTGCCCATATTGACCAGTCGTGTCTGACTCTAGGGTTGCGTGCTCATCTCGCTCTAGAGGCCGTGAGCCGGCGCCGTCCGAAGACACTTCCGGGTCACGTGGCCATCGTGATGAAGCTGCTCTGGCGAGCCAGCACCAGCGCAGCACACGGAAACGCCGTTTACCTTCCCACTATAAAGCGGTCCCTATTTATCTACTTGCACTTAAGAGTGCTTTCAGGGGTCCCTTTACCTTTACCTAATTTATAGGTTTAGATCTATACATAAATTTTTAGGTGTGCATTTTTTTTAATGCAATATGTGAAACAGCTCCCAGGTTTGATTCCTGCTGTGATTATTGTGAATTGAACAAAATAGACTTTTGAAATTCAGCTTGTTATTCCATTGTATTTCTTAGAAGAGAGTATTACTTTTTTTAAAATGCACCCCATGCAGTTTGAACCATTCTAGTGTTGCTGTAATATAAGGGCTGTGTAATACTTTAATTTCTACAAGAGATATATTATGTAAATGAGATCCTCATGACCTCTGGAATAGACTTCTTTGTTCCCTCATATTATAAAGTGAGTCATTAAAATGTCACTTAGATTTTACAGCATGCACTTCCTGTCTTGTTTAATTATAAGAAATTTGGTTGAGTGTTCTGCGTGGGGTACAATGCAACCTTGTACAACAGGTAATTCTAGATTCAACTCTAAAAGGTCTGGAGAACATTAGGCTCATTGCCTAACCATTTAATCCACTTGATTTGATAGGTTTTTGCTCCAATGAAAGGAGTTTAGGAAATCATTGAAGCTTTAAGGCCATTATCTATAAAGTTATAACATAAAGTTTTCCTAGAATTTCCTAGAATTGTAGTGTTGGAACAGATCACTAGGGTCATCTGGTCCACTGCAGGAATCTTTTGCCCAATGTGGGGCTTGAACCCACAACTCCGAGATGAGGAGTCTCCTACTCTACAGACTCTCAAAGGAAGGAAGGAAATTTCCATCTGCCTGAAGGCACTGAAAACAAATATGTCATTTGAGATGTTAGTGACTTAGAAGAAAGGGGATGGAATCATGGGGAAGAGGCATAGGAGTTGCCCCCCCAAGGTTGAAAATGCTGTTCTAGTTTATTGTTCTAGCATCTCAGATTTAATCAATGGAAGACAGCGCTAGTCACAAGCTGATTTCTGGATTTCTCAGTGCACTTTAAGGTTTTTTCCAAATCACTCCCTATAGAACACTGAATATAGGTTTCTTAATCTCTTCCAGTATAGTTGAGAAATGGGGCAGCGTATAAGCAAGTTTATTTAGCTTGAAGGTTCTTTATTCACTGGGAAGCTAAATGAAACGTACTTCTTTTTATTTAAAGTAAAACAATTAGAATGGTAGATCAATGATTACATTTATATTAACATCCAAGTTGAATTTCAGATTCATAAAATGAATAAATGGTAGCCAAGGTGGGGTTTTTTTTAGGATTTGCTTTTTCTTTCAGGATTTGCTTAATTAATAACAATAATAATAAAATTTATTATTTATACCCCACCCATCTGGCTGGGTTTCATTTGGTGTGGTTTGTCTTGGCAAGTTTCCAAATTTTGATTCTTTCCATTAATAAATTCTGGATCAACTTTTGTTCTTTTTGTTCCATCCAAAAGCTAAGGACAATATTCAGTGGATTAAAGTTAAAGTTTAGTCATGACTAATTACATATAAAATCTATTTTTATTTTATTTTCAGAATTTTTCACTATATACGTAAACAGTAGCTTTGAATTAGGCACACCTTCAACAAATAATAGTAATAATTGTTTATTATTTATACCCCACCCATCTGGCTGGATTTCCCCAGCCAGATGGGCAGCTTCCAACAAAATATTAAAATACAATATGCCATTTCTATCCCTGGTGGGTGAAGACCAGCTGAAGAAAGATATTTTCCACAACCAGAGCTGTGCTTTCCGAGCAGCCCTGTGCATACACAGCTGGAGCAAAAGATAATCCTGTACTTATACACAGTCTAATAATTTACTTATCCTGTTCGCGTAGCAATTTCAATCAGCCGTGCCAATGATGACCTTTGCATGCTAGTTTCTGCTGCTTTTCCCCATTTTACAAACCGGAGCCGAGTTTGAGCCTCCCTTATCTGGGTTGTGTGGTGGCGCTCACAAAGCCGCACCAGTGAAATCTTGCCAGAAACCAGTGCTGCTGCTGGTGCCGCTTCTCTGCCGGGTGGGGCGGGTGAGGGCAGCAGTGGAGCAAGCTGATCAGGCGTCTGGGGCAGGGCCAGCCAGGGCAGGATGCTCTGCGGGGCCTCCAAGGAGTCTGCCTGCCACCTCCCACTCAGCCACCCTACAGCTGAGGGGGAGGCGGTGGGCGGACCATATGGGGCAGGGTGGAGCCTGCGGGTGCCCAAGCCACCGCGTCACTCCCAGGAGAGATGCGTGGCTCAGGCGCACTTCAGTTCCCGCGGTGAGTGCCTCCCAGCATTATGTCACCCCTCTCAGAGATGGCACTCGGAGTGGCCTGGCCCCATCGCGCGCACCCCTTCCTCTGCCCCTGGGTGGGGGTCCCATGACTTTACTGCCTCTTCGGCTTCTGCCACCGGAGGCGGCTGCTTCACCCAGTCTCCATGGGTAGCCCAGCCCTGTTTCCCACATCTCTGCACTTGGGCTGATAAACACTGTACATTTTTTATAAAAAAAATAAACTTTATTAGTATTTTCCACACAACAACAACAACACGAAAGATATCTAAAAATAACAATACACAACACACAAAAATCAACATTCGAAAACTAAAGAAAGCAACAACAACACTGTACATTTAAAGCCCAGTTCAAGCATCCTGCAAACTGTCGTTTCTTTTTTAAAAATATTTTTTATTGATTTTCTTTTCTCAGAACAAATATCCAGTATCATTACTTAAAATTCATTTTCCTTTTTTTAATATATTTTTATTAGTTTTTTTTAACATATCATTTTCAACGGTAATTAAACATACTTTTACATCTTATTCAAATTTTTGATTTCCATCAATCCTGTCTGAAAATTTTCCAATCTAATCTCTCAGTATCCATTTCTTATCTTCCCTATTACATTTCAAACTCATAACCAATATCTCTATCTTTTTCTGCTTTGTAACACTTCGTATATTTCTCCTTACAAAACTTCTTGTAGTCCTACTAGCGTAATTTGTTGATTGCAGTTGCTCTTCAAATAACTCATACACTTCTTCCAATCTTCTGTAAATCTCTGGTCCCGCAGGTTTCGAATCCTTCCTGTCATTTTGTCCAATTCTGCATAGTCCATTAATTTCGTCTGCCATTCTTCTTTCGTCGGAATTTCTTCTTGTTTCCATTTCTGGGCTAACAATACTCTTGCCACATTAACATTCATTTTCCAATTTCCCCCCTCCCTGTTGACTTCCCCCAACTTCCATTTCTGATTTATTACATCAAATGTTACATTCTGTTCTTTGTACACAATACTTTGTTATCACCTGTTATATTTCTTGTTCTCACAAACTGTCGTTTAAGGGTGCTGGGAATTGCAGAGCTGAGGTGTCAACTACATTTCCCAGGATTCTTTGCGGGAGAAGTCACATGCTTTCAGTGTGTGGTGTGTGCAAAGCCCTGGCGTAAGGGAGGAAGCCCTCCTCGTCTGACAAGGCGATGCAGCGTGCCTGGAGGTAATTTGTCTGGCATGGTCTCCTGTTATCTTTCGGGTTTAAATAAAAATGTCTCATCCGTGGCTCGACAGCGTTGCCATAGAAACATATTGGTGGAGTGATGGCTGGAGTAGAAAGAGGCAAGACATGCCAGGGGAGCAAAGTGATGGGGAGACAGAGACAGCAGAACAGACCGCTCCCTAGCTGGCAAAGAGAAAGGGCATTTAGTGGCCTTGCAGGACCAGGCAGTTTTCCAAGTGGTTTAGACCTCACTTAGGGCATGGCTTGCTTTTGCAAGCAGTGGCGTAGCAAGGTCAGGTGGTACCCGGTGCGGAAAATTTCTTGTCATCCTCCCCCCATACACACTCATTGAAATCTAGCTGGACTCCCAAGAGACTGTGATCTACTCACAGTATAAAATGACTGGCTGTGATCTACCCATTATCATTGCCAGGAGTTTTCAGGGGAGAGGGTTGGCCAAAGTTGTTGAGCTTTTTTAGGGTTACAGGGTTTGGGTCCTGAGTAGAGGAAGCTTCTGCTTCTCTCCTTCCCTCCACCCTCTGCTTGTTTGCTCGCCTGCCTCCTTCCCTTCCCGTCCTCTCCCCACCTGCCTCCTCCAGCAGCCCAGGAGCGTGGGGCTGTCGAAACGAAGAGGGGAAGGCTGCCAGCAAAGCGGCACAGCTGCACCTCTTCCCACAATGTCTTGGGGTAGCAGGGAGTCACGGGCGGGTGGCGCGCCGAATGTCACCCCCCTTGGAAATGACACCCAGGGGGGTCCGCACTCACCGCCCCCACCTTGCTCTGCCCCTGTTTTCAAGCTGCCACTGGAAAATGTAATCTGCAACCCACTTGTTCCTAAGTCAGCATATGCTGGACGCTACTTGACTTCCCCAGGTGGGGTCCCAAAGGCCACCCAGAGAGGCCCGGGGTGCCCCATCTCTGACACAGGTAACTGCTGCCTGCACCTGTGAAATTCTCCTTGCCACCTGTCAGGATGCAAAGAGCCCAGAAAGCCAACTCTGCTCCAGGTCAAGCTCTGTTGGGCCATGGGAGTTGAGTCATTGGTGCTATTGGCTGTCAAGAGGATTTAAACACACATTAGATGCCAATACCTGGAGGAATGTGTGGTTAAACAGGGGTAGCCCACAGCTGGCTGGCCGAGGCAGCTGCTTCAGGTGGCAAAAGCTCCCAAGGCGGCAGCCCTGCAGCCTCCAGCACAGATTTGGGCCAAATTCACACCGCAAATTGAACAAGATCTTGCCCAAATTGGGTGACGTGTTGCCTGAAATTGGCACTGGTGCCAATGCCAGCAAGTATGGCAGCAGTGGCAGCAGAAAGTGGCACTTCCTGTTTCGCCTCAGTGAAACAGAACGTGCTGCCCCTGGAGCAGCATGAAAAACTTGGAAAGATATATTTAGTGAATAGACCTGGCCTGCCGAACACAAGCAGCGTTAAAAAGGATGGTTAACATAAGCTAAAAATAGCTTGCAGAACTTTTGGATGCGATATATGTTCCAAAACCTCTGCAAGGATTATTGTTATTAGCTAATGTTGATGTTTCAGCACAGCCCGTCTGAACCCTTCCTCACCCCTGTTAGCTATAACTTGTCATGGAGCAAATATTGACAAGTGAGAGCATTATTACTTATCCTTAAAGCATTGCAGTCAACCATCAATCCGTTTAAAGGTCGTACTCTGGTGCTGCCGGAGACATAAATAAATATTTGTACAGCTCTGGTATTAAACCTATTACACAGCAAGGTGCTCTTACTATAGTCTGTGCATATCATTGCCAATAACGAATGCCAAGTCCTGGTCAAAATCACTGCAGTTTTCCATAATAAGTTGCGGTGGGGGGGGATGATGGCTGAAAAGCGAGAGGGATTTGGTCTCTGAGAATGCACCATCACAAATGTCCATTCTACACGCGCAAACAATTATTCAAGTGGGAAATGGACAGTTTAAGGAGGGGGCTGGTTCTAAGAAATAAAATATCTGAATACAGTGGTACCTCAGGTTACATACGCTTCAGATTACATACGCTTCAGGTTACATACGCTTCAGGTTACAGACTCCGCTAACCCAGAAATAGTGCTTCAGGTTAAGAAATTTGCTTCAGGATGAGAACAGAAATCGTGCTCCGGCGGCACGGCAGCAGCAGAAGGCCCCATTAGCTAAAGTGGTGATTCAGGTTAAGAACAGTTTCAGGTTAAGAATGGACCTCCGGAACGAATTAAGTACTTAACCCGAGGTACCACTGTACACACGAGCAGAAGCAGAGGCAGAGCTGAGCCATAGAACCCGCAATCGCTCCCGCAATAAAATATTTGAGGAGACCGAGGCGCGCCCCCCCCATTGATGGGCACTGCCATTCCAATGGGGTGTCTGTGAGCAACCTCTTGTGATCAATCGCTCTATTTGATCAGAATGCTTTCCCCTAATCTGCCACCTATGGTTCTGGGAGTTGTAGGGAGGGGCTGCTTATAGTTGGAATGGTTTGTTATTAATTTTTATTTTTATTTATTATTATTATTATTATTATTATTTATTAGGTAAAGGGATCCCTGACCATTAGGTCCAGTCATGACCGATTCTGGGGTTGCAGCGCTCATCTCGCTTTATTGGCTGAGGGAGCCGGCGTACAGCTTCCGGGTCATGTGGCCAGCATAACTAAGCCGCTTCTAGCGAACCAGAACAGCGCATGGAAATGCCGTTTACCTTCCCACCAGAGTGGTACCTATTTATCTACTTGCACTTTGATGTGCTTTCGAACTGCTAGGTTGGTAGGAGCAGGGACCAAGCAACAGGAGCTCACCCCGTCGCGGGGATTCGAACTGCTGACCTTCTGATCGGCAAGTCCTAAGCTCTGTGGTTTAACCCACAGCGCCACCTGCCTCCCTATTATTATTATTATTTAAATATTAATTCAAAAGTTACAATGCAACTTTGTGATGTGGGAGTAAGGATTGGAGTGATCGTTCTGTGACATTAGGGCGTGTGGCTGCAATGATGAGCTGTGGTTCATTGTGACAGGAACAAGCCTAACTCCCTCCTGCTGTCAGCTTTTGCTTTCATTTAACATTACATCTGAACCATTTAATGTGGTTGAGCTTGACCATACAGTGGTACCTCGGGTTACAGACGCTTCAGGTTACAGACTCCACTAACCCAGAAATAGTACCTCGGGTTAAGAACTTTGCTTCGGGGTGAGAACAGAAATTGTGCTCCGGCGGTGCAGCGGCAGCGGGAGACCCCATTAGCGAAAGTGGTGCTTCAAAGCCCTTTAAAGCCCTAAACGACCTCGGCCCAGTATACCTGAAGGTGTGTCTCCACCCCCATCATTCTGCCCGGACGCTGCGGTCCAGCGCCGAGGGCCTTCTGGTGGTTCCCTCATTGCGAGAAGCAAAGCTACAGGGAACCAGGCAGAGGCCTTCTCGGTAGTGGTGCCCGCCCTGTGGAACGCCCTCCCATCAGATGTCAAAGAGATAAACAACTACTTGACATTCAGAAGACATCTTAAGGGAAGTTTTTAATGTGTGACATCTTAGTGTATTTTTAGTCTTTGTGGAAGCCGCCCAGAGTGGCTGGGGAAACCCATCCAGATGGGTGGGGTACAAATAATAAATTATTATTTATTATTATTATTAGTATTATTATTATTATTATTATTATTCAGGTTAAGAACAGTTTCAGGTTAAGAACGGACCTCCAGAACGAAACAAGCCAGCTTCCTACACTGCAGCTTGAAGTTGGCTCGATTTATAGTTACATGCTAACCTCAGTTTGCTAGGTTGGGTGACATGACAAGCTACAACTGACCAAAAATGGAAGCAAAAATGGAAGCTTCTGAACTCCACCTTTTGCCTGGGCCAGAGATTTCCACATACGAACCCCAAGGGAGGCTAAGCTTCTCACAACAAACTATGGTTTATCGTTATACCCGTCACACGCAGCCATAGTGTAGCACGGTGAATAAGGCTGCAGTTCTTTGCGCGCTTAACTAGGACTAAGCCCCACTGAATGTGGCAGGACTTCCTTCCATTTATGGTCCAGTGCAGAATGAACACCCACTGAGACAGGAAACCCCCCCGTCTTGCTTCTGCCTTCAATTCTTTATGCACTTTCAGGAAATCTGTTGCGACTCAGCCCCACCAGCTTCAGCATGCAGATAATAATCCCAATCTGCTTTACGAGGTTGTGAAGTTTTGTTTTTATTTATCAAAATGTACATATCGGTAGCCAGTAGTGATGTATGGAAGTGAGAGCTGGACCATAAAGAAGGCTGATCGCCGAAGAATTGATGCTTTTGAATTGTGGTGCTGGAGGAGACTCTTGAGAGTCCCATGGACTGCAAGAAGATCAAACCTTTCCATTCTGAAGGAAATCAGCCCTGAGTGTTCACTGGAAGGACAGATCCTGAAGCTGAGGCTCCAATACTTTGGCCACCTCATGAGAAGAGAAGACTCCCTGGAAAAGACCCTGATGTTGGGGAAGATGGAGGGCACAAGGAGAAGGGGACAACAGAGAACAAGATGGTTGGACAGTGTTCTCGAAGCTACCAGCATGAGTTTGACCAAACTGGGGGAGGCAGTGGAAGACAGGAGTGCCTGGCGTGCTGTGGTCCATGGGGTCACGAAGAGTCGGACACGACTAAACGACTAAACAACAACAACATATCGCTAGATTGTAACCACCTAACGGTTTACAAAAATAGGAAACAAAACATTGAAATTATTGATAACAACAATTGATAACAACAAAAGATTATTACAATCAACAGTAGCTAAAAAGAAATAACACACATGCAACTTCCACATGTCTGGAACAGCAAAGTGCAGAGAAGGCACCTGCCTGGTGTCAACAGGTAGGGAGTTCCAAAGGGTAGTTGCTGCCAGACTAAAATACTAATTTCTTACAAGTAAGGAACAAGCATTATGTTAGGGCTGCCCTATGTCCAGAATTTCCCAGACGTAGGTGTCAAAAATGGCATTCCGGCAGAATTTCTGAAAAGCAGCAAAAATGTGTGGGAAAACCCAGGCATATGGCAGCCAGTATAGGAAGTGTTGATTTTGGGGGTGATTTCCCTAAGAAATAGGGGGAAACTTCAATTGTTTGTGGAGATTTTGACAAAAAAGCTCAACAACTTTGCCAGAAAAAGCTCAAGCCTACATTTTGTGCACCTGAAACAGTGCCAGTTTTGCAAATTGATGCAACTGAGTGTGCTCTTTTGGGGTAAGGCAATTCTGCAAAAGAAAACATATGCAAAAGTACTTGGAGCACTCTAAATCACAATACAGATACAGAATTCCCTGCCATAATCGTCCTTATTATCTCACTATTTTTTTTTACCACTCCTCAAAGGCAGAGAGATTTTGAGATCCCCTCCCCCGATCCATTCATCTCACCACATTCATTCCGCCAAGTGCAAAAGACTATGTTGGGTCTCATCAACGTATTAAGTGTTTCATTGCACTGTGCACAATATAACTCCAGGGTGATTAATTAGCTGGAGTACTTCAGATCTCAGAAACACTGCAAACCATTAATGTAATTGAACTTTACAGTCAGCACAACAAATTAAGAGGGAGAAGCAATTTCCCCCCCTCTCTTTGCAGTTCATTAGTTAGGGCAGAATCCCTCCTGAAAACAAGATGGTTAGAGAGAGCCTCCTTATAAAATGGAGTGCGGCATTTTTTGCACAGTGAAGAGCCCACCATCATATTAGGAAACACACAAAGGAAAACGCCCACCCACCCCTCTTGTAAATACCCTTAGGATCCTTTGTTTGTCTTCCCACAAACACATGGGCTATGCAGAACCCGCAAATGTTGGTCTGTAGAAGCAAAAAGAAGTTCTGTTTCATCCAGATGAGGACCTGGGCAGAAGAGTCAGCAGCAGCGAAAACTAAGAGGGCTGGAGCTGGAGGAGTTATTTTGTGCATTGAAATAATAGCTCAGTAAATGTTTTCCACTCCTTCAAATCAGTTTCTGTCTTAGACGCGTACTTTCCTGAAATATACTCAGAGTCGAGAGTGGGTTTCATGCTCTTTATTCAGCTCATAGTGGTGAGGAGGAATGGAAGTTCCCCCATAATGTCTGCTTTATATACATTATTTACACAATGGGCCCCACGTGGTTGGCTAATTCCGGGATTCTCCTGCAGGCCAATCAGGTTGCAGATTCACTTCCACCTAGAGCTGGATTGGGTGGTTCCTGCGGACCAATCAGACTGCTGCATTCTGGACCCTATTGTTCTAGGACCAATCAGACTGCTGCATTCTGAATCCTATTGTTCTAGGGCCAATCAGACTGCTGCATTCTGAATCCTATTGTTCTAGGGCCAATCAGACTGCTGCATTCTGAATCCTATTCAACTCAGTACATAACATTTTCTCTCTTTCTTTAGTGGATCATGTGGGTCTCCATAAATCAGAAGCGCAGGGGACAGCGATTGAGCAAACAGACTGACCTGGCTGAACAAATTTGCTTACAGACAGCACTATTTTATTATTAATTAATTAAATTTCTATATCGCCATTTGTCTGAGGATCACAAGGCAGTTCACAATATAAAAACACACAGCATAGTAACAAAAATAATAAAACTACCCCTCTCCCCAGTTTAAAAGGCCACAGATGGTTATATTAGCCAAAGGCCTGGGAGGAACACCTGGCACCTTCAGATATGGAATGAAGGCGTCAGGCAAGCCTCCCTGGGGAGAACATCACACAAATGGGGAGCCACCACAGAAAAGGCCCCTTTCTGTGTTGCCACCCTCCAAACTTCTCACAGAGAAGGCACATAAAGAAGGGCCTCAGATGATGATCTCAGGGTCTGGGTAGGTTCATATGGAAAGAGGTGGTCCTTGAGCTATTGTGGTCCTGAGCCATTTAAGGCTTTACAGGTCAAAACCAGCGCTTTGAATTGCACCTGCAAACGAATTGGTAGCCCGTGAAGTTGGGCTTGGGTTAGTGCAGTGTTATGTACTAAGCTTGGATCCTAGAACAATAGGCAGGTAGGATCCTAAATGCAACAACCATTCAGGCTCCAGGAGGGAAGCAGAATCAGCCAATCAGACGGAACCCGTTGTGTAAATAATGTATATAAAGCCTGAGGGTTGGGGGGGGGATTCATTCACTGTTTTACGAGCTGCAATAAAGAGCATGAAATCACTACGCCGCTCCGAGTATATTTCATGCTGTATGCTCAAACCAGCTTGCCCAGGTCAGCAGCCTGGCTGCCGAATTCTGTACTAGCTGAAGTTTCCGAACTGTCTTCAGAGGCAGCCCTGTGTATAATGCACTGCAGTAATCTAACCTAGAGTTACCAGAGCATAGACAACAGAAGTTAGTCTGTCCCTGTCCAGATCGGGGCGCAGCTGGGCCACCAGATGAATCTGATGGAAGGCACTCCGGGCCACTGAGGCCACCTGCGTCTCAAGTCAGCAATGGATCTAGAAGCATCTCAGGCTATGTCCCCGCTCCTTTGGAGGGATTGTAATCCCATCAAGAGCAGGCAAGCTTTCGTCCTTCTGATCGAGGAAACGACCAACTGACAGGGCCTTCGTCTTTTCTGGACTGAGCGTCAGTTTGTTGGCTCTCATCCAATCCATTACCGAGGCAAGACATCAGTTCAGCACTTCCACCTTGTTATGTACTGAGTTGAATAGGATCCAAAATGCAGCAGTCTGATTGGTCCTAGAACAATAGGATTCAGAATGCAGCAGTCTGATTGGTCCTAGAACAATGCAGCAGTATGATTGGTCTGCAGGAGCCACCCAATCCGGCTCCAGATGGAAGTGAATCCACAACCTGATTGGCCTACAGGAGAATTCCGGAATTAGCCAATCACGTGCAGCCCATTGTGTAAATAATGTATATAAAGCAGATACTTTGAGGGGACATAAAGACCATGAAATCCACTCTCGACTCTGAGTATATTTCACACCTGCAGATCTGTTCATGGGAAGGGACTCCCCAAATCACAGGATATGCGCAGAGTTCCAGTTGAACTGGGCTAATTGGCAACAAGTCATCTGGACATGTGTTAACAAGTGTTTGTGTGCAGTTTCCCATTTCCTGCATGCAGCAGAAAAACCAGCCTTCCTAGTCCTTTCCATATAATATTTCAGTTCTTCTTTTTCATTGACAGTTTGCCTTCAGTTCCTTCCTCTTGTATGCAACGTTGACAGCAGTTCCCTGGACGATGAGTTAACACAGAGAAGCTTCCCTCTTTTTGACTTCCACTTCAAATCCACCTCACAATACTTGCCCATTCAGAACCCTGGAGGTTTGGAGGCCCATCTGCTGAAATGGAGACCGACTGTCTAATTCAAACAATCGCTTCTCGTGGCAGGAAGCCCTGTGCCGCTCCGTGAATGCAAAAACTCTCCCTCTCATGGCACCATCTGCACAGCCATCAGCTAATCCCCAGTAGCCTTTCTCTCCTTTGAATTTGCTCTCTAGAAAGATTTGCTAAGACCAGTCACCTGTGTTTATCTGTCTGGGCTTCACTCCCCTCTGGGCTTCTGGAGTTATGCGAGATTAGATCGCCTTTCTTTTTTCTCCCAGGGTACTTTATTCCGGCTTGAACGGAAACTGCAGCCAGAAATACCAGTCACTGTGGAGCATTAGAGGAAGACGCCTGTTTGTGGGCTTTGGAGATGCATTTGTTTGGCCACTGTGGGGGCAAAGAGGGTGGAGAGGCGTCTGTTAAGTTGTAGGTGAACATATCAGACGACACAGCGATTCTCCAAACAGCTCTTGTTTACTCACAGTTCAGAACAGAACTGAACTGAAGGGTTCAGCCAGCCTGCTTATATAGAGCTCCAGTACAACGTAGCTGTAACAACTTTCTGTAACTATCCAATCACTGAACATCACTTTCGATCCCTTATTTGCATATGTGGACCTGAACTATCTACAGTATCCCCCTGCTGGCCCAGGGTGAGAACTTCAGTACATAACAGCGTCCATGCCTTAGATGTGAGCAACAGGGTTCTACGCCCAGCCTTGTTAAGGACATCTGCTTTCTAAACACCCAGAAAGCAACACACCATCTCTTTAAAACACATTACACAATTCTGGTGACTTTTAAGGAAGCTCACATCAACATGAACTTCCTCAGCCTTTCTGCTTATTCAGCAGTTATAGATTTTTAGGGGGGGGGGGGGGATTCTGAGAAATGAAAGATGAAACAAAGATCAATGCTTGTGATCCTAAGCATTACAGCACCTGTAAAACAAGCGGGCATTATTCTGTCTGGTGTACAGGTTGAAGGGTATAATTGTTACTTAATTGTTACTTGCCAACAAAGGTCTGTATAGTAAAAGCTATGGTTTTCCCAGTAGTGATATATGGAAGTGAGAGCTGGACCATAAAGAAGGCTGATCGCTGAAGAACTGATGCTTTTGAATTCTGGTGCTGGAGGAGACTCTTGAGAGTCTTATGGACTGCAAGAAGATCAAACCTATCCATTCTGAAGGAAATCAGCCCTGAGTGCTCACTGGAAGGACAGATCATGAAGCTGAGGCTCCAATACTTTGGCCACCTCATGAGAAGAGAAGACTTCCTAGAAAAGACCCTGATGTTGGGAAAGATGGAGGGCACAAGGAGAAGGGGACAACAGAGGACAAGATGGTTGGATAGTGTTTGCGAAGCTACCAGCATGAGTTTGACCAAAATGTGGGAGGCAGTGGAAGACAGGAGTGCCTGGCGTGCTCTGGTCCATGGGGTCACGAAGAGTCGGACACGACTAAACGACTAAACAACAACAATTGTTACTGCACAGATGGGAGTGCTATAGAATGATCCTATACATTACTCAGAAGTAAGTCCCATTGAGTTCAGGTAAGTCCCAGATAAGTGGGTTCAGTATTGCTGTTTTTGTGTGGTTTTCCTGAAATATAAATACTAGCCAAACGCCTGGTAGAAGAGATCTTGCCTCCTCACCCATTTAAAGTTGAGGTATTCCTCAATGAAATGACAAACTTACCTGCATGTACAAATATCATGAACTGAGCACTTCACAAACCTTCCCATGTGTTGCGATTATGAATGGAAGAGAAATTCAATTCAGTTCACATTTAAAGGTGAACTGACTTAATTCCCACTTTCTGAAACATTATGCAAACCAAACCACAGCCATCCTTCAATTTTGCCCTCATCTGAATTTTGCAAGGTCGTTCCGCAGTCAAGTAACATGCACTAAAATGCTACTAGGGTAGGATATGTATTCAAAGGCATCCAGGTATATTTGTGAAAATAACATACAGAAAGGCATTATATTAGGGGTAACTATTTGGCAAAATGTGAATATTAGGAGAAACTCACATTGAAAAGATGTAGAATTTTCATGTGATGATGTGGAAAACTGAACTTAAGGTTGGAGAAATGGAAAATGGAGAAAAGCCAAACTTGACATATCCCCCCCCCCCACCCCTAGTTATGATACAGGGAGCTATCCCTTTCCTTATCTCCTGAAGTAAAGAAATTTATTTCTGGCAAGGCAAGGTACCCCGCCTCAAACAATTAGGGTTGCCTAATGTGAAAGAGGTCTCCTCAAGTCCATTGCCAGCCATAACGTCTAAAAGTCAGTTAGCTGTTTATTTCCTTGACATCTGATGGGAAGGCATGGCCCTCTAGATTACTTTTCCGTAAAGACATGCTAGAGGTCTCCAAAGAAATGACAATCTCCCGGGCAGCTCTCAGAAGCACTTCCAAATATCAAAATCCCATAGAATCTTACCACATTGCTTTCTGCATGGATAGGGCCCCTGTGACTTTTGGAGCAGCATGATTCGGATAAAACCCACAGGGGAAGCTTCCTTAGCCCTGCAGTCCTGGGCAAAGAGGCATCTGTCCACATCTGTCATGCCACTGGTAACAGGCATAAAACTTCTGACCTTTTTTTTAAAAAAGGCAATGAGCCTCATCTGCTAGTACTTCAGCTGCAGGCTACCTAGAATTCAGGGGGTCCACATAACACCCCCACATAACATCATCATCATCATAATTTTTATTTATACCCCGCCCTCCCCAGCCAAGGCCGGGCTCAGGGTGGCTAACAAGCAATAATAAAAACAAATTGAATGAATACAACTTAAAAACAAAATTAAAATACAACATTAAAATATTGAAACATTAAAATATTAAAATGGAGCCTCATCACAGGAGAAGAAAGAAAAAGAAAGAGGGGGAGGGAATCAAATTGGCTCCAAGCCAAAGGCCAGGCAGAACAGCTCTGTCTTACAGGCCCTGCGGAAAGAAATCAGATCCTGCAGGACCCTGGTCTCATGAGACAGAGCGTTCCACCAGGCCGGAGCCAGTGTTGAAAAGGCCCTGGCTCTGGTTGAGGCTAATCTAACTTCCTTAGGGCCCGAGACCTCTAGGGTGTTGCTATTTATGGACCTTAAGGTCCTCCGTGGGGCATACCCGGAGAGGCGGTCCCGTAGGTACGAGGGTCATAGGCCATGAAGGGCTTTAAAGCTCAAAACAACATAACATAACATAACATAACATAACATAACATAACATAACATAACAACATAACATAACATAACATAACATAACATAACATAAAACATAACATAACAACATATGACATAACATATAACATAACATAACATAACATAACATAACATAACATAACATGACACCTGTCCTCTGGGAAGTGCAATAAGTTCTGGTAGCAGATTCCCAACAAATGGGCAATGCAACCAGCTCCTTTGCTGAAGAAAAATGCAAAGGAGACTTCTTTTTCATAAAAAAAGAGGTGTTTCACAAAACTTTCTCTTCCCCTCCTTTCCATTAGGTGCATTCACTGATCCAGCCCATAATTAAGGAAATGATAAGATTAAAGTTTTCCCAGCTTACTTGCTAAACGCTGTCTGTCAGGCAAGCTGTGAGTATTTAGCAGCGTGTGAGCGAAGAAGGTTTCTTCTTTAAATGTCAGGAAGCAGCTGCACCCACAGGCTGCAATCCTAAAGCCACTTACTTGGGAGTAAGCCCCATTGAATTCAGTAGGGCTTACTTCTGAGTAGACATGGTTAGCATTGTGCCCTTTGCTTTTAATGCCACAGCATGGAAACTAGCACTTCGTTGCATTAAAAGGACAAGGTTGGTGCCTTTCCCCAGCAAAGAAGAATTTTAAGTGGTTTCCCCCCCCTTGCATGCTGTTTGATAATATTCATAAACAAGCTGGCTTGGTATGCTAAGCCCAGACACTTTCCCATGACCTTGTGGAAGCATTTAAGCTGCAGCCCTGTAGCTGCCAATAACCACTGACAGGTCCTGCTTACTGGACATTCAGACACGTCTTCTCTGAGTAGTGTTGTAAACAAAAATTGCCCTTTTCCCTTATGGGGTATCTAAGAGCCCATATAGAGTCCTTACATAGATTCCCTATTGGTAGGAGAGAATAACAGAGGCCAACCAGAAAATACTGAGAAGCAAAGCAGCTAGTAAGCTTGATCTTTATTGATCTGTTGCAACAGGGTGCTCACCTCACCCGCAGGAGAGGAGGAGGAACCCAGAAAAATGGTGTGCAAGGCCTTATAAAGACTATTGAAATTGCCACCCTGTAGATCAAGACCACCCCCAGAAACACCATACATACATCACAGAAGGGGTGTAACCTAAGACCACCCCTCAGATACATCATACCTACATCACAGAAAAGGCGGTCTAAAACAGAAATTTGAATGTTGTTTTTCTCTTGTCATTGTTTATCTCCTGTCTGGCCGGTTACTTGATTGGATTGCCTGGGGAGTCTGGCCAGTCTTTTGTAAAGATAAATGGTTCCAGGTCGGTCTTCCTGTGCTGATCTATGTACGTGTTTGGCTGGTACACTTATGAACATTACCATATATCTAAGACCTCAAAATTCCTATCACAGTAGACCCACTGAAATTCATGGATCTCAAGTCCCCACATTCCTTACTTTCCATGCATCTTCTTTGAGTAGGAATAACTTTGGATACAGCCCGGATCCAATGCAGGCTATTTCAAAATAACGTAGAGGACCAGAAAGAACCCCTCCAAAAGCGCTATGTGAATCCACAACACATACGTTTGCCTCTCTGCAAATTGATGCTTTGTCATGCTGTCCTTATTGCTGTTCATTATGTAAGATTTGCTTCTCACTCCTGTGCTGTATAATTTATGTGTAAGCTGCCACGAGTTCATCACAGCAAGGCTGGCTATCAGTGCCCAAGTCAACGCCTGCAGAAATGGAAGTATGAATGGAATTTCAGCAAAAAAGAACCAGTTGTCCTTTAGCGTCTCCCCACCCCACCCCTCTTTCTTTGGCAGTGCCATGAGCGCAGAGGCATGGCGAATCTGACAGGGAACTTCTCAGAACAATGCTGTGGTCTAGCCTGAAAATCAGATAAGCAGCACAGGGTGTTCAAGCAAAGTCTGAACAATAATGCCAAAAACCTGTCTAAAGTGCAGGCTGACAAACTCCCATGAACACCATGGTCAGAGTTTCGGCTGTTAAAGGGATTTGCAAACAGAGCGTAGTTTTCCTGCTGATAATAATGCTGAGAACAGGTTTTATACAGTGCCGGATTTACGTATAAGCTAAATAAGCTCTAGCTTAGGGCCCCACTCTCTTGGGGGGGGGGGGAGCCCAAAAAAAATTAAAGGGGGGAAAAACTGGATGTATATTTCCAAAAGAAAGGATAAAAAAATAAAAATAAAACCTACATACAGCAGCAGTTTTTTGTGTTGTGTATGGACCTATTAGGTCCATAAATTACCATATAAAGTGGTACCTCAGGTTAAATACTTAATTCGTTCCGGAGGTCCGTACTTAATCTGAAACTGTTCTTAACCTGAAGCACCACTTTAGCTAATGGGGCCTCCTGCTGCTGCCACGCCGCCGGAGCACGATTTCTGTTCTCATCCTGAAGCAAAGTTCTTAACCTGAGGTAATATTTCTGGGTTAGCGGAATCTGTAACCTGAAGCGTATGTAACCTGAAGCGTATGTAACCCGAGGTACCACTGTAGTTGTATTCATCACAAAAAAACAGTGACAATTTGTTGTTGACAAAGGATAGCTGGACATATAAAGGGCCTCATTACCTTCAGGAGCTGCTGAGGGCCTCATCAAACCTCAATCCGGCCCTGGTTTTATATGCTGGTTTCCCCTTTCAGCAGGAGCCCCTTGTATCTCCTGGGATGCTGCTCTTCTGAGTCTCTTAGTACAAGGAGCCCCCTGTAGACGTGATCTCTGGAGATCTTCCAAGCTCCCCTTTTGCTGCGCTGCTTACCTTCAATCTCCTCAATGGTCTTTCTGCTTCCCTTACACTTTTCCTCATGAACATCTCTCTCTTGATGGCTGTTCTCCACTGTTTGACAGTCGCTTGTTCTCTCGAATTCTTTGCCCTTTCTTCCTCACTGCCCCGTGGGCTTGGAAGTGCCTGCTAGGAGGCCTGCCCTCTCTCTCACGCCCTTCCAGTCCTTCTCCAAACCCCACCCTTTCCCCGAAATCTTGGACTCGGCCCCCTTTGTGCCCATGCTCTGATTCCGGAAGCAGCCAGGGTTCTACGCTACAGATGTTGCTGCCCTCTGCCTACCATCATCCCTGACCATTGGGCTTCCCAGCAGAGGCTGGGAGGTGTGGGGGACTCCCTGGTCTTGAATGGGGCAACTGTGTTCCTGAAGGACCAGGTGTGCAGCCTGAGAGTCATTCTGGACTCACAGCTGTCCATGGAGGCCCAGGTTAATTCTGTGTCCAGGGCAGCTGTCTCCCAGCTCCATCTGGTACACAGGATGAGACCCTCCCTGCCCACGAACTGTTGCCAGATTGGTGCATGCTCTGGTTATCTCCCGCTTAGACTACTGCAATGTGCTCTAAGTGGGGCTACCTTTGAAGGTGACCCAGAAACTGCAACTAAACCAGAATGCGGCAGCTAGACTGGTGACTGGGAGCAGCCACCGAGACCACATAACACTGGTCTTGAAAGGCCTACATTGGCTCCCAGTACGTTTCCCGGCACAATTCAAAGTGTTGGTGCTGACCTTTAAAGCCCTAAATGGCCTCGGTCCAGTATATCTGAAGGAGCGTCCCCACCCCCATCGTTCTGCCCGGACACTGAGGTCCAGCACCAAGGGCCTTCTGGCGGTTAACCTCCCTGCAAGAAGTGAGGTTACAGGGAACCAGGCAGAGGGCCTCCTCGGTGGTGGAGCCTGCCCTGCGGAACACCCTCCCATCAGATGTCAAGAAATAAACAACTATCTGACTTTTAGAAGACATCTAAAGAGCCAGTGTGGTGTAGTGGTTAAGAGCGGTAGTCTCGTAATCTGGGGAACCGGGTTCGCGTCTCCACTCCTCCACATGCAGCTGCTGGGTGACCTTGGGCCAGTCACACTTCTCTGAAGTCTCTCAGCCCCACTCACCTCACAGAGTGTTTGTTGTGGGGGAGGAAGGGAAAGGAGAATGTTAGCCGCTTTGAGACTCCTGAAGGGGAGTGAAAGGCGGGATATCAAATCCAAACTCCTCTTCTTCTTCTTCTTCTTCTTCTTCTTCTTCTTCTTCTTCTTCAGGCAGCCTTGTTTAGGGAAGTTTTTAATGTTTGATCTTTTATCGTGTTTTTAATATTCTGTTGGGAGCCTCCCGGAGTGGCTGGGGAAACCCAGCCAGATGGGCGGGTATAAATAACATATTATTATTATTATTATTATTACCACCACCATCATCATCATCGGAGCTGGAATCCAGCATCACCTTGAGGACACCAATTGGCCACCCACGCTCTGCTTCTGTGACTCAGCCAACGGATGCGAGAAGGAAAGAAGCACAAGCTTCCCCTCTGCCTCTGCTTCTTCTGCTGTTTCCCCGTGTCAAATTTTAGAGTTGATGGCTACACACAAAATGATGACAAGCCACAAGTGGGACGGAGACCACAGCTCTGCTTTGCCTGTTTTGCATTTTGCACCGTCAGCCTCCCCCTGGTGGTAGAAAAAAGAGAACAAAGCTGTATTTTCTAGAGTACTGCTTGGACAACGACTGCAGAAACAAGAAAGTCTCTCAGTGCACACCCTTAGATTAAATGGAGTAATCCTTTCTCCCACACAAATGCACATTTTTGAAGCCAAGTTTGAGGAACCTTTGGCCCTCCAAATGTTGCTGAGCTTCAGCTATTCTCAACCCCAGGAAGTCCGGCCAAAGGGCAGGGATTAGGGAACTTGAGGCAGGAGACCTGGAGCCTCCCTATTCTATCCTCAAAACAACCGTGCAAGTAGGTCAGGCTGAGGGAGGATTTGAACCTTGGTCTCTCCCAAACTTTGGCCAGCACCCAGATCACTACCCCACAGGGTCCCTTGGAACGACAGTGCTATGTCGCTGTTTTCATACTGTTCACAAACCCCCAAACACCCCAGAATGTTTGGAACTGCTGAAATGAAGAGCTTTATCTTTGCTGGAATCAAAAGGGACCAGCGTGTGATCTAGCGACTCAAAGCACGCAAGAAAATTAGAGAATTCTTCCTGGCATTTTCAGCTGCATAGAAGTTAGAACTTTCTCAATTCTGACATTTTAAATCTTCAGTTTTTATTTATTTGGCTTTTTTTACACCTTCAGATCTACCTGACATTTTCAAATATCCCTCTTTGCAGTTCAGTTTATCGTCCTCTTGCACTGATATAAGCTAATCCTGTTTCTCAGCTGAGTGGCAGTAGGGGGATATCCCATTTGCCCCGAGCCTTAATTCAGAGAAAGCAATGTATATATTTTCCCCCTGGCTTCTTTAGCACCTGCTCACAAGTGTTTGCTGGCTCTGTGTCCTGATTGGTGGACCTTGTATTTGCCATCACCATGTAGATAACACGCCTTCATGCAGAGAATGATGGATTGTCTGGCTCCCTGGCAGAGCTCATTTAAAACTCTGCAGGGCAAAGACAAGTGTGTTGGGCATTGGTCTATTGCCTTATGTAACACTTAACAGAGAAGTTGCCACTTTCCAGAGGAACTCCCTGTCTTTAGATAGTGAGTAACAGGCAGGA